TTTCTCCCTGATAATGATGAAAAAGAAACATGATTCTGGTTACTTTTCATCTCTTTGAACATGATCATCATAAAATTGAACACTGGGAATGAAAATTTCAATTGAAATCCAATTCTTAACCAAAGAAAAGTTTACTTTTCATGGAAACTGTTGTTAACATGTTGAAGATTTTATTTCTCATTCTATTGAAATCGATCAACAATCAGATTGTCTGAAAATGCAACAGGATATTGGACACTAATTAACCCTCGTTAATCAAATGATAAATTTCCTATTAATTGTTGCTAGTTAATTAACTTTTATGGAAAAGTTTCTAAACCTTTTATGATGCAACTGAATAGTTTATACATGAAGATAAGAAAAGATTAATTCAACTCAGAATTTGAATCAAAATTTCCATGAGAAAAAGCTGATTACATGTAATGGTAATTAAGAAAATACAGAGAGAAATATAATAGCGATAATTTTATTTATGAATTACTTTTGATTTATTGGGAAAAGAAAGAGATTATCATAATTTTTGCCTTCTCATCTCATGAATTTCAGGAAGAAAAATTCTGAGAAAAGGTGAGTAAGAGAGAGAGAGAACAAAAAATTTCTAGTCCAACTGTATAATCCATAAAATCAATCACTTTCGAAGATTTTTCCGACCTCTTTCTTAATAATAACCATCATAGAATCTTCTTCATGAAGTTTCCGATATAATATGAATTCGAAATGAACTCCCAGCTGAACAATCTGAATCAAGTATATAAGTATTAAAATAGAAGACAAATAGAAGATAAAATAATGAACAATTGGATTTTCTTTCTTACCTAATAACTTATCTTCTTGAACATCCATTCACCCATTTCATCTTCATCTTCATCATCATGATTACTTTCTGTTTCACCAGAGATGATGATGATTACTTGGAAATCTTGAATAAACATTTTGATCAATTATGAGTTGATTCAATTTCCATCCTCAACTTTAATCACATATTCATTGAGTAAATAAAAATACTACATTTGAGATAATTTCAATTCTGATCAACAGTCGAGCACATTTCAGGCTAATTCATTTTCATTTTTGAGTATTGATTGATTGATGAAGATAAATTGATATTAAGAGTTCATCTTAACAGATTAGTTGATGAAATATCTTCTTGATTAAGTTGAAACTTTAGTATCATGACAGTTATGGTGATTCTGTTTTCGTGCAAGTTTAAATCTTCCCTATCATAGGTTACAGGTCAATCTGTTGCTGTTGACATTAAGGATAAGCATAAAGTTCATAAAGGATTCTGAGGATTCTAAGGTGATAGGGATGGAGAAAGTTGAATAAAGTTCTTTTGGGGATTCGAACAAAATTGAGAGAGAGAGAAAATAATTATTGCTATTTTTTCCTCTTTTGGAAGAAAAAAAAAGATTTAATTTCTGACTCAAGAAGATTTAAGCTCCTCTGTTATTTCATTTCATTTCTGATTCAATGAACTCATGACATTTTATCATGAAATCAAATCTTTCTTGCTCTTTTTTTTCCTGGTTATATATTACAAATATATGTTAAGATGTTTCAATGAATGAATTTATTATGAACAATCCACATCATCATGAACCCTCATGAGGATTCACCATTTTAAATATGTTGATTGAAATTTTCAACTCATCACATTTAAGCTCAACTCTTAATTTAAGTAACAAAATTTTTCCTATTGAAAGTCACTCATTTTTCACCATGAATTCAATTGAATCAGTTGTTTCCTTTTAATAAATTTCCCTGGATTCCATCATGATCCTGTTTCAATTATTATAATAATCACTTTGCCCAAACTATTGACTAACCATCAGCTGATTCTAAGTTTGCTTGTACCTGATGATTATTGATATTTAAAGTCACCGTTGCTTTAGGATGATGAGATTTTCAATAATTCCAAATGAGTTATATCCTTTTCTTATCATGGAAAATTATCTTTTTGTTTTCCTAATGAATTGAATAGTTTACATTCAGAATTTACAATTTTTCTCATCATTATTATCTTAGAGAAATTTTTTCCTTACAGAACAAAAAAAAGCTCAACAATTGAACTTATTATCATTGAGGCAACAATTTATTAACTTTAATTCATTTCTCCTTTATTCTTAACCGTTCAGGGTATTTTTTCATGTAATAAATTCATTTGCTTGTTGTTGGTTTTGTTGTTCACAAAGATATTTGTTCAAAATCAAGATCATGATGATCTTCATGAGTGTTAAAAATATTTCTCATTTCAATGAGTCGAGAATAATAATTTAAGAGACAAAGAAAATAATAGAGTGAGTGAGAGAGAGAGAGAGAGAGAGAGAGAGAGAGAGAGAGAGAGCTGAAGAATTTTTAAATATTCTGATTCAACGCAGATCGAAATTTCCGGTTAGAACTTTTTTTTAATACTTCTCATCATCGAATGAAATTATTTATGAGTAACTTTTCAACAGGATGATTCTTGATAAGATTCATAATGATGATCAACATGATAACACATAAGTATGATTATGATGATAAATGGGTAGAGGATTATGATTAATAGAAGAACAAAACAAAATGCCCTCAGGATGGATATATAATACTAGTTAAACATTATCCACTTGGACATTGGTCAAGAAAGGGAGAGAGAGAGAGCTTGAAAAACTTATGATAATATTTTTCTCCCAGCATATTGAATCATTACAACCATGAAATTGAATCGATATAAATCCTAAAATGGTTCATTTGAACTGTTCACAACCTTGGAAAAAGTAAATAATGAAAAAAATTGCGAATCGAATTGAAATTGATTAATATCATGGTAATAATGAACATACTATCATGTTAATAAGAACTTTGGAAACTAGAGAAAAAAGAATTAGGTTAACCAGAAATTTTCTTTGTTCGAATTTCTTTTTTTATTTCATCTTCTATTCTTTTCCACCCTTGAACTCACCCACCCCACCTTCAACCACCAACCATTCACCTTATCATTTACATTGTGATCCAATTAAATAGAAATTAATTCAACTGAATAATTAACAAATTGGTGTAACAATTTACAATCAATGACTTAATAACTTTCCTTAACAAAGTAACATCTTCATCAATTAAATCATTCAACTTTCACTTGTTTAATTGTTCAATGAAAGTAAACACCAATTAGAGTTTAAAAAAATTGGTTTTATCAACAACAATTAAGTAAACTAACTAATACAATCAAAAGGGAAGATACAATTTCCTTCCTTCCGAGTATTTTGCTTTTTTTCTGGTTGATTTAAATTAATTTAAATTAAATTATTATAAACAAAGTGTCAATTTACAGTTATTATTATTTTAAGTTAACAACAAGTAACCTAATTGTCAATTTGATTAACATTAACATTGAATATAATTACAGTTTGTAAATGTTAATTGTCTATCTTTCTGTTTGGTAATTGAAACTGAGAGATGCAACAATTAAACCTATTATATTTACATGGATTGACCTAAATTTTTGAATTGGTAACAATTAAACAATGTATTTACAATGTAAATTGGTGATTGTTAACCAATCAGATTAAGCAACAATTAACTTTTTTTTTATTCAATACAAAAAGTAAACAAAATTATTTGTTATTACAATTGTGAACACCAGATTATGATTAATATTTATTATCATTATCAATCTTACGCAGCAATCAACTGATTGTTATCCCATTTTGACTGATGATGAATAATTTCCTGTAATTATTTACGATATTTTCCTATTACAATATTTCCCGCTCCACCTTAAATTCACCCACCTCCCATTTCAATCATTTCCGTTTACAAAGTAACTCTTGAGTATTTTCATATTAATAATTTCAAACTTGTATTCACAATTTATCATGTCCCATGTATCCAAGTACACAGTTGAATAGCTGATTCTGTTGATGATGATAAACCTGATTGTTTCTGAATTACCAATCAATTGAATCCCAAAGCTTTCAATAGCAATTTGTTGAGAAAACAATAGCAAAAAAGAAGACAGATAAACTTTCAATTCTTGAAAAGTTCAATCTCTCATGAGGATTAGTTTTCATGATGCTCATCATCAAGCTAATCATCAACACTTTATTCTGAGTCATGATTTTCGTTTTCAGAGAAAGTTTTTCTTCTTCATGAAAAAGATACTGACAAGACATGATCACTTTTAAAATCAACTGAATTAAATTCAGTCTCAGAACATGAATCCTCCGCCCTAATCCTTGATCTTTGGAAACAAAATTAATTCAATGATCTCATCAATCATGAACCATTCGAAAAAATTGAATAAAAGTCGAAAAATTCAGCAAGAAATTGAAATTATCATGGATGATAAACGATTCAATCTAAAGAAGAAAACGAATCAAACCAGTTATAAGAATAAACTTGATAACGAGTGAATCGAAACAATTAACTCGAATGATAAAATCAACTTTTATCATGAAAGGAAAATAATCACCATGAATGTTGTTTTATCGATTATGAGCAAAGTGACAAAACAAAATTTATGAAAATTCTAAAAATATTACATGGGAATCAGGATAATAACCAGGAAAGAAAAGGGGTGGTAAATATTGTTTATCGATTCATTTTCTAAGGCGAAAAGAAAAACAAAATTTCCGATAAAAATTGAATTTTATTTAATTCTTATTCATAGAAATATTAATATCAGGGAGGGAAGTGGGTGGTGGATTTCAGGTTGGATATCATGTACTCCTGAACCATTAAACTGCAATAAAAGCCTAATAATGATGATAATTCTTGATGAAAGTTCTGATAATATAATAATGGTAATAATTTTTATCTAATGACAGTCATTGTCCAAAAATTGTTACAAAGTTAATCTCATTAATATTAATATTATATCACAATAAGAATAATCAATTTGAATCAATGAATCATCTTAACCATGATCAATGTCCATTTTCATGATAATGCTCAGGAAAGTTTATTGAATCTAATACTAATTTCTTTATTTTTCTTGTTCCTTTTTCTTTTCCTTTCAACAGTTTTTTCCTCAATGAACTGGCCAAATGCTTAGAAGAACCCGGTCGATTAGGACTATTATTTAAACGGTACGAGCGTCGTTTGAACATGTACGTTGTGTACTGTCAGAACAAATCAAAGTCCGAATACATTGTCTCTGAATATCTGGACACTTATTTTGAGGTAAGTTATTCAAGTTTCTTGAGAGTATCCTGGAATTATGTTATTAATATTATGGAAAATAACGAGTTTGGAGGTGAAAAAATCCATGAGCTCTACCCTGAGATGAGAGATTATCATTCAGAGTATGTGTGTATATGTCATTATCTGTCTATTCAATTCCCTTGATTATGTTTCATTTGATTTATGCTTTTGATTGGTGATCAAATATGATCATGATATGGGAGAAAAATTCTGGATTCTGTTCAGTTCTTGTTTTATATCCTTAGATTTGCCATATTATTACTTATAAAATGATCATTTCATCAATGACTTCATATCAACGTTTCATCTTTAAAGTCACTTTGATCATGTTTTCCTCAAATTTTCTCGAACTCCATCTCTAAACTTCAACTAAATGAGGAATCAAATTCTGTTCCCATCAGAATTTATCTTCTTTCTTATCATTTTTAGGATCTATCTCATCTTCTTATCCTTTATCATCATCATGAAAAGGGGATTTGTTGTTCTCTGTTCAGAATCATTGTTAGAACTTTGTTATTATCTCTCTCTCTCTCTCTCTCTTTTCCTTGTTTTTCGCTATTGAACCATGATGATGACGAAGATGAAAGAAACAGTAAAATCTTTACGCATGATTCAGTTGAAACTGAATCTTTGTATTCTTTTTTCCAATCTATTCCTTTACCATCATGTTCGAAACTATTCAGACATGAGGAATTCATGCTTTCCACCATGTATTTCTCTCTCTCTCCCCACCGCCACGTTCATAGACCACTGTTACATTGATCACACTCTTTGTCTTCATCAGAATCCTTCATTCAGTTTGCTAATCTCTATTAGAATTGATTCAATTCTAACCATTATCATGTAACTCAGGGAATGTAAATAAATCCTCAGCAACATTATCATTGCTATTCAGTTGCCTTAACGTTTCCTTGATAAAAACGACGATGATGATAATTAAATCAATCGAGGCCTTCAGATTAATCATCTACTCTTATTGTCAAATTTTTAACATCTCAATTGACTGAATATGTTTCCAATAGATCAGATTAATCAGTTTGTAATGTTTTAACCATGAGGATTACATGTACATCTCTGGATAAGAAAAACAACAAACTAATGACTTTTTGTGTTGTTATTTTTTTCAACTTGATGATTGCCTGAATATGAACCAGAATAGTAATGAAAATTTCGCATATGAACAATGAACATTTACCATGTAGTATTTGAAGACCAATGAAAAGAATGATGAACAATGGTGATGATAATTTTCCAAAAGTTCTGCTGATATTATATGGGAGAGAAACGAAAAAATTTTTTTCTTTTTCCATTTTCATGATAATCACCATGAACTGTTACCTCAATCTTTCAGTAATGTCGATGAAAAACTTTGGGATGATATTGACATCGCCATCTTCCTGGTAATGATTATCATTGGACTAGATCACGCGATAATCATGTTAGTTGATTGTCAACAAATAGTTCATCAAAATGATTACCATTGAATTTAGAATCGGAAATGAGCAAAAAAATATATTCTTTTTGCTACCTTCATGAAGAGAAATGTTCATCTTCTTTTTGGCTCTCAGCTAATGGTTAGAATTGAATTTGGAATAGAGTTTTTTGCCTCGAATCAGAGGGAGAAAAAGTAATTAAAATTACGGCGAAAATGAGAAACAGGGTGATAAAATGCTAACTCCAACTGAGCTGAGTTCTGAATTTCTTTTTCTGATATTATTTTCTATATAAAAAATGAGAAAAAGTTTAAGTTTTGGAAAAAAAGAAACAAATAAAAAATTGTAGTTCGAAAGATATACTAATGGAATCGAAAAGTTTTTGACGATTTTCATGATAACTTGTAGATAGAGAGATGAAGATGATGAGTGAGAAAATGTGATTGACATCATGAAAGAGGATGACGAAGATACGTCATCTTTCACTGAGAAAAAAGTTCTGAGTAAAAGTTAATGGAAATGAAAAAAAGTCTATCAAAACAGATCGATATACAATCGTAATAATATATTTATATGCATCTAGACATGTTGGTGTAGCATTAGAACTATCGAACTATTACCTTTCTTTTCTGTTTTCTCGCTTTCTTTTTCAAAATTCTATTCTTTCTCATCATAATCATCATTTTCCTCTTCTTGCCTCTCGTAAGTTTGATCGATAAATGTTGCGATTGCTTACCAAGAGTCCAGCAACTTGTAAGTTAATTGGTTGTTTTTTCTTGTTGTTGTTCAGTTGAAATATATCATGAACAAGATTATCGTCATGATCATCTTCAGAAAGAATGATAGAGAAAGAAGATAAAGTGAGTCAATGAACAAAAGAGGTTCATCATTTTGATCTGAAGAGAGAAAGAAAAAAAGATTGTTCTATTTACTTGTGGAGGGAAAAAGTTTAGAATCTCATGGATTCTGTTGATTCGATAGATTTTCAAATCTTCTTTCATATTTTCTCCTCAAGCTTATTGAACTCTCTTTTTCTTTCTTCGTAAATTCAGTGACCAGGTTAAAGTATTAATAAGCATGATAATGGAAAAGAATTCTGAAAGAGAAAGGGTGAAATTCGCAGTTGGAAGTTCGATCTCTCTCTCTCTCTCTTCGAGTGAACTGTGTTTCTGACAACACTTTATCTTCATCTTCGAACATCATTCAGTATCTTGATAATGATAATCAACATACAAGAAACTCCTTCTTCTACTTATCTGATGTTCTGTGAGTACTGCTCAGTTTCAGGATATTCAGCATGGAAAAAAACGTTAATTATCTGAAGAAATCGCCTTTTTTCATCACATTGCATCTTTCACTTGACTTATTATCATCTTCATCATGAAATATATGATGAAGATGACACTATTTTGATAAAGGATAATATACACTTCCATGATCCTGATTTACCAGATTAATAACATGTTATCATGTTATTCATACGAAAGGCCTGAAATTATTTCTCTTTAGTTTTTTGTCTGTTTCTTGGTTACAAGTTTATTTATTATTATTTACTCTGAATTCATTATATTAATATCAACTCAGAATTCAGGGTAAAAATGTTTCCTCTCTTTCTACCCTTTCGTCTTATATGCTTGACCGTGTCAAAGTACCGAAAAAGAAAGAAAGAAAGAGAGAGAAAGAGAGAGAGTTCTGACTTTCATGATGATATCATGAACATGCTCAGAACTTTTAGCTAAATGAGAAAAAAATGTTCGCCTATTTCGATTCCTCTGTACTTTTACCTTCTTCAAGTGAGTTGGAATGTTATCATTTCATTGCATTAGTTGATGACGATTATAAAGCAAGAGTTAGGAATTTATCTTTATCATCATCATGAACTTCATCACTTTTTCATTCATTAATAGCATTACAATGATCACGTAACATTAAATTCAGCTCACATAAATAATAATCTTAAGATAATATCTTACTTTTACATGTAAACAAGTTAAAGAGATGATAACGAACTTTGAATCAAGAAAAAGATCAGATTTAAATTGTTAGATTAATTTTCAGTAGCAATAATCATCGAGCTGATTTAAACAATCAATCATCTTGCATCAGTTTAATTAACTAGCTCTGAATTGTCATGATTATTTCATTAAGTTTTGCACGATGATAATACAATCATTAAGAATCTGAGTTAACACCCAATAATCATGGTGATATATTGATATCTGTTTATTAGCTCAGGTTATTAATCATCTTATTAAAAACTGATTGTCCAGACGATTAACTGAATCCTCCCAATAATTAAGTTATAAATGATTGGTATCAATTAAATTTTCATCTCTTTCTTTCATCAATGTTTTCTCATAGGAAGTTCGTATAAAATTAGGCCATAAATTACAATTACCCGACCTATTGATTAAACCTGTCCAAAGGATCATGAAATATCAATTGTTATTAAATGATATTCTCAAGCACACTGAAAAAGCCGCACTGACCAATGAACTGGACAACCTTAGACGCGCAGTTCATATAATGCACGTTGTCCCAAAAACGGCAAATGATATGATGAACGTTAGCCGATTACAAGGTTTCGATGGTAAAATAACTGCCCAAGGTAAATTATTGCTCCAGGGGATTTTAAACATAGCCGATACCAGGGAACCAATTACTGCCTCTCTGGTGTCCAGTATTAAATTGAGAGAGAGACAAGTTTTCCTCTTTGAACAAATCATCATTTTCAGTGAGATTCTTGGTGCCAAGACTCAGTTCAGTCAACCAAGTTACATTTACAAGGCTCATTTACAGGTAAACAAAATGTCTCTCACTGAGAAATCACCTGATGACGATGAATTCAAGTTCATCCTGAAATCTAAGGACCCACAACAAGAGGGTCTCGCCTTTGTGGTACAAGCAGATGATCCCGATGAAAGATCAGAGTGGGTTCGCAATATCCAGGCCATTCTTGAGACTCAATTGGATTTTCTGAGAGCCCTTCAATCACCTATCGCTTATCAGAAGGAATTAACCAAAGAAGTGTAATTATTTTTCTATTATTATTATTGATCATCTCCACTTAACTATTCATACTATTAATTGCTCCCAATCAACAATCCATTCAAATAACTAAATTAATTTACATTTAATTTATTTGCAACTATTCACACTTTGGGTCAAGTTGTAACTCTCTTGACCCTTTGATTGCTTTGATAAAACTTTTTGATTACTCAAATAGGATTACAATCAACTAGTGTTAATCGCTAAATTTACTAATCCAATAATTTACTAACAATCTAAAAAATGCTTTTCTTTTTTTTTCGTTTTTATTTTCACATAATTAACATTCTACCGCTGGACTTGAATCGCTTTTAATACACTGTATTGTATCGTCGCTCGGCTTTTGATATGCTCGATTTTTCAACAACTAATACCGATGAAAATTCAGTTCAGCACCAGAATTGGGCTCTCTTTGGAATCCATCTTTACGTAAAACCTTTTCTCATCCAGCATCAGCACATCGAAACCGTAAGGGAAGCCAATTAAGCTCAAAAGAAGCCATGTCAAGTACCGTTATAGTTGATTCACCAAATTCAGGTTCAAATTGGTCTTCGGGTTTGCTTGGTAATCTTAATGTATCCAACCCTTCATCACCTTTGCCCACCACCTCATCTCTGTTATTATCATCATCATCATCATCATCTCATGCTCCATGTCCAATTGTGTCTTCCAAGTCGCTGAAAAATCCTAAAGGTATGACCTTTAGTAAACGAATGACCCGTGATAAGAAACTTTCCTCCCCGGTCTTAGGTTTATCATCCCGATTATCATCTAAATCATCATCTAGTCAAGATGATGGTAGTCCAAATAATACCGGAAGTAGTAGTTGTAGTATTTGGAAACGATCTTCAGTCCCATTGATTTCCTCGATTCCGCCAACACTGGTATCCACTCATTCAGCGTCCATATCAACCGATTCAACCCTTAACCCGACAATGGAAACACCATCGACACCAACGTCAACAACTAATCCAACATTTGACTCAGTAACAAGTGAGTCAACACCTTCGACAGGTGATCAACCCTCATCGATGACAACTCGAAGTAACAGTAAACGCCATTTCCTTGAAAGTTTTCGTAATCAATTACGATCTCGAAGTAGCACTTCCTCCTCAAGTCAACGAAGTAAAAGTAAATCTCATAACAGTGATCACAACTCAAAAGGACAGTCCACCAGTTCCGGTACACCAACACCAACCTCAACACCGACAAGCAACCTGACCATTAGTCTAAGTCTTGACGCTCCTTCACCTCCCACAACCATTGAAACCTCGCGATCACCAACATCGTCAAAAAAGTTTTCTAACTCACATTTACATTCAAATTACATTAATCAAAGTGACTCCGAGATCGGGATTAACCGACGATGGTCCGAATCAGAAACGCTTCGGGCCAACCGATTTACTCGAAAATTATCACCTTTAGGATTGAAAGTAAACAAAAGTGGAACCGGAAATGATAGTAATACCAGCACAACCACCGCGAGCACAACAAATGCCAATATTGTCGAAGAGGAAACCAAATGAACAATTAACTGATTCTATCAACTGATTAGTATTATTATTGGGAAACTTTTTTCCTCTTTCTGTTTTTTTTAATCACCAAAACTTTCAATCTTTGAACAAATTGTTTGTTAAATTGATTCTTAATTGTGATTTGTCTTAATTCCTGACTTTCTTTTGCTTTCTTTTGCTTAAAGATTGACAACAACAAAACTTTCTCGTCTTAATTATTATCAAACTAATCAAATTAATCATCATGGTGATGTTTTCATATTTTAAATTCAATTTTGTGCTGTTCAATATCTTGTGCCTCGATATATATAAATATATATGAAAAAAATTGTATAAATAATTAATTTAACTCATCTAATTGTCCTGCTTTTAATATAAACAATTAACTTGTAATTCATTGAGTTTTTTTCAATGATTTTCTCATTTCAAATATTAATTGAACTTTCTCTTTCCTGGTTCAACTTTTAATTATACTTATTATTGATTGATTGTTAAGCCAAATTGTCCTCCTGTGACCTTACTAATTAACTTGTAATCTAATTAATTAATTAATCTTCTGGAGAACATTTTTTCCCCCATTTTGACATCTTCCCTAATCAAACCTTGTAAATATCAAGCTAATTATCAATCAAATGTAATATTATACTGATTATGTTTCAATTCTGAGATTTTGTGTCAAAAAATGAACAAAAAAAAGTATAAACTTATTAATTCTTGCATAATATTGGTGACAATTGATTTCTTAATTTATCCTTTACTCTTGTTTACCTAAACTTAATGATAATCAAATCAACCTGATTAATGATTAATTAAGTGAAGATGAAACGAAAAAAAAATCTTGAATAAAAGTTCATTAGTTGTCTTTTATATCGCTAGATGGCGACACTTTTCAAGAATTGATTTAATTTTGATTTTAGTTTTAATTTTTGTTTAATTAACTTGGGAGTCGATTAAATTTCATTGTTCATCACAATTAAAGTTCCATTGAACTTATTGTAACTGTTGAGTTGAATTTAGAGCACTTTTTTTATCCAAATACGAGAAGTTTATTGATAAGAATTTGTTTAACCTTAATCAACTTAATTAAGATTCATAATTAACTGATTTCAATTGGAAATAGTATTTTTTTCAATTTTAAATTTCATCTCACATAAAGTAAATCAAATATAAAGAGAGAGAGAAAGGTTAATCTCTTAATTAAATAATAATAATTAATAATATTTTAATAATCGAGCTTGAAATTCATTCAAATTGATTTGGTAAAATTTAGCTCAAAAATTGAGAGCCCCAACAATTTAGTCCATTAAATTGTTATATTGCTGCTCTAATTGTGTTATAATAGAGAGTGAAATTAAATCAACCATGGCTACAAGAACCATAACAACAAAATGTATTGATTGTTGGTCAGTAATCAAGGGTTTTAATCACCACAATCAAGTTAAATTGTAAAAACAAAGTGAAACAAAAATCAAACAAACAAAATGTTGTATCAAATTGTTTATCATTATCATTATAATCATGATAACAATAGCCTAAAAATAATGATGAAACAATTATGATCACCTATTATTTATCATTCTCATCATCATGATAATCATATTGTATTGTGTTTTATTGGGATAAAATGATCAATGATAATTGAATTTGAGAGTAATCAGAATTGAAAAGGTTGAAGAAAACATCAACAAAAATAAAGTGGAGACTTGAAAGTTGGGTCAATGTCAGGCCAAAGTTACGATGGTCAATAAATATAGTGACCATCATCATGTTCATCACCTTCGTCTTCATAAAAATCTATCAGCTTATGTATGGAGTTTAACGGAATTCACTGCCCTCGAGGCGATATTTCAACCGATTTTTTCTCTTTCTTTTTTCTTTCTCCGTCCTCATCCTCATCATCCTCATCATCTCAATCTTCCTTCTCTTTCTTTCTCTCTTTCTTTCTGACCTGAAGACGGATTTGCGCTCAAGGAAGGAGACGGGGTCATACTACAGGTAATACTAGTTTAAACCGGCAAACCTCATGTTACCTGAGTTTCATTATCGTTGATCATATTATTGCATTACTATCAACTCCAAGGTGAGGTTGAAGTAACGGTTCGTAGTTTCATTTTTGTTCATTTCGTTTATAACTTTTTCTTTCTGCTCTTCGAACTTTTCAACTTCTCCGTTCATGATTAAAGTCTTAATTCTAATTGATCCAATCAAGTTTTTCTATCCATAAGTGACCATCACCCTTGGACCTTGTAATTTATTAAACTATCAAAACAATTGTTTCTTTATTCACTGTGGTGGTCATCCAATTGGTCATCAATTTGCTTTGACATTTTTCAATAATTTTCATCTATTTATGATTTCTGTTGGATAAAGTTACAATTAAAAGGTATTCTCATGATTTGGAAACATTTAATTATCGGTTTGTTTTTTATATTACAAACACAATCAACTAATCAAGGTAAGTCACAATTTACTAATCGTTTACTTTTTCAGAAGTGTTAAAGTTTAAATTTTCAAATGATCAACTGATCATCAGAGTTTTGATTACAATACAATTAAACTACTACTACTAACAATCAATCAATAACACTGATTAAAATTAAATTAATCAATCAAATCTCGTTAAAATTAAACGTATTGATAATGAGAAAATTGATAAACTTTGAAACAATCAAATCGTTAGAAGTCAATTGTTACCAATTTAATGAATTGATTCAAGCTTAATTATCGTTGTGATGATGAGAAACTTATCAATCATGACCTTGACAATTAACCATGAAAACGACTATCATGTTAATCACTGATTGACCTTTTTTAATGATAATAATTTAGTTGAAGATAAATTCAACTTAAACCATATTAATATCATTTCCTATTAACTGTTATCACTAATCATCATCTTCATCAACAGTCAAAAAAAAACATTTACCCTCAGGCATTTGTATATACACATTTATATAAATGATAAACAATTTGACTAAATGATGAGTAATTTAATTTACTGGAAACTAAATTTTCTTTTAATTGTTTAAACTTTCAATCAAGTTGTATTGAAAGAAGACTAATTTATTATTAGTTTTAACACCAAGACAGCAACAATTAGACACTTTGATTTGAAGTTAAATGTCATTAAATTAGTGATTAAGACACTCGAATGATTTATAAAAATATAACGATGATCAAGTTGATTGTGATCTTGTTTTGATTTAGTTTTAATCATCGACATTAACCAATCCTTTTGATTGTGACTCGCGGCCATTTCTCAGGCCTCAAGTCGCATTAAATTGTCCTGATTTAAAAGTCTCATCTAAATCAGTAAGAATCAATGTCAATAGTTAAACAATTAAACTGATAATTAGACCGGACATTGATTAACATTTTTGAAGGACAATCGATTTTGGTAAACAATCAATTAGCAATTCAATCAATTCAAATGAATCATATTAATTTACCCTAACAATTAATCATTTAACTTGCAAATTATTGTCCATCGTTTTAACTTATTAACTATTCAAAATTTAAAATCTAATTTAAAGGCTTAAGGGTAACAATTAATCAATTGATTGATAAGTTTAACTATTGATTAATAACAGAATGATTATCATCATTTAGTTAATCATAATCATTATTGTTTGATGAAAGTTACGTTATGTTAAATTGTTGCTCATTCAATTACCATTTAGATGGAAACAATTTATCAACAATTTAAATTGATAGATTGAGAATAAGAAAATATAATTGATCATATTACTCTGTTGCTCTCAAGTTTTTTTCTGCTTCAAGATCCAAGCAATTAACTAATTGTTATCATTAACTAAAACACAAGAATCGCTTTTTAATACAAGTAATTAATAACCTAACCCTTACAATTAAATGTAGATAATGATGATGATCAATTTAATTACAGTGTAAAAAAAATAACAATTATTGGCTATTAGTTAATTTTTTTGTTCTAACAGCGTAAAAGCAAAAAAAAAAGTTCATTCATGATAATTTATTGTTATGTAACTTTCATTGAGTAAAATTTATTGGAAGATAAAAATTTGCTTAGAATTTTTTTCTTCCAAATTGGGTCAAGTCCATCATCTTCATCTTCATCTTCATCTTCATCCTTACCTTTATCTTAAAGGTAACACATTCAAGCCGAATCTTATTTCAACACCAAGAGCTTGAGGTTAAGCTTTCATTGGAGGAATAGGAAAAGAAAGAAAAGAAAGAGGATGATAAAGATGCTGAAGATGAAGATAGAGATGAAGATGGAGATGAAGATGGAGATGAAGATAAAATTAATGATGAAGAGGGTGGTCCATTTAAAGGAGGCTACAGGGTCTTGAGATGAGGATGAAGATGATCCAATGAACAAGGTAACTCAACAGGAGTCAGATGAGGTAGATGAAGATGATGTAAAGACTGATGATGATGATGATGATGACTTTTCTCTCTCACTAGTTGATTAATTTAACTAGACTCAAATAGTTACAAATAATCAAATATTTAGGACAAGTTAATAATGGATTAGTAAATCATAATTACAGTTATTGTCTTTTGCCTGTCAATTTAATCAGTTGCCTTACAAATCAGTTAATCTTAAATTAATACATCAGATTAGACTTAATTGTTGCCCTTTATTGCAAAATCAAATCAAATCAAATCAATTTTTATTACTTAAGATTAATAAGTAAAATAAAAAAAAAAGGTTTATGGTAATTAGGATAATCGAGATTAAGATTAACTATTCAATCCGGTTTGACTTTTCAATTCCGACTGTGAGTTAAGATAATTAAGTTAAATGGAAATGCTTAAAATAGTTAACCAATTGAAATGAATTTATTTGATTAATATTCACAATCAATTGACATAATAATCAAATCAATATTATTTCATTCAACAATCAAAGTTAATCAAATTTGCTCTTAATCTTGTCAGTTAAGAGACACAATTAGAAAGGTAAACAATTAATTTTCAAGTGGTAAATTAATCAGTTAAGATCAATGGAAAAAAAATTAATATCTAACAATCAGTTGATTGACTATAACAAGAAATTTGTAACAACATTGATACAAATCATGTTACCATTAATCACAATTGATTAACTTTGAACTAAATACTATATCCAGATATTGATTTTAATTTTGACAGATTAATTGATTTCAATTCAATCAATCAAAATTCATTAACGATAATAATAGTAACAGAATTTGAAAGTTATCAATCAATAATTAAATTAAACAACATTCAACACCAATAATGATAATTAGAGTAACGAAAATCAATTGAAATAATAAAGGAGGAAAAAAAAGTTATCACAATAATCAAATGATGACCAATACTTAAGATAATCCAACAATTAGTTAATCAAATTATATCTCACAGATAAAAAGTGTACAGAATCATCAAATCTATTTCCTGTTTTCCATTGAAAATCCGGAATTGATAATCTGATTCCAAGGAATGGGACAAGACCAATCTGAATATTATCATGGTGGTGATGATCAATCATGATGATTGAGAAGATAAATAAACTGAATGAAACGAGTTAATTGTTATTATCAATATTATCATTATCGGGCTAATTTCTGGTGTAAGAATTAAAATAACATCTATTATTATCTCAATTAGAAAATCACGTTTTTTTGCTGAACTTGGAACTTTTTTTTTCATCGCCATCAGAACTTTGATATCGTTTTCTTTTTTTATCCTATCAATTTCTTTTCTTTTTCGGTGTCTACAAAACTTATTTCTATTCATGAGTCACAATTTTTGGAAGAATTCAGATTCATGATGCTTTTGAAAATTCGATTAGAACTTTTTTTTTCTTCTCATCTTTTCTTTTTTTGGGTTATCAGGTTTTTCACTTCCATCCGAATCTATGTTAACAGAATCGGTTTCCATTTCGTCTAATTGTGTATACATATAATACTAATCATCAATCAGGTTGATTACAATTTGATTATTGGGCTCATCTTGATGGTGATTAACTTAACCATTTTTGATTAGATTGTAAAAAACGCAAACAAATGATCATGTTAATCATTAGAATCACAATTTAAATTTTCAAGTGTATTTTGTAATATCTTAACTTTCTAATTATAATTAAATTTCAGCCAATGATTAAGCTTAATTGTTTGGGTTAATATTAACAATTGAACAAAAAAAAAGTGTTCAAACAATTTAAAATGTTCAAAAAACTAATCAGAGATAATCAAAGTTAATCATAACTAATGTAGGTAAGATTAATTTAACTTCATCTAACTTTGATTACGTTGATTATGTATAACTGGATTAGTAAATTGTTTGCCAACGAATTAGTTGATTAGCTAAATTGTTTGAAATGTAAGGTTTCTGGGTGAACATTTTTACTGTTGATGATGACAAGTGATTAATTATTGGTCAAATAGTTAATTATAATGCAATCAGAATCTGATTTATGTTCAACTTAATCAACTAAAATTCATGAGAGGAATTGAAACTTTGCTTTGAAATTTGATTAAAGATAAAAGTTCTGAGGTTGAGATTAACCAAATAAAATTCGTGATTAGTTCAATAAATTCATTTAAAGATTTAATCAATTAGGTAACCGATAGATCATCATCATCATCATGGTTATTATTTTCATGATAAGTTTCAATTCAGTTGAGAGATAAAATCAAGTTGACTAAAAAAAAACTATTGAACAAACTCATTGGTGGTCAGTAATCATATTTACACGTTCAATAAAAAGGATGATGATGATTAAGATAAACCAGTTATCATCATGGTGATCATGATGATAATGATTGAACTTTTTGGGAAATTTCAACAAGAATTGTTCATTCATCTTATTCATTGATCCATCTTTGTTTTCAATCAACAATTCAGTTGACAGTTATCAGATCAACACGATTATCTGTCGACAAGTTATCATCACATTTAATCATCTTCACCATGATTATCATCATAATTATCATCGTCTCGATATAATTTCAATAATAGAATCAAAAAGAAAACTTTTCTTATCCGATTCATGATATTTTCTCATGTTTAAATCATGGGAAAAGTTGAATTCAATTGATTTCTTTATCATTTTGTATCAATTTCAACTGATTGTTAAGCTTAATTAACTTTTACAATAAACTAAATTGTTGGTGTAAACAGTTTTCAACAATTGATCATGTTTACATTAAATCAAACTATTGTTAAATTAAATTGGAAATAAATTTTTGATTATCATTTGAATTAAATATAAAACCATCATCATTATCATCATCACGGTGTAACCTTAATCATTACCCAACAATCAGTAAACTTTACAAACAATCAATTGATTGTTTATCAAATGTTTGGATATAAATTTACATGCAAATAAATTGTGATTGTCTTATAATAATATACGGGTTAATTAGCCTAAATTACAATAGATTAACAGATCAAATTATAGCAGCAATTAGTGAAAATATTTGATTGATTGTTGCAACAACAATCAATAGACTGACTGTTAATCAAGTGAATTTATTAAATGATTCCTTAACCAGAGAGCAAAATTAAATTGCAAATTAGTGATGAAAAATTAACTTGTCAACATTTGATTGTAAAAAAAAACAACAACAACTTTCAATAGATAAACAATTTAATCATCATTAAACTACATCATTACCATTAGGATGTTAATCATTATTCAGTATCATTAACAATTAGGTCATTATCACAATGAAACATATGAATGAATTAGTTGATTATTTCAGTGAAAAATGAATTGTTATCGTAACAGAAATAACAGAATAAATATAAAAAAAAGTTCTAATTGAAAAGTTTTCAAGAAGAAAAAAAGTTCTAATAATGAAGTCGAGTTAATGGTTCGAGTGTTAATTTAACTTCAACAGAATAAAAAGTTTTAGGTTATTTTGTATTCCAATGATGAACCGGAATCAAGATCAGGGTCAATCTTTTTTCCTCTATCTCTCTCTCTTGATTGTGATTAAATTGTACCAACAATTAACTCTCATGATGAATTAACTGTTAGTTAATCAAAATTGATAGACAGCTTATATTAATAATCTAAATTTTGCTTCTTATTGATCGTTCATCATGATAATTAAATGATGATTAGTTATATTGATTTGTGAATATTTCCTTTGACTCTTCCCTTTTTGAGATTATTTTTAATTCTTAATCAATTCTTGGATTAATGTTAATTAACACTTTCATTTTGATGATTGATATTGCAATTATCAGGTTATATACAAATTGTATTAGTAAATTGTTTTGAGTGATGAGTTAATCTAGTTTAGCATAATAACAATTTATTTGATTGTTTGATCAATCAAAAGATTTACTATTTTTTTTTATTTCTATAAAAAAGTTTTAGCGATTCAAGTTAATGATAAGTTTTTGTGTTATTTTCAATGTTAATTGTTGGTTGATCAAGTTGATCAAGGTAAAAGATATTGACAACAATTAAGGTTTATTATTAGTTGCGAAACTTAATGGATTTAGAAATTTTTTTTCTGCTAATCTTATGAGGTTATTTGATTAACTAAATTGATTAACTAATAACCGATGAGAAATAGTAAAAAGTTAATCAGTAGTTTTAATCATTAGTATCCGGTAAGAATTAATTGATCATGCAATTAACTTTTTCTTATTCTCGTTGGACAATTAAGATTTAAGGTAAAACATGATTAAAATTGAAGATTTGATTAATTTGTATCGATCAAATTTATGAGAAAAAAACATTTTGCTCTACAATCAACTAATCATCTTTTTCTTGATTCATTACAATTTAAGAGAAACCAAAATAATAACAAATCACTGAAAATACAATCAATTTGATCAACATGTTTGATTCTGATTAACAATAAATTATATCAAGTTGATTGACAGTAATAAGCTGATTAGAATTGTTAATTAGGTGGGAAAACAGTTGTTACTATTAATATATCAGGTTTAATTGTTGATCGGCCAACAATTAAGTGTCATCATAATCATAATCATCACCTACTTTACACTTAAATATTATTAGTTGGTGGACATTTAAATTGATCAATTTAAACAATTGTTCACAAATTAGATAACAAAATAATTACTTTACAAATGATTAAAAATCAATAACATCTAATTGTTGACAATTAACATTTCCATGTGAAAGAAATTAGTTTAATACACCAACAATTAAACAAATCACGATTTAAACGTGACACTAATAAAGTTAATCAATTATTAAATAATCATGGACTAATTTATGATAACTTGTTAATCATGATTAATAAAAGTTAATTCATTATTATTCATTCATTATCTAATTCAATTAAAAATTGATGAATCGCTAATTGCTTTTCCTTTTTTGATATCAACTAATTGTTGATCCAATACTAAATCATTGAACTTATTAACTCAACTCAATGATTGATAATCTCTTAACAATCAAATGATCATTTTTGTTAATTGTTAGAGACAAATTGTTTAGATCTAAAATTAGAAGTTATATAAAATTTCATCATTTGTTAATTGTTGTTGACCTTGTTGTTAATTTACAATTAACTGTAAGGTTTGTACAATTAAAAAGGGTTGGTTGTTAATTAGCTAAGTCTCTTTGATTAACTAGGCCCTAGTTTTAAGTGAATGATAATCTCACTGATTGTTGTTGATGTTTAATCAAACAATCGTGATTTACTGTTAATCAAGATAATAATATAATCATTACGAAATTATGTTTAACTAATAGTTAAATGGAAAATTGTCTAATTGTTACATTAAAACTGATGAGTCTAAATTAACACTTAAATCGTGATTAACCATTTTTCCATTTTAATCAATGTGTATTTAAAAGTTTAATCATTTCGTTGATTAAACATTTAACGTTACTTCACTGAAGCTTCAATAGTTAATCATGATAATAATTGTTAGTAAATAAATTAGATTTTAAATATTAATAGGCTAACACAATCAATGGAAAGCTTTTCACCAATTAATATTTAATAATGTCAAACACGATGATCACAGTTATGTTGATTACTTGGTTTTTTTGTGACAAAATTAACAATCATCGTTGATTTTGATTAACATTTTCATCTCCCATCCTTTGATTACACATTTAAATTGGTTCTTCTCTTTGACTTTCAATTCCTAATTGTGGTTAAATTGTTCGAAGGGTGGAAGCTAATTTGATCCATTTACAAGTAGCATTGTAATACCAATACTCTCAATTACTTGAGAGATGAAATTGACTCGGGTTACAATGGAAACCATAAAACCGATTTACATTCAATCCTCCAATCGACCTTAAGTTGATAGTCTGGAATCAAATTTCTCATGTAAATTAAGAGTAACAATTAACATGAAATGAGTTTCCTATTAATCGGATGTAAAGGTAAGGTGATATGTAGATAGAGTTATGAAAATCAACTTGATTTACTGGTTAATTTTTTTTTCTCCTTCACCACCACCACCATCATGTTGTTACCTGTAAAGTAATAGCAACAACCATCATCATCATCATCATCTTAATGATAACGATAATGGTTATTAAAAGAGAGAGAGAGAAATGATCATAATTAAATGTCTTCCTAAGAGGTAAATATTTTACAAGAGAAGCCAAAAAAAAAGTGATACTCACCTTTTCCCTCCTTTTTATTTTTAAAACTGAATAGTATCCATACCAAATCGTGAGATTATTTCAAGTCATGATACATGGTGAATCATGGTAATCGTGACTGAACTTACCATTTCAATTGATCAACTTCAACCTTGTTTCTTTTTTAAAAACAGAAGAGAAATAAAATCAACTAAGGAAATGATCATGAAAAAATGGATCTTCAGGCCTGAATAAGTAAACACCAACATTAGAATCTTGAGCTTTTCACCATAAAACAAATACTAAAACAATGATATTCCAAATTGAATACGCACAATCTCTATAACCTAATAAATGAGAATAGGAAATAAAAAAGAATTAAAAAAGAAACACAATTAAAATGAAAACAAATCGAATAGAAAACAAAAGAGAAGCAATTAAAAAAATAGAGGAAATTTTCTATTAATAAACAAAACCGGAAAACCGAAGCGGGAAAGAATAACCGATAATCTAAGATTTCCAAAGAACAACAAATGATTAATCACTTTGAATTTATTCTAATCTCTTTTCAACTTGATTAACTAAATTTGTATATTTGGACTTCATATTTGTAGTCGTACAAGTATACAGTCTCAACTTTTAACTCAAAAGTCTAATTTTTGCCTTTGTCCTTTAATTCCTGAAATCATAGGCTCATAAGTGGAAAATAACTCGAACATTGTCCATTCCAAATCATTTCTTCTATCCATATTTACATGAGATAAAAATGTATCCATAGTTTTGCGTGACTTTGGAACTCTTTCAAAATAAATACGAAATTGGTCGCAAAAAACGAAAAAGTTATGGTTAAAAATCAAGCAATCAATGTACATGTATATGAATGAAGTTAATAAGACTAATTTGATAAGTTATGTTCTAATAATTATTCTTATATTATTTGCTCTAATTTCGGCAATATTTTCAACTTTGCTAATGAAATATCATCTTGGGGATTTTTCACTTCGCAAGAAATCTGTTAAGTATAAGAAGAAAAAGAAATCGAAAAAGTTTGTCAGTAAATAATGTGATTTTTACTTTTTGTGTACCTTGTTTAACAAATTTTTCCCGCTGAAGCTGAGAGACAACTTGTTCGCTTGATGAGATTGTACAGTGCTATTCAACTTCATTTTACGCAGATTTTTAGTTATAAGTCAAGAACCAGTAGGTCAAAAATAAATAGACTTCGTACATATCCATTTCAGAACTGAAGGACCTCGCATAAAAAATTTCAAGGTCATTGAGGTCATTTAACGATAAACCCATTTGGAGGTCACCTTGAAGTTTTATTGAAAGAACAAAAAATTATCCCTTAATCGGAGTCTCGGTGTCAATATCATTTCTTCAAATGACCTCTAAATGGATTTGAAATGGGTCGTGAAATGACCTCGATGACATTGAAACATTTCTACAAAGATTCACTTCGAGTTGCAATAACTTTTAAAATCATTGGGTTTTCAATGCGAAGGCCACCATTATATAGTTATCATTATATTAATATTACAATAATAATAATTAATAATATTAAAATTATTAATTCTTTTTCCAAACAATTTACAGTAAAAGTAACTGATTAACTTAATTTATTAGAATTAAAAAAAAACGGTTACTCTAAGATTGAAATGATTACATTTCCCCTGAAATCTTAGTAATCAACGGTTTTTGTTTTGATTTTTTGTTCTTCTCACAATTAATAATCTAATTGATGTTAATCAACTTTAAGGTGTAACTAAATTGTTCCTAAATATAATTAGTGTGTACATTGTGATGCTTAAAGTGATTAAATTGCGAATTGTTACTTTTTTCTTGTTAAAAGATTTCAACATGAGATCAGTTATCCTTTTAGTTTTGTTGCTCTTTGAGTAGCTCAAGAAAAACACTTCACCCTAATTGTTAATTCATCTAATACTTGTTGTTTACCTACAACATTAATTGTCTTGTTGTTGGTTAATGTTAATTTGTTAATCTGTATCTCTAATGTTTCCATCACCCTGATCAGCATCCAAATTAAAAATAAAACGAGTAAAACATTTGATGATAATGATGATTATATTATGGAAACAATTGATTCACTTGGTAATATTTTCGCTTGTGATGAATTACATTTGCTACTATTGGTAAACTCTGGATTTGGTGAACATTTTTAGGTTAACATTAATGTATTAATATTTATTGATTGTTATCCCAACCTAATAAGTAGTAGATTTAATTGTATTGTAATCTCTTAGATCACATTCATCATTTACATGAGCCATTTTTATCTTGTCATCTTCATCTTCATCTTCATCTTTAGTTACACTCTCCTCTTTTTTCATTGTTAACCTTTTCCCGCTTCATTTTACATTGAAGGAAAAGTGTAACATTTTCAATATCAGGATTCGAAATTGATTAATTGTGATTGTATTATATTAATTGTTTTTTTCTTCTCTTTTTCTCTTAATTATTACAGATAAATCCAATGAAACCGCCAAACCAAATAAACGAATTGTCTGCTATTATCGAGTGGAAGAATCATTTAGACCCTATGATATTGATCCAAATCTTTGTACTCATCTAATTTATTCATATGTTGTGATCAAGGAAAATTTCGCCTTCGTTGCTGGAAAAAAAGGTATCAAAAGGATTATCTCATCTATCTAATCTAATCCCTATTTCCATTATGATATCACAATAATCAACTCAATTCTGTTGGTACCAAGAATCAAGTTCCCTCTCCCTCCCTTGACTAACCTACCGAAAACAATTATTACAAAGTGATAACCATCAAGATAATTCATACAAATGGATAAATTCAATTAATTTGATCAATCTAAATGAAGATATGATTGATTGTATTACAGTTAAAAGAGAAACAATTACAATAATAGTTAGTAGAAGTTGCAAAACTACAAATACCACACCTTCATGAAAATCTCATAGAAATGAATACAAAGAAAGATAACAATTAGTAATAGAATAGAGAAAATAAATGAAATTAATAATAGTAACATAATTTCCCCTCAATATCACAATTCCCTTTTCTATCAATTGATCAACAATCAACTAATCAACCAAATTCTAATACATTTAATCTCCTCTCGCCATCTCACCTTTATCCATCTCCATCTCCATCTTCATCTTTTCTCTCTCATCCTTATACCCAATTCATCAATTGATTAATTCATATTAATCTGTTGAATTACATGTTTGTTACTTCATTTGATATTATCGGTGATGATGATAAACCGTTATAATAGTAATGATTATCTCAAGAGTGGGCGATTCAATATAAGATCAAAGTGAAAAGCAATTTGCTGATTTCTTTTAACTTATGTAACAATTAAAAAAAAAAGGACCCAAAATTTGGGCCAACAGATTTAGTATTAAAATCCAACACTAATAACACAGTTAAATTGTTGAAAAACAACAACAGGTAACCAAGAAAAATTAACAGAAAAATTTACCCACAAATACAAAATATTATTACCCACTTTTCAGGAATAACAAGATTTACCCTGAAGCCTTTTTAATTCATTGATAATTATAAGATTTTCCTCATCTTCATCATCTTTATCCTCTTTCTTTTCCTCTTTCTTTTACCAATAAATTCTTACCTTTTATCATCCTTAGTCTTTATCTCTCAAACCTGTTGCTGTTTAGGTTATCAAGTTTATTTATCCACAAATAATCATCATAATTAACGGTAAAATCGGAACAATTTCAAACTTAATTAACTACCAAAGGGAACGAGGGTAAACATTGAGATTTCCATCATTATCATCAACATCCCAAGTTCCCCTTTTAATTTAAAACAATTATTAACATAACGGGATAACTATTAGGCTCTGAGAATGATTTTAATTGTTGATTAATTCATTTGAGTTTTAAAACTTTTTTTTTATTTCCTGTCATTAAGATTTTCGCAACTTTCTTGTTTTCATCAGATTGGAAGTTGATTGTTTTGGTTTATTTAATTATTTCCATTTTGATTGTGATTGTATCTTTGTATTGATTTGATTTGATTTGATTTATTTGCTTTTACTTTTTTTCTTTAGGCGATTTGAAATTCCTTGGACAATTAAAGCAACGAAATCCTGACCTTAAAGTGATCGTTTCGTTACGTCCTTCAGGTCGAGAGTTTTCCTTAGATGGGACATCGTCATCGTCTTCATCTTTGTTTCACAATTCTGATCATAGTAACTCATCAGGACTTGCGATTAAAACTAAATTTGCTCGAAAAGTTCAAGAATTTATCCTTCGTCATGAGTTGGATGGTGTTGATTTGGACTGGGAATTTTTCCGTGATTCAACTAAAGACATTTCTACGAAAAAAGATTCACTTCTTTCAATTGTTCATCTTTTACGAACTTTATTCAATCAATTATCATCAGGTAATCCAGATAATGATCGTTTAATTACCATAACTACAAGTAAATACCCTCGAGAATTAACTGATGATTATGATTTTGGTAATTTACACAAGTAAGTTGATCTTTTTTTGTTTATATTCTAATAGTAAATTGAATCGTCTAATTAATTTTGATCTATTTTCTTATTAGGTATATCGATTTTGTCAGTGTTCCTGCTTACAATTATGATTCTGAAGGTAAATCAGTTCGACATCCAGCTCGACTTCATGGTATTTCAGACATGGAAAACATGGTAATTACCTGGAAATAATTTCGAAATACAATTGATGACATTTACTAATTGCTATTCATTTTGTTTTTATAAATTTCTAGGATTCACTTGTTGATTTAGTTCTGGCTTTAGGTCTTCCAGCTGATAAATTGATCATGGGATCTCCAGCTCATGGTATTTTATATAAATTAGTTAATTCAAGTCAAACAATTCCTGGTTCACCAGCAATTGCCTGGAATTACAATGAAGCAATTATTTCACATGCAAAGGTAATTGGATAGTAGATAAATTGATTAACCAATTATAACCTTTTACTTTTAATTAAAATAAATTGTTACACAGATTTGTGCCATTCGTGATAATACCAACTGGACATTGGTCAGAGAAAAGGATTTGACTTCACCTTATATTTACTTCAACAATAAATGGATTGGTTTTGATGATGAAATTAGTCTTAAATTAAAGGTAAAATTGTCAATTAATCTTGAAGATGTAAACAATTATTGATTTTTATTCTAATTGTTATTTAGACCAAATATTCAGTACTTCGAGGACTTGGTGGTATCGCTTTGTGGTCTGTTAATGATGACGATCCTCAAGGTAAATGTGGTTATGGCCCATTCCCCTTATTGCAAACAATTAAATCAGTTTTAACATTTCCAACGGATCACATTAATCAACCTTATGGTAAATTGGCTTCGATTGTTAAACCAAAAAGTGACAGTTTTGGTTTAGGTACATCATTTGTTGCAATCGTTGAAAAGTATGGTAATGTTGAGAAGATAAATGATGAAGATGATTCATCTAAAGATGAAGTGTCGACATCATTACCCTGTTCCGAATCGGGTTACATGAGGCATCCAAAAGATTGTTCCCGGTTTTACCGGTGTGTCCGGTATGATGATGGTTTATCATCATCATCTAATTCACAGTTAATCAGATTTCAATATGGATGCCCTCAGGGTTTACTCTTTGATGATAAATATGAGATCTGTAATTGGCCCTCTTGGTCACCTCCTTGTAATGGTTCAGGTGAAATCATGGTTGTTGACAAGAAAACATTTACCTGTCCCTCTTATGGTTACTTCCAGGATCCTGACAATTGTGAATTTTTCCACTATTGTTCCGATTTTGGTAAAGGTCATTTCCAAGGGTATGAGTTTAAATGTCCATTCGGTCTTGGTTTTGATGAAGAAAAGCTCCTTTGTAATTGGAAATGGTTAGTTCGAGGCTGTGGAACATCCGAACCTGATTCAAATGGCGATGGTTCGTCTAATCTTGATTCCATTTTGTCCAATTTTCCATCTTCATTCCTTCCAGTCGCAAGCGAGTCAAGTGAAATTAGCGTTGATAGTTCAAAGGGAGATGATTTTAGTTCAACCGATGAAGATGAATTATCAGCTCGATCAGATGATTCGGAAGAGATTAAATATCTTGATGACTCTTCAAGTGGCCACATTGATCTAAGTGCTGAGCATCGAGAAGCTGAACCTAAATCAAGACGATCCTTTGCTCGTGCTCTCAAAGAGCATGTAACTGAATTCGTAGGAAATGTCGGTACCAAAGTGAAAACTTTGTTCACTGGATCAGAAGGAAGTGATTCAATTGAACGACGAGATGTACTTAATGCCCCAGGAGGACATTTCGGCTCATGGTTATCAAACATCAATCCTTTCTCTGGATCACCGCCTGCAGTTATCCCCTTGAAAGATGTTCGACCAGATCGGGAACCTCGAAGACCTCCAGTTACACCTTTGACTGGCCGAGGCTCGAATCCCAAGGAACCAATGGTTTCTATTCCTGTTATTGAAATGTCCAAACCTCATGGTCATGGTAACAATGGTGGTCGAAGGGAAGAGAAACACTTAAGCGAAGGTCGTCATCGTGGACCCAAAAAACCTTCAGTTCAATATGCTGACGTTGAACCCGAACAAGTTGGTCCAATAAAGCCTAATGACCACAGAGAACAACGACCGCAACAACAGTCGGGACCAAATAAACCCAATCGTGAGACAGTCGCCGTTCCTGTGATTACAATTAAAGATCAATCAATTCAACGTAGACCAGATCCTGTAGGTGTTTCATCAAACAACGGACCAAGACCATCAGGTCAACGTGAGCAAAACAATCGTCCAACTGGTGAAAGACCAAATAATAATAATAATAATAACAAAGTTTCTGGACCAATTCCAATCCCGTTACCTAAGGAAGGAATTCGTGAACAAAAACGCGGCGGTCAAGATCAAAATCAACGACCACAAAAACAACAACAAAATCAACCACCAACTCGTGTTAATGGCCAACCAACTAATAACGGAGGTCTTCAAAGTTCTGCTTCGATTATTCGTCCTCAACATGTTCCACAATCAGTTGATCATCAAAAAGGTAATCAAGGTCCGCCACAACACCGTAAACCAACACAACCAGAATTAAATAAACCCAATCAACATCATCACCAACAAAAACCACAGAATAGACCAAATGTCGATATGAAAAATATCCCCGGTGTCGAAATGTTACCTGGATATGAAGTAGACATAAAGCCTTTGGAAGTTCAAGAAATGTTATTAAATGGTCAACTTGGTGCAAATGCTGCAGCGATTGCTAATAATCCCGATCTAATGAAACAAGCTCAAATTTTCTTACCTGGATTACGGGAACATGTTCGGGAACATGTTCGACAACATCTTAAGAATCAAATGAAAAAACCTGGTCCACCACAAGCTCCTCAACCTATTAATCAACATCAACCACATTCTCAACAACAAGCACCAAACCGCCAACATCATCAACAACAAAATCCACAAATACCGAACCAACAACAAATGAATCATCAACGAAATCAGCACAATCAACCACAACATCCACAAATACCTAATCAACACCATCATCAACATCAAAAGCCACAACAACCAATTACCCATCCTAACCAACAAACCCCTGGCATTAATCATCATCATCAACCTCAAATTAAACCAACACATGGAAATCAACCACAATTACCCACAATGCACCACCACCAACAACAACAAAACCAACACCAACAACAGCAACAACAGCATCATCATCAACAACAACAACAATTGCAGTCACAAGGAGGAAGACCTCAACCTCAACCTCAACCACAACCACAACATCAAAATCAACATCATCAATCACCAAATGTTCAAAACGGTCCAAATAAACAAATCAACAACAACAACGTTCCAGTTACACCAAGACCGATGAACGGTGTCACTTTCACCCAGCGACCAGTTCAAGATACCATGTACAAAGCTCAAGGAAGTGGTAATTACATGGCCGTTCAAGGACATAAGCAATCGCATTACGGTGTATCATCAGAATCTCAATTAGTAAATGGACCTCATGGTGGATCAAATAATCGAAATCCATCTGAACCTTTACCAATAAGTAAAAATGGCTTCATACCAATTCAACCTTCGGGTTCACAATTTACATCAACATTTACAAATCAACACCAATGGCCTGGAACCAATAATGGAAACGATAAAAACAATAACAACATGCAAACCTCGGGAAGTAGTAATGAATATCATTACTATTCAAATTCTGCTGATCCTTCAATGGACGTTCCCAATTTCGTGAAAATTGTTGAATTACCAACAAGCTCATCTGTTTCCCCATCAACATCCTCATCACAAGCAACTTCATCTACTACACCAAAAGCAACAACAACAACGACAACCACCACCAAGAAACCGCAACTATTAATCATCCCAGTTCCTGACAGTCATCCGCAAGCTTCAAATATTGATGAAGTTGAAAAATTGGCTTCAATGTATCCAAATATATTCCCGTCGGGACTTGACTTTAAACGTATTTCAACAACAAGAAGACCAGGATCAATTATCCCACCTAAAGGTAAACCAAATGGTAAAGATGATGTACTTTATGTTGTAGTTGATGACAAAAATAAACCAATTGGAAATCCAATTAAATTACCATCAGATCAAAATGGAAATCAACTTTTCGATGAAAGTAAAATGTCATTGGATGAAATTTTACGAAATCCTGACCTACTTACCGCTCTTTCTCAACAAGGTTACAATTACGAAACTTTAATTGAAGCCAGTGGATTAGGTCAACGTATTAATCCATCAATTGCCAATCGACCTCAACCACAACCTCAACAACATTTCCACCACCAAAGACCAGTCTCATCGTTCCCACCACACCAGCACTTACCTGCACCAGGTAACTGGATAAAACACAACGAGGCCGAAAAGTCGATCAACGATGTCAATAGTCAACATAATCCAAAGAACACTTATCGAAAACCATTCCAGCCCCTTGCACCGATCACACCACCACCACCACCACCACCAACGAGAGCAAGACCAATTTCATCAACAGTTTCAATTGTTAACCGTCAACGACCATCAGCACCATCAACAACAACCTCGACAACAACAACAACAACTCTCCCACCTGTTACTCAATATGATCTTAAACGAACAACCAAAAAACCAAGTAAATCACCACCACGTTCATCCGTTACTTCAACAACAACAACAACCACCACCACCACCACTACCACAACTACAACTCCTCCACCTTCAACCTCAACAACTACAGTTCCACCGACAACAATCAATCCTCCCTCAGTATCAACAGTCTCTCCATCAGTTACAAGTCCATCTTCATTAACTAACGGTACTTTAACTACTGATGACAATTTCTTCCTTGGGGCTCAATCAATTCCTCAAGCTTTATATGAATCAATTCAAGCGGTAATTGCTCAACATTTATCACAATCAGGAATTAGTACAACAACTACAACAGCAAGTCCACTTTCAACCGGATCAACTCCAATTAACTATGAAGGATCAACAGTTGACTCATTACGAGTACCCGGCTCACTAATCCCACCCCAACAACTACCACCACACCCACAGGGTAACAATAATATCAACAATCAGCCTCCAGCTTATCATTCATATTATTATCAGCCCCCTGGTTCAAATGAAACTGTTGTCTATGGTCAAGGATGGCCATCTTATCAACCTTCTTGGTATCAATATGCTTTCCCACCCTCTCCCATTTATCCCTCTGGTATTAACTTTACCAATCCAATGGGATCACCTTATTATCCTCTAGGCTCACCCTACCCTGGACCACTCCACCCACCTCATCATATCAACTATCAACCTCAATATCTACCCAATGGTTCACCTCAAATCGGATCTCAACCTTCCGGTTCATACTTTGATCTTCAATACGTTACACCTTCGGACGTTACCTCCCCACCGATTTACGCTAAAACCTCCGAGTATCCAATCAACCCACCCACAGTCTCACCAAATGTTCATGACAAGTATGGAGTCTATGATACTTATGACTACCATGTTCATGGAGGATACGAAGCACCGATAGGCTCAGGTGGATACACAAACGATTATGTGAGAGCTTCAACATCATTCCCAATCCAATCAACCACACCATCGACAACAACAACAACCACCACCACTACGACCACCACAGCAGCACCTCCAACAACCAGAAAAGTTTCCATTGAAACGGCAACTGAATATCTAACTGAACGTCCATTTGATATATTGAGAAACAAAGGTGACTCTCCACAGATTCAAGTCTACATCGTTCAAGGTGCTAATGGACCTCAAGTAAAGACGAAAACTGTTCATCCTCATCCATCCTCATCTTCATCTTCAGTTTCATCATCATCATCATCATCGTCGTCATCTTCATCTTCATCTTCATCATCAAAAGATTCGCCAAATGTTAAAGTTTATGTTATCGATGAGTTAAAAGAGCCCGGACAAAGTGAATCGATTCAAGATATTAGTAAAACCGATAATCCTCATCGAGGATATGGTCGACCGATTGGTGTTGAAGAATTGGAATCAGTTCATGAGATAAGCGACAATAATAATGGTAACAATTATTACTCATTCTCATATGAATCTCGAGGCCGGTCAACTACTCCGACTTATCCATCTTATCAACCACCAGAAACATCCAGACCAGAGGTGAATGAAAACAATTCAGGAGGAGTTAATCATTATCGTGACATTGAATATGAAGATGAATCTTCAGGTGATCAAGTTAATAGTGGAAACGTTAACGGTAATCAAGATAATCAAGGTTTCCTTCCAGCGGCTAAAGTTAATTCCCTGCAAAGTTTATACAATACGAATCTTTATCCAGGCTTAAGAAACTTTACCGATGGTTCAGTTCCGGAAGCGGCCTGTACCCGGGCTGGTCTATTCCAACATCCCGGTGATTGTAACAAATTTTATGAATGTTATTGGGACAAATTCATCAACAAGTTTACTCTCCATCTATTTGAATGTCCAGTTAAATTAGCTTTCGATTCACGAATTGTTGGTTGTTCTGCTCCAACTGATCCAACTGTTTGTGTCCAATATTAAAAACAATACAAATTGTGGATCAACAATTAATCAATTAATCAAAGAGATGATTAATCATCAAAACACCAATATACGTATCACACCACCGAACTTAATTAACGATCTTTCCAAAACGTTTTAATCAACTTTATATTCTTACACTTTTTTTTTATCAAAAAGTCTTGTCACTTATCAGTTACCATAATTAACTAATTGTTTTTCAAAGAGAATCAAATCAAGATGAAAGGTATAAACAATGATTTCATCTTAACGATAAATGCAATTAATTTATTTCAATTAAATATGATTAAGTTTTGTATAACTATAATTAATTTCAAATAAAAATCTTTAATTAATCACTTGAATTAGTCCATTGATTTAACGGATTGATTAGGATCGATTTCCATATTATTCATTTCCGTGGGAAATGAATAGCACCAATCGATTTCTCATCGGAAGTTACAAATTTTCATGAAAAAATTGACCGATACGATACGGAACTTTATATTATATTATATATAGTGTTATAACAATCATCACACCACCGTACCAATCATTACAATTAATTTGGTAAAAAGTTTTGGCGAAAGAGAATTGATTCTTCTTTTCTCAGGGTTTTTTCTTTGTCCGTAATGATCGATTTTTTCACATAAGTGGCCGAAGAAGGTAAATATTATATTAAGACTTTTCTTCGTTGGGGCTTTTAGTGCGTCCCCTGAAACCAAGATAATTAGCTTCGAATTCCTCTTGTGTCTGGACATTAAAAACGAAAATCATGCTTGAATTTAGTATAGACTATTAATATTGATAGTAATAAGAGATTATTAATTGTTTACTTACCAAGTCAGCGAAATGGTTGATTCCCACTCGGTGAGCGTGGACTCCATTGTCAGCTTCTCGGTTGTGGGCATTGACTTTTTCCAATGTCGCTACGAAAATTGATTTTCGATATGATTCTTCTGCTGAAGAACCATAAACTTTATTGTACTTGGCCTGGAAAAGAGATGAGAAAAGTTTAAACAAATGGATTATTAACTATAAAAGTGGAACTTACTTTGAATGATTCCCATTCTTTGTCGAGGGAACAACTTGAGCTGCTACAAGTCCTTCTTTGCCAAACCGATGAAACAAACCGTTTAATCATTTTGCTTGTAATTATTACGATTTTTAATTGACGGGAATTTGATTAACTATGAATCGTAGTCTATGATAAATGAATGTCTTCTCACAATAGTAAACAAAACAATTGCGCATAGTCGAGGACATGTGTAGTTTTAGTAATCGATCTTTCAAAATTTACCAAACAAATCAACGAGATTGGACTTGGAATGCAAAAAGATTTCGAGATGGAGATTAACAAACAAATTAAGAAAGTAAAAGTTACGATCAAAAAAAAACGAAGATAATTTGGAATCGGCAAAAGAGAAAAAGACACAATCAAGATACCTAACATCTATACAATAGAAGAATAACACATCAATGGTCAACAACGAGTAAACCAGGATTGGTGTTGGCCGATCATCGAATTCGGTATTGATTGACAAATCATTACAATTAATTTTGTAAAGAAAAGTTTCGGTGAAAGCGATTTTCGATTATTCTTTTCTCTGTGATTTTTCTTTGTCCGTAATGATCGATTCTTTCACCGAAGTGACCGATCTATTAACTCGGATCGACCAACCACATGATTGGACTTTGTGAACTTCGCTTCAAAAGGAAACCTAGTGGTTACCATTTTCTTCTGTTTTTGTATAAAAACTCAATTCTTTTCTGTCAATCAAGTGTTATTAATAGTTTCTAATAAGTGATAATTAAAGTGTGGGTCAAGATGGACGATCAACAATGGACATTGGTAGATACGGAAGTGACAATTGTGAACCGAAAAAAATCTTATCAAATTCCAAAACAAAAGTTATCATCGATTCCTTACTTTGTGAAATTATTTTCCGATTCTAATTGTGGCACAACCAAAATAGAACTTGATCTTGATGAAAGTTCATTCGATAATATAGTTGATTTTATTCTCAACGATCATCTATCAATTTCCATGGAAAGCGCCTTTTCAATGATTGAAACTGTTGATTACCTCGGAATGGACGAAATTAAACAGAAATATCATGATTATTTCCAATCAAATTTTAATATTAAACTATTGGAAGAATATTTAGACTTTTATGAGAGCCATAAATACCAAGAAATGTTCACTGAAAAAAAGCTCTATTCTTTTATTGCAAAGTATTTTCTTCCAATTTCCAACACAAGAGATTTTCTAAATTTTTCTGTTTCTCTATTAGAACGCATATTGAAACTGAAATTAGTTGTTTCTTATGAGTATCAAATAGTTGAAGCTATTCATCGATGGAGTGGATTCTATCAAAAAGCTAGAAGACAATATCTACCAAAACTCATCAAGTTCGTTAATTTTTGTCACTTGACCTATGGAGACATGCAAAACGTCACTTACATGCTTGCTCAATCTGGGTTCAACATCCATACTCTACAATTTAATGTACATTCTTTTCATGCCTGTCGCCCAAAACTCTGTGGATCAGATTGTGAAAGTCCTCGATTTCATTTTAAAACATTGATCGCAGTCTATGAGTTTGATGAAAATACAATTGAAATACGACGTTTGACAGGACCAAATCTCTGGACAAAAAATGGTCGATTTACTCGGGATGAGAAAATTTCAAATTCTTTAATTGTGGCAGATCACATTTTCGATATAATCTATGATTCAGGAAGAAAAGGTATTCGAGTTGATTGGAGTACTAAGAAATTCAAAGCTCTAAAAATGTTTGGTGATGACAATTCTTATTACGGTCAAATTCACAAATACATGAACATGTATATCACTCAAGATATTCAGGATCCATATCGGTAAGTTAAACTGACTCTTGATAATAATATAATCTAAATATCCTCTTTACTTTACCATCTTTAGTTTGAGTGGAATGATCACAGAATCGAAAATGGTTACCAGGTATGGACTTTCCTTGAGCCCGACACGATTGGAATTTATTTCTCTGGGTGATCACTTAGAGGGAATTTGCTGTGGTCATGAGCTGCCTTGTGAGTCTAATCAATCTGGTTTCTATCCCAGTGTTAATCCAGCTTATTATAATTCTGACAGTAAACAGCACTATTATTATCTTCCTTCTCTTGATTATCGACAATTATCTTCTTGTACGCTGCAAGGACCCGCTGAAACTCGTTCATGTTTTTCCTTAGATCAAACATCAATTAACATTAATTGCTCACATCCTGAAAAAATTTTGTACTTTTTAACGAAACAAGATTTCAGTTTACATTTCCTGAGAGGGTTTAGAAGTAAAAAACTTGATTATTCGTTTCTGAAAAGTTTCATCGGAAGCGATTCTCTTGACCATATCGAGTTGACTTCTCATAACAACTCAGTTCTGATTTGTAACAAGAAAACCAAAACCATTTATTCTCATATTATGGGTACTGATACTTGGCAATTCATGTCTGAAATTGTATCTCCCCAAAAGATGATTACAATTGCATCTATCAATTTACATTCGGAATAATAACTGATTTCCGATACTCAATCAAACTAAATTGTACAAAACAATCCTCAAATCAATCTAATAATATCTTAGCTTTCGATAGCTGTTATTAGCTTTTTTCCTCTACCTATGCTTACAGAGACTCTCACTCATTTTAGATCACCCGATATATTGAAACCATATCAATTGTAATTTTTGATGTCTTTGTTTTACTATTAAAGAGAACAAGGTACAGTTTGAATGAAATACTAAGTACAAATTAAATATGTTTTATTATAATTGATCAGTTGAATTATTCTCCTCGATTTAGCGGCTGAAGAAACAGGAATCAATTGATTTGTGATTTTGACCAATTTTTTTTCTAATACACTATATTTAGTTGAACGTCATAATTGGCCTGTACCGAAAATGAAACTGAAACAGATCGAAATTGAAAATGTTTTCGTAGATTCTTCAAATTTTGTCCCTTTTCAAAGTCAAATATATACAAAGTCTCTTCTTGGATATGAAACCAGCAAGCGACGAAACTTTCACTATTTCCGGTATTCATGCGAGTGTCCGAAATTGGCATTAGAAATTGTAAGTTCTCTTGTTAATCTTCTATTTACACTGCTTCGTTTAATTACTTATCGTATACTCAATTCGTTATAATAGTGTACAAAACCCGATATCGAAGACTCGAAGCTGATTAGAAGTATATTGATCAATTTTCCTAATTATAAAAATCTGATGATTCGTCTCTACCAAGGATCGATAACTAATGAGGTGGTATTCGAGATAATTGATACCAGATTTGAGTCTATTTGTTTTACATGTAGAGTATTTATTAGGTGATTGGGACCCAGAATACCGTCGATGAATATTTCAAGAGAACTGGTCGGAGAATCGCTTTTTACTTATTTTACGATGATTTTGGAAAAATTCGATATCTACTGAATGAAGATATTGCCAGTCCTTTCAAGACCGATAATAAATTCGGAACCTAGTGGTCATCCTTTTCTTTTTGTTTAAAAACTTCTTCTCTTTATTTTTTTATCAATCATAAATTCTTCAAACATTGTACGCGCTAACTCAAGTGCCTCTCGATGAAAAAACAATGGACATTATTAGTTATTATCTCTCTTTAAATTAGTGATCCTTTTTTACATTTATTTAATTAAAGCCCACGAGAAAAAGGTTCCATTCTGGTCTTGTCAAACTACAAAACAGAAAACAATAATCCATAAATGGCCAAGAACTAGTAAATCAGGATTGGTGTTAGCCGATCATCGAATTCGGTATTGATCGACCAATTATTACAATTAATTTTGTAAAGAAAAGTTTCAGCGAAAGAGATTTTCGATTCTTCTTTTCTCTGTGATTTTTCTTTGTCTGTAATGATCGATTCTTTCACCGAAGTGACCGATCTATTAACTCGGATCGACCAACCACATGATTGGACTTTGTGAGCTTCGCTTTCAAAAGGAAACCTAGTGGTTACCATTTTCTTCTGTTTTTGTATAAAAACTCAATTCTTTTCTGTCAATCAAGTGTTATTAATAGTTTCTAATAAGTGATAATTAAAGTGTGGGTCAAGATGGACGATCAACAATGGACATTGGTAGATACGGAAGTGACAATTGTGAACCGAAAAAAATCTTATCAAATTCCAAAACAAAAGTTATCATCGATTCCTTACTTTGTGAAATTATTTTCCGATTCTAATTGTGGCACAACCAAAATAGAACTTGATCTTGATGAAAGTTCATTCGATAATATAGTTGATTTTATTCTCAACGATCATCTATCAATTTCCATGGAAAGCGCCTTTTCAATGATTGAAACTGTTGATTACCTCGGAATGGACGAAATTAAACAGAAATATCTTAATTTGCACCAATCAAATTTTAATATTAAACGATTGGAAGGATATTTAAACTTTTATGAGAGCCATAAATACCAAGAAATGTTCACTGAAGAAAAGCTCAATTCTTTCATTGAAAAGTATTTTCTTCCAATTTCCAACACAAGAGCATTTCTAAATTTTTCTGTTTCTCTATTAGAACGCATATTGAAACTGAAATTAGTTGTTTCTTATGAGTATCAAATAGTTGAAGCTATTCATCGATGGATAGGAATAGATGAAAATTGTCGATGGATGTTCAATGAAGGAGAACGACAACAATATCTACCTCAACTCTTGAAGTTGGTCAATTTTTGTCATTTGAAAGACGGAGAGGTTCGAAATATCACTTCAAAGCTCGCAAATTTTGGATTCAACATTTATGCTTTGCAGTTGAATGTACATTCTTCCCATGCTTGTCACTCAAAACTCTGTGGATCAGATTGTGAAAGTACTCGACATCATTGTAAACCATTGATCGCAATCTATGAATTGGATAAAAATACGTTTGAAATACGACGTTTGACAGGACCAAATCTCTGGACAAAAAATGGTCGATTTACCCGGGATGAGACAATTTCAAATTCTTTAATTGTGGCAGATCACATTTTCGATATAATCTATGATTCAGGAAGAAAAGGTATTCGAGTTGATTGGAGTACTAAGAAATTCAAAGCTCTAAAAATGTTTGGTGATGACAATTCTTATTATGGGCAAGCTCACAAATATATCACTCATGATTCTATCCGGGGGTGAGTATTAATGAAACCTCGATAATCATATGATCTAAATTGTCTAAATTCTATACTTTTTCCTGCAGTCATACTCAAGCAATCATCAAAAAATCGAAAATGAGACCTGAACACGGAGGATCTACGATCGTAACACGTTTTGAATCCATTTGTCTGGATAATCACTTAGAGGGAATTTGCTATGGTAAAAAACTTCCCCGTGATTTCCTTGATCGTCATATTCAGCCTAAAATTTATCCAGCTACTAAGGATATTAGATGTAAACAGAATTATTTTTATTTTGAGTCTATTGATTATCGACAACTGTCCTCTTGTATGTTTCAAAAGTCGGTTCAATCTCGTTCATGTTACGTCTACCATATTGATGTCAACGAAAATCCTACAAAAGTAATGTACCTTTTGACGAAACATGATTTTAGTTGCCATTTTCACAATCATGCAAAAGTGAAAAACTCGATTATTCGTTTCTGAAAAGTTTCATCGGAAGGGATTCTCTTGATCATATTGAGCTGATTTCCTACAACAATCTAATTCTAATTTGTAACAAGCGAACCAAAATGATTTATTTCTATGTCTATGCTACTGATAATTGGAATTTGGTCTCTAAAATTGAATCTGCTGAAAAGTTAATTACGATCGCATCAATCAATTTACCGATTGATTCGGAATAGAAACATATTGTCAATCATTTCAACTTGGATGTTTAACCATTTGAAACAAGTTCATTCATTAATATCAATAAATAAGTGACACTCGACTAATTCACGAGATTATCAATCATTTCGAGGTTCCTATTACATTAAACTGAAAACTTTTCCATTGATAAATTAAAATATTCGTGAGGTAAGCGACATCTTTAGTCGGCGAAACTAATCATCGTATCGCTGATCAGCTGTTGAGTTTGTTTACAATTGTCAACATTTAATTTCTATTCAATTTTTGTATCTAAAATGTTCAATTTGTGTTTCTCATGTACAACCGATTTCCACCGATCTTAATTTTATCGAATTGATTGAAATGAGTGACCCAACTGAGAACAACCAACCGGGTAAAAGTGATACAATCGGTGGTTTATTGCATAAATATACAAACGTAGTCAAGGGTTGGCAATACCGTTGGTTTGTTTTAACACCTTCAAGATGTACATTGGAATATTATATGGTAAATATCATGTTTCTATCTTTTTAATTGTGTTGTGATAATTAACGATTGATTGTGATTGTTTTCCTTTCATTAATTCCAACAGCCAGACGAGAGGAAAAAAGCTCATGCCAGAGGATGTATTTACTTGGCAGGTTGGTTTATACAAGTTAATTTCTTGTTCTGGTTAAAGATAATTTGATTTGTACTGTTAACATAAATTGTGATAATTTATATTACCGAGAGTGAATCGATTACCAAATGGAAATCCATCAACAATATGCTCCAAACAATTGGTTCTACTTGATTACTATTACATCAGTTGTTAACTTTTTCTCCTAATATTTTCCTTAATTTTAGGTTGATCTGTTATCGGTTTTGATTGTGTTGCCGTTAATTTTTTCAATTTATTCCATTTGTTTTCTTTTTTCCTCAATTCTCTTTCTCTCTCTTGTATTATTCTGTGGGGATCTTTTCTGAATTTATATCGATTCAATAGTTCGTCCACTAGTTGTTGGTCTGATTTTGGTAGTTCTTGGACCAATTTGTCAAACTTTTCCAAACAATTTCGATAATCATTTCTGCTTAAGGTCACTCCATCTGCTCGACAATACGACCTAACGACCCTGTAATCTATTTTAGTTGATACTCGAGTTTAATTCTAATCCAATGAATTTCGTAATTGACTCACCTAAATTAGGTCCCATTCCAGCGGTCAAAAACATGATTAGATTATTTGTCCATAATCTTTTGCTTCGAACACACGAATATAAACAGGGTGAACATGTTTCATAAGAAAATAAGCAGGAACCCACCAAGAAAATTAAGAAAATCACTGCAATCAGGATGCAAATATAAGTTACATCGTTGAGAAAATCTAACTTGTGTAGTTGATCTAAAATCGTTTCTTCCTCTCGGGAAACGAAGTTTTCACCCTAAAAGAAACAGAAAAAAAAGCAAAATTAATGTTCCATAATTTCATATAATCAATCATAATTGTTACATAATAATAGTCATCAAAATTTCCACCAGAATCCTTCATCTCTAATTGTAATCACCAATTCAAAGAGTTCGATTGTTGATTGAAGCTCTTTTTATCCTTCGACCAACAAACAGTTCATTGGATATTATATATATTTTTTATCGAATCCATTGTAATCTTATTGACAAAATTAATTTTCTTCTTTAAAATTTGTAGGATCAGTTATTGCTCCAAGTGACGAGGACAGTCAAACGTTTACCGTTAGCGCGGCTTCGGGTGAAACCTACAAATTAAAGGCGAGCGATGCCAATGAAAGGCAGCAGTGGGTCAATCGATTGCGTCAAGTGGCTTTAGCTCATGAGACAAATTTGGAGAGATTAAACAATTGCGATTCTAAAGCTCAAGAAGAGACAAAATCATCACTTGCCGCTGTCACGGATACACTTATGAAAGCACAGAAAACCCAAAGAGCCTTAAACAGTTCAATCGAAGCTTTTACTTGTACCGATCAGAACCTTTGACCCTTAAATCGCTGGCATCATCTACTGTCATGTCACTTGAACAATGTTTCGTCATATTACATTCGATTGAGGGAAGGCGTCTCAGCTCCAAATGATACTATTAACATGGACACTCTAAATGTCGATTTCGAAAACGGGTCCAATCTAATCAATATTTTTTTCTCTTCATCTAAATTGCAACACGAACCCTATTGTTCATCAAATTGTCCGTTCATTTTAATTTGTTGATCAGCTCATTTTTTATGGTTGCAGCAACTAATTCGTGATAATATTTAATTATTGTTAAGCTTCAACACCAAATTTGCTGATTAAATATGAAAACAAAGCAAACGTTTATTTTTTATTAATTTATTTTAAACTAAAACTGACATTAAGCTTTACAAAATTACCATTTAATCATGTTGATTGATTCGTCAAGATATTGACCTAGTGGTCGATTTGGATTTTGTGAAACCCTTTGGACAAAATGTTGGACACAATTGAAAAAAGATTGGATGATTTTTAAATCGAAACAATTTTTACTATAACGAAAATCAATTGTGTATCTTGACTGAACTTTCATGAAATGTAAGACCAGAGCGTTCAATGTTAATGAAGTGGAATGAAAATCTTTCAGTTCTAATATTTCATTTTGATCGGTATCTTGAGTTATAGTTATTGGGACAAGTTCGAGGAAATCGTCATTATGGTTAACATCTTCATCCGTTGTAATACCAATCATCTTCTGGAAAGGAAAGAATCTAAATTCATGTTCTTTCATGACAGAATAGTGAGTTTTTCGTAAAAGATCAACGAATGTAATATTTTGATCGTGAGTCCATGAGACACGAGAAAAGTTGATGACCACAAGATTTCCGATTAACGGAATAGCCAAATGATGGTTAATATTTCGAGCTGCTTGGTAAACTGTTATATCGGTTGAATTTGTGTGTAAATGAAGAACTGATAATAAAACGGCCTGAGTGAATACGAATAAAGTTGTTCGATATTCTTTGAGAATGTTCTCAATTCCTTGAGTGACCTTTTCATCGAAACAAGTAAACAGACTGAGCTTCGTCTCCGATGCAAAAAAGTAGATCGCAAGTTAATGGTAATCGAGGAGCTTTAAATCCTTTTAATCGATTGGTCCAGAAAGTTTTGGCTTCTTCCATCAGCTGAGAGTCGCAATAAAAGGTTCGATTTTCCCAATCGATATAATCTAAAAAGTTCACTTTCATTGGAGATAAATTTAAAGGTTCTTTCAATTCGAGTTGATTAAATAATTGTTTCAACTCTTCTTTAATCAGCTCGAAAGAAACTCCATCCAGAGACATATGATTAGCGACAATGATGATCAATTTTCGTGAATCAAATTGAACAAAGGAAAATTTAACCAACAATTGTGATCCATTGAAAATGTTAACAATCGATGATTTTAATTGTTCATTGTGCTTATTGATTTGATCCAATGTTGAACAATTTACGATTGGGATTGTAACTGGTTTGAATGGCTCAACTGATTGTTTAATTTTATTGTGCTTATTTTTAGACATCACCAATCTTAATGCCTCATGTCGCTCAATCAAACAATTAACTGCTTGATTAACTTGATTCCATGTTAATTTAGATGGGACAATACAATAAGAGAATTCGTTGGTCACTCCTCGGCCATTATTAGCGATTTCGAAAAGTGCTAACCACGACTGGGCTATTCCAAGATCAATGCCAGTCCTTGATTCTAAAATGGGTATTGACTTAATTGTAACACTCGATATTGAATCTGATTCAATTAGATCACAAATTGATCGAATCGTTGCCAATGTTAACATCATTCGTGTGGTTATTGGATAATTAAATGGAGCTTGATTAAGTTGACCAACAATAGTTGCGGCTAATAAGGAATGACCACCATGCTCAAAGAAATTATCATCGATACCAAGAGACTCGGATGGAATCATTAGAACTTTGGACCAAACTTTGATCATATCGAATTGCATTTGTGTGCATGGCTGATGAAACATGGAACTGATTAAAGGCTCGCAATTATCTAATGAAAGTAGAACTTTTTGTCGATTTTACCGTTAGAATTGAGGGGAAACTGTGGAACTACGAAAACTTGTGGTAACATGAAATAGGGAAGATTAGATCGTAGAAATGAATGGAGATTCGAACCAAAGTTTTTCCGCCACGAAGTCGATTGTTCAAATGTTTGAGATTGATTTTCCTCGTCGATAAGCATAACAAACGCAACGATCCTCGAATCATCTGTACGTTTACCCTTCTTAATTAACACGATCGATTGGTGGATACCTTTTAGACTATTCAATAGTTTTTCGATCTCAGACAATTCAATTCGATAGCCACGAACTTTTACTTGATCATCGGCTCTTCCGAAAAACTCAATCAGTCCATCTTCACGCCATCGAGCTAAATCACCAGATCTCAATAATCGTGAGCCAACAATTGAGTGGCCATTAAATGGATCCGATGTAAACTTTTCCGCCGTTTGTTGGGGTAACTTATGATAACCTTTAGCTATAAATGGCGACGAATAAGTAATTTCACCAACAACACCAATGGGACATAATCGACCCACCGGATCGGTAATATAAGCCTTGACTCCGGGAACAGGTACACCCACCGGTGGTTTAATGTGATCTTGAGGTCTCAATGAATTAACTTTAACAAACGTTAATGGTGTTAATTCAGTCATTCCAAGTACATTATAAACTTGAATGTTTGACTCTTGAGATACTTTGACTGCCCCTAAGGGTTCACCTGATGCCCAAACCCTTAGTTGGTGTTTAATCTTGAGATGAAGATCAGTTTCAAATATAAGGTCCATTATTTTAGCGGGTAAATAGCAGTAATTAATTTTCTCTTCAATTAACCAGTCGACTAGATAGTTGTGATTGTAGCGATTCTCGCAATTAGGTAAGACAAGAAGTCCACCTTGAACTAGAACGGGAAACGATTCACAAATAGCAGCATCAAAAGCGGTCGCCGATATTAGTGACGATCGTGTGTCTCTAGTGACACTGAAAATGTCCGTCAAACTCGTGGCCATGAAACTGATTGTCCTCTGGCTAATCTGTACACCCTTTGGTTGACCAGTTGACCCTGAAGTGTACATACAATAAGCTAAATCATCTCGAGATGAAACTATCGGTAAATTGTCAACTGATTGTGAAGACAATTCCTTATCAATATCGGAATAATACAAGACCTTGTTGTAAGTAATTGACAACAATTTATCTTGAGTGATTAAAATTGGTTCATCACAATCAGTTAGAATATATTGTATCCGATCACTTGGATAATCAATTCCAAGAGGTACAAAAGCCGCTCCCAATTTCAGTGTCGCCAAAAGAGCGATGAAATTATCGATGCCCTGAGGCAACATTATCGCAATCATATCGCCTCGTTTAACTTTGTGATTTTTAGATAAATGATGAGCCAATTGATTTGATTTCTCGTTCAATTGTTGATAAGTTACACTTGATGATTGTTCCTTAATTGCCATTAAATTGGAATTATTATTGATCGATTGGTGAAACATTTCAATGAAAAAAGATTCGCTCCCCATGTTTGGTGGATAATCGGGATTGAATGTTTCAAGTTGTTCACGTTCATCATCATCCAGAAGCTCATGATCATCAAGTTTCCAATTTAAATTGTCAACAATCAATGAGTTAATTAGATTAATAAAATGATAAGATAATCGTTGGACTGTTGATTTTTTAAAAATATCAACTTTATACTTGTAATCAATAGATAGACAATTTTGATTGTCTAAACTGAATTCAATTACTAAATCATAATCATTTGTATTTACCGTTGGCTCAGCTGATTTAGATTCAGTTTTTTCATCATCCAGATTATTTTTAATTGTAGCAATTATATGGACATTTAATGATTTAGGTTCCAATGATTTAGCAATTTTATCACCAGGTACAGTTAATAGTTTACAATCATTTTCAATTAGCTGATTGTAAAAGACTTGAAGTTGTTGGCAAAGTTGAACAAAGTTACATTGACCATCACAATTAAATCTTGAAACCAACGATTGATCACCTCGATTTAGATCATTTAAATTACAGGTAATTAGCCAAGTAATATCTGATTGTTGAGTGTAACGGTAAAATAAGACACGACAAATTGAATCGTAAAAAACAATTGGTCTTAATTGTTGATTATCAATAAAATTGAAAATAATTGCCTTTAATTGTTCATTTAGATATTGTTTCCAATGGTCATAACCTTTAGGAGATGATGATGATAACTCTTGATGGACATAATCAACAGGAAGATTGACCAGTACAAGTTGAGATAATTGTCTTTTCCACCAATCTTCAATTTCATCGATATTTTGATCAACCATTTTATCAACAATTCTAATGGAAATCACAATCAAAGACTAACAACAATTAACCACAGAGATTCAAATAACAACTGATTAGTTAACCAACAATTGGTAATACATTTCGATTGCTTCGCTTTCTGTGCCTTAATTAATTTTCAATGGACAACAATCAACAGAAGGAAAAACAAAAGCAGAAACTTTTAATCATTTAAATCTGAACACTTATGGATTATTAAAAAATCACTGTGACCAATTAACTAATTGTTGCCGATAATTTTTTACTATCATGAGATTAAACCTATGGCGTAAATACAATTGGGCAATCCAATTAGATTATTATGTTTCCATCATTCATGATTAACTGTTTTTATTATTACTTTGAGCTAATTGTTATCATGATTGAAAATTGTACAATCAAAATGAAATCATATTAATATTGTAACAATTGAAGTAATTAAATCTTAATAATCTTATTTTTCTAGGTCATTAATTTGTCCTTGTCAATATTTTCATTTGTAATCATCATCGACTTGAACAATTAAAGAAAAGTTCTGATCAGGAGGATAAACGATTGAAATTGTTTACGATTATTCCTGATGAATTAGATGAACAATTCAGTCTCCATCCAGAGATCAGAAACTTTCCTTAAGCCTCTGTAATTATAATTGTCTTCAGATTGATTAAGATTTATCCTTCACAGAATTAGATTAACAAGGATCAAAGTTAATTGTTGATGAATAACAATAAGATTTAATTGTAACGATTAAAATATAAACAAGATGCTCAAACTAATAATAAAATTGATTCTAATCAATTGATGATCAACTTGATCAATTAAATTGTAAACAAAATCATACCAATCAAGGATATATTAGCATTTGATTAGACAATATTTATTATGATTAATTGATTAGATGATCAATTTGATTGATTCAAGAGTTTTTCATATTCTCATGTTAATCTTAAACACTTAATGATGATGATTAAGTATTGATCAATTTAAGAAATGATTTTATAAATAGTGAAGCGTAATTAGTTTATTCATTAATTTAGCAATTTCAAGTTCAATTAACACTTTGATTCAATTAGTTGAATTTACTTTCAATGTTTAGATTTTAATGTGAATTTAAAATAAATTATTACTCGATTGTAGAAAAAATTATTTAATATCATGATAAGATTAGTGACAATTTGTGTACTTTTAATTGTCGGGCTGATCTCGTCAATATCCACTGATTTTGTTTGCCCACGTAAGTGATTTAACTTTTATTGTTGATCTTTTCCAATTTCATTGTGATTTTAATTGTTTTTCATTTGCTTCTCCTTTTGATCAGCTGATGCAACTGATGATTTTCTTCCTGATCCAGATAATTGTGAGGTATTTTACAGGTGTACTAATGGTCAACAGTTTAGATTTACCTGTGGACCAGGGACAGTGTTCAATCCTTCAATTCGTAACTGCGACTGGCCTTCGGCTGTAGGATGTAGTCCAGAGGCAAATAAGTATAAACAACAGAAACAGCAACACCAAAAGAAACCCAAATATCCTGATTATCCTCAACAACCTAATAATAATTATCAAGAGACAAATTATCCTTCTGGTGATAATTTTCCCGAAAGAAATGTTAACCCTTCCCCAGGTAATTCTGGGAATGCTCATAATGGAGGATGGCCAGTAAGTTCAAGTGGAGGTTCATCTTTACCGAGTACCAGTGGGGATCATGATGTTGAACCAGTTAATTCTGGTCAACAACAACAAGGAAACTGGAATAATAATCAGCGACCAAGTAGCTCAGGTGGGACTCGTCATCAAGTGAGACCTGACCGACAACAGAATCGTCCACAACCGGTGAGAAAACCTCAGGATAATAGTTATGAAAATACTAATCGACAACCATATGAAAAGAGACCTGAAAATACATGGGGTGTTCCTGATTCTTACGAATCTACAAATTCTAATGGGAAAAATCCACAAGGTTATGGTAATGGAAACACTAACACGGATTCAAGTGATGGCCAAGATGAGTTGGATCAGCGTACTTTTGATCGACAAGGTTCATCAACAAACGAAAACAACGAAAATGGTCAGAGAAAAGTTTTAACTGATGGTAAACACCCATGGAAAGTTCCCAATCCAGGTTCTAAAAAAGATTCTCCAATTGAATGGAATGAAATGCCTTCGAAATCTTCTACGATTCCAACTGAAGAAGTGAATAGAGTTTATGACGATCCATATCCACCAACGAGTTCGAGTTCAAGTGAATCAGAGACTCGCCAGCAACCTTCATCTGGTCGAATAGAAAGACCAACTTATCCGACCGATAATAGATCATATAGACCTTCAACTCCACCATCAAACTCTCAAAGAGGTTCGCAAGATAATAATTATGATCGTAATCGTGATCAGTACAATCAACGAAAACCAAATCAACCAAAATACCAAGAACAAGGTACAACAAATCTACCCGATAGTCCAATTGTTTATCGTCCTGCTCAAAATCGTGACAACGGAAATAACCAAAGAAATAATCCAAGACAAGATAATCGTCGATACAATAAACCCAAAGATCCAGAACCAACTTGGGACTCAGAAGCAGCTCCTTCGTTTTCGAAAAATATTGAACCTTCTCCTGATCTCGCTCGTGATCCTAATCCAAGTAATCAACGCAAACAAGGTTATCCTGAAAATGAACAAAACCAAGGATCCAATCGATGGGTTAATCCGAAAACTAATCGACCGGATAAACAATCTCCCGATCAGCCTCCTGAGAATCAACCCTTTGAAAGTCAAAGATTAAATCCAAGTCAAAGATATGGTAAAACCACTGACAAAGAAACACCCGTTGAGAACGACGATGAAAACTTGAATCAAACGCAACAACCTGGTAAGATTAATCGACCAACAAAACAACCAACAAATCAATGGGATAGAAATCAATCGCCGAATCGGAACAATCAAGATGATTGGAAACGACGAACACCATCAAGTCCATATCAACCAACAGCACAAGAATCGCCTGATGAAGATCCAGCGACTCAGACACAATGGTATCGCCCCAAACTAAGTCCAACTTCAACTACAGAAACTCCACAATATGAAACACCTTTGAATCGTCCACGCGAAGGTCGATATAGAGATCCAAATGTTTCGACATCTCCTTATGCTGATAAACACCCCGAGAATCGAGTCAATCCAAGTCCTAGACCAGTTTATCGACCTGATAGACGACAAGGTGAGCTAAGACCAACACCATCAAGCAACCAAAGACAAGGACAAAATAATCAACGACAACAAGTACCACCCAATAAGAGCAATGAAAATCAATGGTCACCTCAACCACGTCCAGTTAGTCCAACAAGACAGCAACAAAATCGTCAGCAACCCGACCCTTGGGGACAAAGAAAAGACGAACCATATGATGAACAGATCAAAGAGGATGAACAATCTTTTGAATCGAGTAACATTGAACCAAGATTCCCAGATGAATCTGATGTCGCTCAGGTCATGAACGACATGTATGTCCAAGATCCATATTCGATACCCGATCTGATGACTAATCTTCCCTGCAATGAAACAACTTTGAACGATTGTGAAAAATGTGACAAATTGAAATGGCTTAAATTAAGCCAAGTGACACTTAAATCGCAACCCGATGAAGCCATTAAAACTTTACCCGCTCTCATAGTTACTGATTGTTTCCGTCGTTGCCACTCACAAGGCTGTGTCGCTTACAGTTACAATCAACGTAAAGGTCATTGTAAATTGTTTTATGGCCAAGTAAATGAGGACCACATAGAGTCTGATAGTGATTACGTAACTGTTATTAAAGAGCCAACATCAGCTTTACTGGCTGACCAATGGTTATACACTGACCACTCCGAGCCCATCGGTAAAGACATGGGTCAATTCAAATCACCTGATTCAATTAGCTGCTTAAGGGCTTGTATTAACGTTGGAGATCATTGTAAAGCAGTTAGTTACAACTCGGTAAGTCAATTGTGTAAAATTTATGATTCAATGAATGGTGAACGACTCATACTCACCGGAAGTGGAACTATCACTTTACAACATATCAGTATTCACAATAAAGGTGATGCTTGGAGGTTTTCATCAATGGGGAATCGAAAGTTCAACACAAGTATACCAATCATGTCATTCGCGATCAGTGAAGATCAAGAATGTTATGAAGAGTGTCTCAATTCTCAAGGCTGTTTAGCGATCTCAATCGAGGGTAAATCACCGAAAGAATGTCAAATTTATAATAAGCTGGAAACACTTTCAGATGAAAGCTCATCGGAAACTCAATCAGCATCCTCATCACAAATCGCTACTTACCTGATGAAGATACCTTTGAATTCATCACATTTCTTGCATCTTCCGGGTCTTTACTTTTCGGGTAAACCCTTGAAAAAATATGAACAATTTAACTTGAAGGATTGTCAAGAAGTCGTTAAAAGTATTCCAACTGCAATTAAGATCACTTATTTGAAAGAAAGTCAAGTTTGTTACATTTTCTCTGATGCTGCTAAGCTTGGCCTTTGGAAGAATCCAGAGATTGAGGCCATTTCATTTTTGGTCAATTTACCCGCTGACCCTAAATATCTGGCTTACAAAAGGTTGACTGGGTTAACTTTGACTCACGCTTTGTTGGCTCCTAAAGGTGAGAAACATCTTGGTACTCAATCGGCTTCCGCTTGTTTGGACAGTTGTCTGAAGACGGAAAATTGTTCGGCTGTTGCAGTGACCTATTCAGATATTCAAGATTCAGTTGAATGTATTTTATTGAAAGAAGATGAGCTCTCAGGAAAACCTCGATTCGTTTTCAAAGAAGACACTGATTTATTTGTTCGAACTCTTCCCGCTAATCTTGTCCCCGAATTGGGGGAGAAAGATGATCAATGTTCACTTCGAATCAATGTTCCCTCAGCCAACGATAATTTACCTTATTTCGAGAAAGAAAAATCAAAGAAACAATCAGAATCCAGTTTACTCGAAAAGGCTGAACAGTTTGTGAATAAAGCGAATCCATTTCACAATAATGAAAAGAAATCAGGCCAATTGAGAGAGCCGAAAAAGCTGAATGACGATGACGAAGTTTTTGATGAAATGATACCTCATGGTCTTGAATTCGAGGGGATGATTGAAAAACTAAACGAAGATGATGAAAGTGTTGAATCATTTGTCGACAATGGACAAAGATCAAAACGATCAATTTACGCTATGACTCTTAGAGGCGCTCAAGTTTACGATGAGACAATTGAACAAAACCAGAACAAGAATCCACTTGAAGCGGGTGCTGAGGCCGGTTTTGCAGTTCGAGATCTACTTAGTGGATCGTTGGGAATGAGTGACAATAATTCAACGGAAAATATTTTACTTTCGAGGTTCTTGAAACGAGCGCAAGATGTGTCCCAGAATCCTCGTCTCTCCGAAGACATAGTCAGCTCAATAAAATCTTCCGCTCGAAAAGTTAGATCCAATGAGAGCGGTGAATCGAAAGAAGATCGGATACCCTGTAAAGTAACGAAAGGGTCAACGGTCAAGGAGGCTAAATGTCGTCCAGATGAGATATGTTCCAATGTACCCTACATAGTCCATGGAGATCAAAAAGCGATGACAAACTGCTCGAACACCAGAGTTAATAGTACATGTCAAGTGATCTGTAAATCAGGTTACAGGTCAAGTAAAGGACGTTTAGTGTGTGAGGTTATTGGGTCTACAACGACCTGGAATACAAAGGATATCTCATGTGTTCCAGATGAATCGATGTGCTCTGAGCTTCCTTGGATTCCATTCACAACAATTAAATCAACGCCTGATGATAAAAAGTTAAATTATCTGATTAAATACGATGAGACCAAAAAGTTACCTCTTTTTGGTGTTTACAAATTTACCACCGCCAATGAAAACAATCAAGTGTCACAATCAACCAGATCGAGAAGATCAGCTGATGATTCAATTGTCGCCCTTCCCTGTTCACAATTAAAGCTAAATCAACTTTCCAATATGAATTACAAGCAAACCAATTACACTAAAGGTTATCTGGTTCCACCAAGCGCTTTCCCTGTCAATCCTGATGCTCGTAAATTGGTCAATTATTTTGTCAACACTGCGCCACAAGATTCGTACACTGCCCAAGGTCCATGGTCATTGTTGACCGATACGATCCATGGTTACCTTAAATCCAACAATCAATCGGGTTTCATTATCAACGGTGTTTGTAGTCAACAGATTTATTCACCATCAACCTCATCTCTTCCGGTTCCTAAGTGTTTCTGGAAGACAGTTTGCACTAGAGCACAATCGGGTCAGGTCACTTCGGCTACATTTTACCACGATAATCAGCCAATCGATCAAGATGACCAGTCCAATCAAAAGAAACGATTTGAAGAAGTGTTTAGTTACACTAATCCAGAATTTGTTAAATCATTGATCAATGTTAAAGATTATGATTCTCTATGGCCAGAGATATTGGATAGATTCAGCACCTCTTCAAGTGAGTAACAATCAATCAACAATTAACTTAATCACTTGAATAAATATTGATTGAAAACAACAATCTCAAGTCTATATTTAAATTTATAAATAGAAATTGATTGTAATCAGCTGATTAATGATAACATATCAACAATTTCTCTTGATATCCAATTGCAATATCTTGATTGTCATTCTAATAATTTACAATTTAATTTACTAATTGACAGGTAAAACTGTTCAAGATGAGATGATGATCCTTCAATGTGCTGCAAGTATCAAAATTGATCCTAAAATGATTGATTTCTGGAATACCCTGTTACTCAATGGAACTGATAATCCATCTGAAAGTTTATTACAATCAGATGATTTAAATAGCTCAGAGTCACAATCATCTCCAGTTTGGTCACAGAAATTAACTGATTCTTCATCGTCTTCGCCTTCATCACCATCATCACCTTCGTCATCTTCAGCTGATTGCGAGAAAAGGTTAATTGGTTACATCGGATTAAATGGAGATACAATTAATTCAACAACCATAAGTTCATCACCAATCACTCATTTAACTTTGATGGGAGCGATTAAGATCAATGAAAATGGAAGCCTAAGCCTCGGAAACGATACCAAGAAAGTTTATGATCGTCTTTATGAATTGAAATCATTGAAAAACGATAATCCAGATATTAAGATTCTGATCGCTTTAGAGGCTGGTCAAACTCTCAATGGTTCACAAAGATTAGTAGATCACCGAATGTCCAGAAAACGTTCATCATGGACATAATCGCTTTTCTTGATTACTGGGAGTTTGACGGGGTCGATATTGTTTGGCAATATCCAAACATTGGTGGTAAAGTTAAAGGATCAAAGGAGGATAAGGATAATCTTAATCGTTTGATGCAAAACATTAAAGATTCAATGATTGACCATCAAAGTGGAAACGGACGATCAGAGCCTTATTCACTTGTCCTAACTGGACCAGGATTATATTGGATCTTAGATTATGGTTATGATCTTAAGACTTTGATTAATCATGTCGATTGGATTAATATTATGGCCTTTGATTTCCATGGACCATGGAATTCATCTTGGGGCGATTATACCGGACCAATGGCACCTTTGTACTTTGGGTCTCCTGATGGTTTTCCAGGTAAATTGAATATCGATGCAATCGTTAAAAGGTATGTTTGTGAAACGGGTCGACCTGATAAGTTGGTTCTTGGACTTGGTTTCTTTGGACGAGCTTGGACCAATGTGGGTAATCATGTTGATGAAACTAAAGATGACCTTTTCCGTAAAGCAAGTCCAGTCAAAGATGGATCGAAGGGCTCAATGGTCAGTTATCGTAAATTGACTCAAGAATGGTTGACCAAAGGTGAACCCGTTTGGCACAATAAAACAAGGACAAGTTTCTTATGGAATCGAATGAAACGTTCACTGGTTTCGTTTGAAAGTGAAGATTCGTTGAAGGAGAAAGTTTCTTATGCCGATGCTAAAGGTCTTGGTGGACTCATGGTTTGGTCACTTGACATGGACGATTTGAGGGAACACTACTCAAGTCTATTGGTGGAGGATTAAAGTGCAACTCTAATAAAAAATCATCAGATACTTTCAAGTGTAATCCATTGGCTGGTGAAAAGAGACACTGGACTCAGTACGATGATAACGGAACCAAAGATCGACTTTGTGGTAAACGAGCTCCATTAATTAATGGCCACTATCCGATCTGTGATCCCGATGATCCAGGTTACAGTTGCTGTTCATCTAGCGGCTACTGTGGCTCAGGTCCAGACTTTTGCGAGTGTGAAGGTTGTGTCGACTATGGTTCAAACCCTGAACGTACTTTGAATGATTCAACTGTCCCAAGCTCACCTTCGATTACTTGGCTGACCACTGATTTAATCGAAGATCTCGGTAAACCAGATTGTGGTTTAAATTCACAGAAAATGGTCAATGGATCGAGTCCAGTGTGTAATCCAGAAGATCCCAAGAAACATTGTTGCTCATCGACGGGTTTCTGTGGTACTGGACCTGATTACTGTGAGTGTAAGGGCTGCGTCAATTTCAATAAAAATTCGAGTCACGTTTTCCCGGAGAAAAACTGGTTCGATTGGAGTGATGGACCTGAGAACGCTGGTCGATGTGGACCCCAAGCCCCACGAATTAAAGGTCGAATCGCGGGTTGTGATCCAAAATCCGAAACGGCTCACTGTTGTGGACCAAATGGCTACTGTGGCACTGGACCTGATTATTGTTCGTGCAAAGAGTGTGTCAACTTTACGAGCAAACCGATTCACGATTGGAGTTAATTAGCTCAATCATCAAGCACAATTTATTAACAATCGAAAACAATTAGTTCAACTTTATCAAACATTTTTCTCCCTTATTGTAAATAATAACCAATCCATTCATTTCATGTTTTTAAAGTAAAATAAATTAAAATTTAACTAAATCAAGTTAATTGTTCAAATATTAAAATTTCGGTCAAAATGACGTTTCAATCACCAGCAACAATTAAAAATGATTCAATCAACTAATCGGTTGATGAAAAAAAAACTTCGTATTGATTTTCTGGCAAGTCAATTGTGTTAATTGCTAAATCATTAACTAGAAAAAAAAACCGAGTAGTTGATTAGTTTAATTAACAGCAAAATCTGTTTATCAAATTAACATACATTTTATAATCACTGAGTAAATAATTAAGATTCAATGAATCAACAATTATTAATACTTAAGATTGTCTTGAATTTCAGTTAAATCATAGTAAATGTCAACCATTGATGATTAATCAAAATCAGGTCACAGGAAAATAAGCCAATGATTAACTTAAATTAGCTCAAAATGTAATATAAATTTAGGTTATCATGTTGATACCTTAATTGTACTTAATTTGATTGCTCTGGAGTTTCAATCTAATATGAGTTATTTTCAATTTAAAATGAAAATTAGATCAGGTGATAAAGTAATTGATTTATTATTGATAAATTACTTTTATGATACAAAAATTAACTTGACATTAGATTTTAAAGTTTCATCTTTAATGATAATTGTTTCCATAGGAAATGATTTAGATTTTCAGACAAAATAGACTAACAATTTAATACAATTAATCAATATCACTTATATTCTGTGGTGATTGTAATTGTGATAATTTCCAGTTGATTAATATTATTAGTTGAGAAAATTTTGTTCTTTAAGAAGAGTTAACTGATCAGAGTGAATCGAAACTTGGACAATCGAGTCTAAAAGATCTTGAAGCGCAGAACTGGACGGATATAGACTGGCCGCTGTTTTCGTATTTGTGATAAGATTTTTCAACGATTGACACAACGAATTTGAACATTTCGCAATATAACAGCTCATTTCTCCTGAAACATTACGATTAATCGTATCACCGATTGAAATCATTTGTTGACCAGCGATAATCACCAATTTGGATAAGCTGATGAGCACATTAGGTAATTGTTTCGTGTTGATTGCCGATATTAAAGCATTAACAGAGTTACGAAGGTTCTGATTGTGCTCCTCCAAAAGTGGACAATAATAGGATAACAATTTATCAATTGTTGATCTTGATTCACTGAAAATTTTCAATTTATCATCATGATAATCTTCTGATGATGTTACTTTTTGATTGATGTTTTTGTTTGTGACGATTTGTAGATTAGGGTTGAAATTTTCAGGGGAAATGAGTCTTTTTGATGTATTGGAATTGCATAAATTTCTTTGACTAATTTTATCTCTTGTCTCAAGGCTTGCATAATCATCGTTCTCATCAGCATCCTCATCTTTTATTTGATTTCCTAGTTTTTGATAATCTTCCTCTTTGGTTGTTGTTGTTCCACTTTCAAGTGTCACTTTGCCAAGATTTAAATCTTTCATCTTATCTGTTGTTTCAGATGAAGAATAAGATAGATTATCCTTAGGAACCAAGGGTAAAGGTCTCAAATTGATCGGTGGCTTAGGTGGAACTGGAGGAGGAGGTGGTTTACTTGGCAAACTTTTCACTGATCCGGAGGTGGATTTGCATGTTGAGCTTGAAACTGAGCCAATGGTGTTTGATAGACAGCAATTCATTTTATTTATCGTAGGTTGTTGTTGTTGTTGTTGTTTGTCAACCTGCTTTTCAATAGGAAACAACAAGTTTCCATAAGATTTTACCAGGGACATGATATGTTTAATATCTTCCTTGAGTCCAGGCATGCAAGCGATTAATTGATCAAGTTCATCATGTGAAACTTTCCTTGATTCATTTTGGGTGTTGATTATTGATAATTCATTTAAATTCCAACCTCTTGATTCAATACTACGAATAGTTGAGATTACAATATTAGCTGAATCTTTCAATTGCCTGGAGAGACGATGAAGTTTATTATTAATTGATGATGAAGTTGATTGAATTTTCAATGAATTAATGTAAATACCATCAGTGAAAACTTCCAATTCCCGGATAACACATTTCAATTGAGAGCATAATTTAGTTAATTCACTTAATTTAGTTTCAAGGTTTTCCCGTTTTCTCCAACCTTCCGTTGAACTGATTCCAATAAGTTTACCAATAGCCTCAAGAGACTCACTCTCCAATCTATTAGCCAATATCAGGCCACCATCAAGGTTTAAATCAAGCCCAAAAGAATCAATAATGTAATTATCAAGTTGATTAGAGGATAAAGATGATGATGAGGATGATAATGAGTTATTGTTGGTATTGTTATTGGATGAATAGGATCGGGCAATGGCAGTTATCGCTTTCATTGGGCGTTGAGAAGATGATGATGAGCATCGATCATGATAATTATTATTTCGGCTTAAGGTGTTTTTGGGAACATCATAAGTTAATTGATTGTTTTTAATTAGATTATTGGAAGTTGATTTATCATAATTTCTTTCATCAATCAAGGTATTATAACTCGTTTTCCTTTGAAACCCAGAGAGTGACCCTCTTGGTAGAGTCAATGTACCACAATTGGAGCAACAACCGTTAACCATATCGGTCAAGGGTTTACCTGTTTCTCTGTTTGGTGGTACATCATATGTTTCACTTGACCCTCCCATTGATTGGTCACTTAAACTGAAACGATTTGAATTGTTGCTTCTAATTGCGTTGTTGTTGTTGTTGTTGTTGTTATTGTTATCGGAACTCGAGAATGAGGTTGTTGAAGTTTCCAGGCTTGAATGGTTGGGAATGGGTGAAGGTAGTGATGAGGTTGACCCGAAGTTACTTATTGGTTTAATTGTGGTCAAGGGTAAGGGTAAAGATGTGTTAGTACAAATGGTCCGAGGTAAAGACGAACGGGAAAAATCGTGGCTTCCGCTTCTTGGTAATTGTTTTAAGCTTTGGTTTTCTATTAACCCTTTGTCCATCGATGATGATGATGATGATGGTGGAGGTGTTGGTGGAAATTGTGGATTATCGTAATTGTTTGTCGTTATCACTAATTGTGCAGGATAAACATTGTCCAGTCTTATATCTGATTGTCCATTTGCTGGTGGTGTCAAGGGAGTAAGTCGAGGATGTGGTTGAGGTACATCGTAGATTTGACCACAATCTGATATATTTTTGGGCTGATTTTCTGATAATCGAAGCAGTTGATTAAAGTTGAAATCACGATCAGGTATTAAAACATTTTCATTACGATTACCATTAATATCGTCATAACCTTTCACCGAGTGTGGTAATGTTTTATACCGATGAATGTCAGTATAATTGTTGTTGTTAATTATATTATTACAATTAGCTAATTGTGAATGTTGTCGAGGTAACGTTGCAGATGAATCTATGGGACGAAAATAAGACAAGATTAATCAAACGATAGAAAACAATTGGTAACTTTATTAACAATATCTTATATTGAAAACTTGCAATCTAAACTGTCGGTAGTTTGGTGACAAAATTTTCCTTGAGTAATCAAGTAAATTGTTGATAATTCCGTGAGTTTGGAAAGTCACTTCGGATGTTTAACGAGCTATCCCTCGAGAGAGAAGTTATTTCAATCAAATTTTACTAAACATAAATATCGTAGCGACAACGATCCTTTGATTTCAAGCTCAAATTTTCTGACAATTTCGCTAACAAGATTGTGAGATAAAAGTTTGATTATCTTCTTATTATCGTAATTTAATTGAGACCTTACATGGAAATTTAATTTCTATTTCTGATATAATAGCTAATAATGACCTTTCTCTAGAAAACTCAAAAGGTCTCATAACTAAAATTTATCCGAACTAAATCAAAAGAAACCAAATTAAAAGTGTCTTCAATAATAATAAAAGAAAACTTTGATTATTCAAATTGAACATTTGAAATTTTGGTTTACTCAATCGGTAGACCCTGTATAAGAATTGTCAACTTACTTGAATGACGATTGAAGGTCTGATCGGGTTGACCACAAATGCTAAAGTAAATGGGATAACCACAAGTTGACGGAGGTACATCATAATCAATTTGATCACAGGCGGTTAATTGTTGTTGATTAAACATCGTTGAGTAAAATATATCAACACCAACACACAGAAAATTAATTTACAAACACGAAATAAGTAATTAGGTGAGAATATCAGTTGAGAGGTCGATGAGATATGAAAATGAAGAAAACACCAATGAAAATAAAGTTACATGATCTTTGAGAATCAGAATTGGAAATAACAATTGTGAAGAAGCAAAAAATGATCAGAGTGGTAGAAACATGGAGAGAAACATGATAACTTAAAGCAGAAAATTAAAGGAGCCACAAGAGTGTAAACAGACATGCGATTTAAAGGAGATCCACAAATGGATAAACATTGAAGGAGAAACAAAATCCAACTGATGACACAGATTAGAAGAGAAAACAAATTAAGATTGATCTTAATTGTGATTAAATTGCTGAAAGAATTTACATTTATAACCTGTAATATTGTTTGATGATCATCATCATTTTTACGTCAATAAGATGATTTCACTTTTTTTTTTACTTCTTCTTTTCTATTATCGTGATTACCTGTTTGTCCTTTCACCTTTTCATCGTTTAGTTAATTGTTTGCTGATTGTGTCAATTGATGGTTAACAATAATAAAAATCAAGATGATTTTGTTGTTGTTGCTCGGGAAAAACCATCGTCAACAATTAGATTTGATTGTGTGTTTGTTGAATATTGAAATTGATGTTTAATGTTTGATTATGGTGATTAAAATGATTAGATGGCCTGAAAGAAATTGTTGTAATCTAATTTAAGTGATTAGTTAATTGCGAACTGGATTACAATGTTGATCAACGGTAATTAACTATCATCTTTATTGTTATTATTGAAATATTATCATCATCATGATCAATATAAACAAACGATTGAAATTGAATAACAATAACAATTAACTAATCATATTATAAATATGCAATAAAGTGACAAACTTTATCCGTCTCTATGTTGACATAATACAAATGACACTTTGATAATCAAATGAAGATTAATTTTAATTGTATTATTATAACGGTAATTGTGATCATTGAGAAATTTTCTTGTTTCTAACAATTAAGATTATTTTTGTTGTTTTGTTTAGCAATTAACTTTTTTTCCTCATCAGTAAAGGTTAATTGTTTGAAGAAGAAGCCAAATATTCAAATGATCTGTGAAAGAAAACAAAAAGTTAATCACAATTAGTTAATCATGATAGTTAAAAATAGGAACCCATGAACTTTGAGATATGTATTATAATTGAAACACAGAAATTGGTTAATTGTTTGAAAATCTAATTTAGTTAATTGAATTTCATTATTGTGATGTAATTGATTTTTCATTCAATTCAAATTGGCTTCAAATATTAATCCAATTTTATGTTAACATTGATAATATCAGCAATTAAGGTGATTAGTGTTGTTGTTAATCATCATGATTAAAAGTTGCATGTAAGTTTAGTAAATTGTTAATCATGATTGGATCAATCAACTGGTTTTTTTTTGGGTTAATTGATTAGATTCAAGATTAGACAATAAATAATTTAATGTTGGTCAACTAATTAAATTGAAACGGATATTGGAAACTTGCAATCAAGTTAATTGATTACCTTGTAATTAAAAACAATTGGTTAAATTGTTGTGGGAAAGTAACTTTGTAAACCTTGATTGTTTTGTTTTTTGATTGTTAATATCTCTGTTTACTAATTGTGATCAACAGATTATGATTAATGTAAACAGAAACAGCAATTAAAGGTCAATAATCTTACAGTTAATTGTTGATTAATTTTCTCATTGTAAAATTTTATTTTCTAATTTCTCTGATTGATTTCAGATTAATTGCTATCAGCTAATTAACAATCAATCAAAAATGATTGTTAAATGTTTTTCATTGTGCTTTATGAATCGTTGTACAATTTGACTGGACAACAATTTACATTTAATTGTATTAGTTAGTTGATTAGAAAAATATTACAAAATTAAATTTACACAAAAAAAAGGATTAGCAAAAATTATATTTATATAATTATGAATCTTGTTTTTTGATTGTTGTGGATTTGGTGTTGTTAATTGTTGACAATTAAACTTAACAGTGATGGGGAAACATTCATCTATTAGGCTAATCTCATTTAAGATAAATGGTTAATTGATTGGATCACTAATTGTTTGATAGAAAGACAATTAATCATTGGAAATTGGGGAAATTTGTATTGTTTGTTTTTCGATCAACTCGAAGAAGCAAAAAAAAAGTTGAGGAGATTTTGATTAACAATAAATAATTAATAGATTGTGATGGTCATGAGGAAGTGAGATGAAGATGGTCAATGTTTGATTATCGAATTGATGTTTATCTACAATGAACATGAATTAGATTAGTGACATTTTACTGTCATTATAATTTAGATTATTTTAGATATAAACAAAGAATTATAGTTAAGAGCTATGGTTTGCAGTGAATGACAAATTTCTGCGAAAATGATAAATTCGTAGCATTCGTTTAACCAATAGTCCAAACTCTTCGATATCAAGAGCGTAATCGTCAGTCTCCGAAGTCGATGTTACCTTGAATGCATTGTATTCGGGAAGATATACTCGAAGGTATTGAGAATCAACCTGTAAGTGGAAAAAGAGAGAGAGATGAGATTAGAACTTTTTTTCGAAAGATTTTTGTTCTGTTAATGAAGATCAAAGAGAGATTGAGATTAATTACCGTTGATGAGACGAAAATAATATCCAAATCAATTCCACCAAGAGCATAACCTTTTTCGTGAATCTCTTTAATCTGTTCAGCTAAAGAGCAACTAATTTCCAAGAGGAATCGAGCCTCAGTATTGGTCATTTCTCTAAGGAAATTGGTCAAACTCATGTAGCCATACGGGGATTTAAGAGGTCGCATAATTTTAGGCTGATTAACTGAATTGGCATTTTTTGAGGTCAATAAACGATTTGTTAATGAGTCACGTCTCTGATTGTTGAAAAGGGTCGGCCGGAAGTAGGCAAGTGTATAAACCAATGGGTTTGTAGCTGAATTAAGGGGAAGTATGAAAACCGCTGTCCATGAGTAAACGGTAGCGGGTAAACGGTGCCCGTTAATTGCCAATAAGCCCATTACAATGATTGGAAACCAGCAGAGGAAGTTAGATCCAACGATTAGAGCCATTTGTCGGCCAACCTGACGTTCACGAACTTGTCGAGATTTAACTTGACTTAATCGTCTTGATGATTCGAGGATAATTTTGTACATATATACATAACAGGAAACGATTAAAATGAAGGCAAGTAAATTAAGAATCACAAATACAGCAAATGAATACTCCCAGCCAGCGGCTTTTTGATTAGTTATATGAAGAGCCAGACAAACGCCTGATCGAGCATAGAACTGACCTTGAAAATAACGATTGACCAGTAAAGGTAAAATGCTAATGGCCAATGCTAAAATCCAGCTACCAATAATTAATCTATTAGGATAAAGATTAGACAATTAATATTAATTAGTATCGATTTTTCTGATCATCTTGGAAATGAATCAATTAATTTACTGATTGCTTCTTAATAGTAATCAATTAATCATGATTATCTTTGTGTCTTTTTTTGTCTCATCGGTCTGGTAATTGTGTATAAATGATGATTTACAATTCTGATTTACTGATTATTATAAATTTGGATTAATAAAGATAAGATTTTACTGAGATTGAGTATTATGTAGTTGATTAACTGGATAATGTTATCATTGAGTTTAATTGCTCTAGACCTAAATTGAGTTAATCTATTGAGGTTTAAGATGAAGCTGATTGTTGAAACATCATTAATTGTATGAATGTTTCATTGATTTCATTTCAAAAGTGGATTACTGCTAAATCATTTAAGTTAATTGTGTAGTTGGAATGTTGAATGAGCTGATATATAAAAAGCAGGAAATATAATCTCATTATGTAATAATTACTACAATTTAAAAAATGAGTTAAGATTAATGAAAATTGAGTCAATTCAGTTCAAATGATTAATCAAAGTCTCAATAATCAATGTGACATTTAAGTAATAAAATCATTTGTTTTTTGTTTCATCAATAATGTAATGAAAGGGTTAATCAAATTGATTAATTAGAAGTGAATCAATTCACAATTAAAGTACTTGATTGTATAATCCCTTCTATCATTTGGTTGATTGTTGTACACTCAAAATGAATGATTTAATAATAATCCCAGTGGTTAATGATTAGTTATTTTTTTCTTTCTTCAATTAATAAGCAATTTACTCACTTATAAGTGAATCGCAAGGTGAGTCGGTACTTTGAGAACGGGAAACAGATACAAATCAATCTGTCGATGGCAATGAAGACCAAAGTGAACACCGAGGCTTCACTTGAAACTGTTGACAAGAAGCCACAAAATTTACACAGGTAACTGGTCCTCCAAACGTCCGACACTTCAATGTAACGACCTCTGGAAAATTAGTTAATTAGTTGGGAAATTTAGATTATTTTTGATCAATTATTCCTTTTGATTTATACCTGTAATATACATCAACTGAAGCAATGATCAGCATGTAAATGCCCATTAGGACATCGGCACAACCAAGGGAGAGAATCAAAGTAGACGAAACTTTGTTCGAATAAGCTCGAGATCGAATTCGCCAAATTACAACTGAAAGATTACATATAAGAGCGACTGACCCTAAAATCCAAAGGAAATATCGTTGAATCGGCGATGACATTAGATCTTCACAATCGGAAATTTCGTCAGGTAAAGGTAAACATCGTTCGAATGGGATATTAAATGGTTTGTCCGCTACAAGGCAACAAAATTTAAATGAATTTGTGTAAAGGTAACGAAGTGATTCAAGTCCATTGAAAACATCCTTCTTAAATGATCTGATATCGTTTCCTTGAAGGTCAAGAATTGTTACCGATGTTAGTCCGGTGAAACAACCAGATTCAACGACTTCTAACCGATTTGAACGAAGTTCAAGATTCTGCAAATTTGTAAGGCCCATGAAAACATTGGCACGAAGAGTTCGTACCAACGAACCAGTTATGTTGAGTATTTTCAGTTCAGATAAGCCAATAAATGCTCTCGGTTCGATTTCGGATAGATTAGTATTACCGTCCAGAAGAAGTGAATTAAGTCGAACTAATCCAGCAAAAGAAGCAGATTCGATTATCTTGATTTGGTTGTACCTTAAATCGAGAAGGAGAAGATCTTTAAGATCAACAAACTGTCGACGGCGTAAAATTTGAATCTCGTTGGATTGAAGAATCAGTTCGATAAGATGAACATACGGACTGAAATCTATTTGAAATGAGTCCATTCCCGGGCCAAGAAAGTTACCGGTCAAGTCTAATTTCCGAACCTCGGAGCTTAGATTACGCGGTAAAGTGGTGAAATTGGACATTGTACAATTAGTGTAAAGGCCAATGCACGAACACAAAGATGGACAAGTTAAATTGCAAAACCATTCGTCATCGCCTCCTGGACAATGTCGGATACCATCACAAAGTTGATGTAAAAGTATACACGAAGGATGATTGATACACTTGTATTGGCCTGGACAAACAAATGTACCGCACCGAGTTTCATCTTCCCCACCGATACAGTCCCGTTTTCCGTCACAAATATATCTCGGTGGAATACAATAAGAGTTTGGACATTTAACATAATCCTTTGAACAATTAAACTTTTCACAGTCTCGAAGATGAGTAACATCTCGACATCCAACCTGATAACCGAACTGATCAAATTCGTAGATACACTTGAATTTAGGGTCAATTCGTTGACCTGAGGCACAATTTAAATCACCAGAGAATCGTTGATAAGAGTGATAAAAGGATGTTGATGAAAGAGGTTGAAGAGCGGTTGATGATGATGATGATGATAATGCTGGAATTGAAAGTGCTGAACGATTGGACATCATGTAACATGATGACTCTTGTTCATCTTCGTGAAATTTACCTGGACAATCACGATGATGATCACAAACAGCGTAAAGAGGAATACAAGTACCATAGTAACATTGGAAAGTACTTGAGGGACAATATCCACTTGAAGTGCAAATCGATGGATTCTCATCTGATCCATCTTTACAATCGGCAAGTAGGTCACATCTTTGGGCTATTGGGATACACTGACCAGAAGCACATTTAAATTCAGACTTAGATTTACAGGTTCGTATGTAACAATTTTTCTCATCTGAACCATCACCACAATCGTCAACAAAATCACATGTTAACGCAATTGAAATACACCTTCGGTTATTACAACGAAACTGGAAAGGTAAACATCGTTGATTTGATCCGCCGACGGAAGGACATTCGTCCAACTCATCGGTACCATCACGACAAGTTGCTGATCCATCGCAAAGTTGAAGTATCGAAATAACCTCAAGATTGGCACAGACGAAATACTTTTCCTTTACGGCCAGTGAACGAATCACCTTTTCCTCGGGAACGATAACATCATCATACAAGGCTTCTCGTGTCGGTGGAATATTAAATGAGGCCACTGATGCGTCCATTTTACATATATAACTATCGACAACATCTTCGAAATGTTTAGACGATAAATTGAGGAATGAATTTTTCCCCAATGAACAGGGAACATCGTGCCAACCATCAGTCGAATGGATCGAGGAAAATTTAATTATGGTACAATCTTCATAAGCTCCACCATCGGGCTGAGGAGCGGTAATCAGATCACTAACACCTTGGAAACCAAAGCCTTTCGCCCAATCGGTATAAGACATTGGATTGTTATCCGACCAACGATAAACACCCTCCTTGGAAACATCGATCAGTCCAATATAAAAGGATTGATGAGGTGTAGCGTTCCAAATGGAGGTCAGAAAGTGATGGACAACCCTCATTTCCTTGCCATCAAGAATGGACACCAAATGACCATCACGACCTTTACCAGCATCGGAACATTTCTCCTCCGCTTTGTACCATTGAAGTGGCGATTCCTGCTCCTTGTAGGCACGATAACAATGACCTTTATAAAATTCCCATAAATGTGGACAGGCCGCTGTTGGAGCGGTCAAATGAGGAATCAATTCAGGGTCAAGGGTAAACTTGGCAATGTTAATAGTAAAATTGAAACCTCTCCCGGCACCTTTAATGTCCGTATTGAAATCAATTCTTAATCGATTCCAAGGTGAGACAACATAATGTCCAGGTAACAGGGAATTACAGAATCGACCGATCAGCCGGTTAAATTTGGAATCAAAGAACGAAACATGATCAAAGAGACACGTCTTCTTATCCCCTGCATCAGGAGTCTCTGAACCCGGAACGTCAAAATCGTTTATCGTCAGATTAATATAATAACCTTCATCAGCTCGAATCTCCCATCGGCATCGATAATTATTCGGATAATGAGATGGATAATTAATCGAAATTATATCATTACAATTACCTGTACATCGATCAATTAACGTACAGGAATCAGTGTGTCCTCCACAAACTGTACAATTTGGTTTACCTTTTTGTTTTGAACGAAAAAAAAACAAAAACAAAATCAGCTGATCAGTGAATTAGCATTAAAACAAACCAAATTGTAATACTTACCATTTACTTGATTAACTAGAACAATTAAAACAATAACAGTGATTAAAATAAAGCCAAAAAATAAACTATCATCATAATAACAAATTGGATTGATAAATTTTCGTCGTTGATGTTTATGACATTTAATTGCATTGATTGTTGGTTCAAGTGAATTGATTAACATGATTAGTTTTGTTTTTGCGTTTTTCGTTGTTAATTTTAACAATTTAACAAATTAAATCAATAGATTAAACAATTAAGAAGAGGAGGAGGGAAAAAATTAAATCTGATTAAACTTTTAATCACAGTAATTAATCACTGATAATCAGTAAGGGTAAGATTATTAAGGTTGATTGTAGGTCACAAAAATACAAACAATTAGTTGATGAATGATGAACCGTCAATGGAAAACCAAAACAATTAAGTTGATTAACATGAGAGAGAGAGAAATAAATGGGAAAAGGATTGATTATTTAATTATGCTGGTAATTAATTGCTGATTTGGATTATGATGAGAGAGAAACATTAACAACAATCATTGAAGGGTCAGTTTGGTGTTGATACATTTAACTAATGGTCAATGGGAAAATGTGGTTTGATTGTTTGATGTTAATTGTTGTTGATTTGCGACATGAGAATAACAAATAAACAGTAAGAGTGTTGATAATGTGAAAGTTGATAAAAAAAAAACAAAGATGATTAAAGTAAACAATTAAAATACACAAATAGTAGAATTACTTGTAATCATAATCTTAATCAAAAATATGACTCTTAATTAACTATCAGCTGAGTCTAAATCATTATCTTAATTGTAAGATGAGAGGAAGACTAAAAAATAGCTTCTTGATTTACTCATTTACTTGGTGAGTAAATTGTAAAGATCATCAAGTAAATAGAGTCTTAATTAGATTACTTAATTATCACAATTTACTTAACACAATTAGAAACACAAAGTTTTTCTATTCATTTGAAACACACACAATTAAAAAGGAAACTAATTAAATCTTTGATTGTGATTTGTAATTCTGATGATGTTTTTTCATATTGAAAGTGATTAGATGGTTAATTGTTAAGGTTTTTAATTTGCTGTTAATTGTGATTAAGCTTTTTGATTTGTTTCTTTTTGGTGGTTTGATTTAATTAATTATCATTCTTCACAATTAACTCTCAATCGAGAGAGAGGAAAACAAAATGATTAATAACAAACCAAGAATAACAAACAATTAATTAATTGGAATCAAATTCTCAACAGGTTAATAAAGATTATGATCTTAATTGTAAAACCTCAAGAGGTGAATGATTAGATCTGAAAATTATAATCAATCTTCCTGTTGCTAAATCATCACATTAATTGTTGGTAGTTAAAATAAATTGTTCATTTTTGATGGTCTGAACTTTAAATTCATTGTATAGATTTGATTGTTTGTCTGTGGATTAACAACAATTAATCTTAATCACTGAATAAAAGGATTAGCTTAACATGTTAATCTTTTAATCTTTACAATTGATTTGATCGATTCAATTAACCAACTTGACGATTAATTGAGATGATCAACTAATTGGAGAAAGAAAAAAGTTTTTCTTTTTCTTTTATTAGTTAATTGTTAAACTAATAGAGATTATTAATAATTAACTTACCGTTCATCAGATTGGAACATGATAGTTAATCGTTTTCTTAATTTACAATTAAAGTAAATAGTAAACCAATTTGTTAATCATTTGAAGGGTAAAAGATTTTTTCAAATTTTGATTGATCACAATTTGAATGGTTAATTTAATTTCTCGTTGTTGATTGTTGTCCTTTTCACTATTTCCTATCATGTTGATTGTAACACTCATAATTTAACCTTTAATTTGATATGAAGGACAATCAAAGGTGAACAATATCAGCCAATAATAATAATAGCAACAATTAACATGAACAATTAAACATTAAAAGTTTAGAGTGTAAAGTTAAATTGTTAACCCATAACCATCACTTGTTAATATTTAACAATTTAATTTTGTTGATTGGTTGAAAGGTTTGAGAGATTCAGTGATGATGGTAAATCAATGTGAACAATTTAAATTGGATTAAAACTGGAAAATTCTAAATGAATTAAGCTTGATTGTAATTAGTTAACTAAGAGAGAAAGATAAATATTATTTTCACTGTTAATTGATATTCTCATCACTGGGAGATGGGAAATTGTAATGTAGTAGGAAGATTATGATTCTTGGTAGATTGATGATTCTAATTATGATGAGTTGATAATCATCAGGGTGAGAGAGAAAGAGAGACAGTCTCTTGATTACTCAATCTAAGCTTTTAAAAAACGACACAATTACAATCAATCAGAGAGAGAGAGAGAGAGAGAGAAGATGAAGAAAAGGATTTCTTTTGTAATTCAAGGTTTTCGGCAATCGTAGTGTAATAAATGCCATTCATTGAGAGATAATAATCTCCATTGGATTGAAATTTTCTCGAGTATCGAGTAACAATTATCGCTTATGAAATGGTGCTAATTGTTTGCCTTCGAGGCGAAAGTAACCAAAACATTTAGAACAGAATAGATTAGGATTTACTTTGTCTCGAACTTGATTTCGATCGTTGGACTTTTGGGCTTTCTATTTATGAATAGATTCATTTGGTCGATATGATTTGATTTCTACAAATTTCCATTAACTGTTCCAGTGAATCAAGTGATTAATCATAATCATTTGTTGATGTTGATAATGAAAAAGTTTTAAATTTATCAACAGAATAAGAAATTACCATTGAAATAATCGTCTTACTGATCGTCATCATTATCGTCAGAATAATCTTTGGATATCATTAGTTTCAATAGAGTGAGTATATGTTTTCTTTAATGTCTGTTGAATAACGGTAAATATTTTAGATTAATAAGAAGACATCATAATGGAAACAATTAAGAAAATGAATTTAATGAATGGAAACCAAAGAAATGAGGTAATTAACCAATGATTAAAGAAGACATTTAAAACCAAAAGGGAAGAGATTAATCTTGAGAAAAAGTAAACACGAGGAGAAAAATAATCAAGTAATCATGTTCATTAATTAACCAATTGTGTCATAAAAAAGTAAATAATAACAATTAAAGTAACAACCAACAATTAACACTAATCGACAGGTAAGTAACGGAACCAATAGATGGCACTGGTGACGAGTTAATTTTCTTAATTGTTAATTTTGGTGATTTATTTTTATTACTCAATTTTTGTTGAATACTAATTAAAATTAAGGAAGTAATTGATTGTCAGTGCTTTATTAGGGATTTAATAACCAACAATTAACTCTAATCATATGAAAAGATTTTACTGTTTTACGTTTTTTAAGTTTAAAAAGACATTTTATTCAATTGATTTGGTTTAGTTGATTAGTTAATAAAAGACAATTAATATTGATGAAAATTTCATCTTATTCAATTGTAATTATCAATATTATCACTTGGGTGAGATATGAATTGATTCAGTTTTACGACAAAATGTTCACAATTTAGTTAATTGTTAGTCTTGTTATTCCTTTCATTTACCGTTTCGATTAATTTAATTGTTTCAAGTTGGAAAAAAACAGAAAATCAAATGAAAAATGAAACAGTGATTAAGAAAACAGTTAATTTCGATTAAACTGATTTAGAATTAAATTAAATTTCAATTCTACTGATTTATTAACTTTCGTTTCGTTCAATTCGTTTGGTTTGATTGCGAAAAACTTTTCTTTTTGGTTTAATTTTAATGTCGAAAAAAATTCCAACAATTAATAGATTAATTGTTGAGATTATGTTAATTAATTCAATAAATTTTCTATCAATCATTAGTTAATTGTGATTCCATTGACAAAGAATATTAATAAATTGTATTAATTATGATTGAAATGTTGAAATTCGATTGAATCGATTTTCGAATAATCGATTTAAATCTTTCTTTTTGCTTTGTTATGATTTTTTGGTCTCTTTTATTTATTGTTGATGTTTGGTGATAATCAGTTAATATTTTGTATTATATTTTTTGATTAGTTGATTTAATTAACCATTAATCTTTTTTAATTGTTTTCTGTTTCCTTATTAACAATTGTTGAAACTCTCTGTGTCTCTGGTTTTAATTGTTGTGAATTTAAAATAAACATAATGTCCTCTGGTGAAGATTTAACAGCCAACTTACGAAATTATCAATTATTATCATTTTTTAATCTTCCATTTTTAGGATGGTCAATTAAAATACGAACTCATTTTAATCCTGAGATTCCAATTTGGTTATTGGGTATTAGGTATCAAAGTATTTCTGGTTCTAATGTTTCTAGAAATGAGATACTGGAAAATTTTAGACAAGATTTCTCAAGTAGAATCTGGTTAACGTATCGTCGGGATTTTAAAAGATTACCTGGTTCAATGTTCACCTCGGACAGAGGTTGGGGCTGCATGTTGAGAAGTGGACAGATGATGTTGGCCCAAGCCTTTTTGAACCACTATTTGGGCCGTGAATGGAGGTGGAATCGAACCCAATCAGATAAAAGTGGGATGATCCATCGGATGATAATCAAATGGTTTGCTGATGAATTAACAGCCGATTGCCCATTCTCTGTACATCAACTGATCAGAATAGGAGCTTCTGTTGGTAAAAAACCCGGAGATTGGTTTGGACCTTCAAGTATCGCTCATCTATTAAAGTAAGTTAATCTTTTCCTCAATGATTAAACAGAAAAAACCAAAAGATTTGAATCATTTGTTATCCAAATTCCAAACACCATAATCATAATAATATTTACTATCAATACTAAGCATTTTATATGCTCCAACAAGCTGAACTTATCATACAATTGTAACTGATAAGTCTCTCTTTTTTTTGTCGATAACTGTTACAATCGGTGCTTTAAAGGCAATTTATCATCCAAATTACTGAACATTGTTGACATAATCTAATCTCATCTAATCCCTTTCTCTCTCTCTTAAAATTTCTGTAGGAAAGCTTTAGCTGTCGCTGCTCCATCGAACCCGATTCTCAGTGATATCTGCATTTACATAGCAAATGATTGTACAATTTACATTGAAGATGTAATCAAACAATGTACTACACCTACATTAAGTTATAAAAAATCTGACAGTATTACCCGTGATTATGGTCGATCTTTGGTAAACAATCGTTCAACTCGATTCTCATTAGATTATGGTCGTACCCTTGATCCCCGTGAACATGGTTACTTTCCAGTTGAACATGGTGACTCTGAGAGAGATAATTTAAAAGCTCGTCGTCATTCAGCTAAACCCATTTTCTATGGTAAAGCAATGTCAACAATCAATTTAGTTGATACGGTAAACAGTGTAACAAACAGTCCAACCTTGGGTAATCATCCGCAAATGGATTTTGTAAACAATTCATCGGCATCTTCAACCACCACACCAAACTCATCATATTCAACATCTCACAATAATCATCTTCCTCATCATTCACAGTATCTTCCCTCTTCCCAACGTTCTCAACGTCCAACAAGCCTTTCAGCTGTTGAATCGACACGAGAAAAATGGAAAAGTGTCATTATCATTGTTCCCGTTCGACTTGGTACTGAAACATTTAATTCAATGTACGATTCGTGTGTTAAATCACTTTTTCGTCTTAAAAGTTGTCTTGGTATCATTGGTGGTCGACCTCGTCATTCATTATATTTCATCGGTAGCACCGAAGATAAGTTAATCTACCTTGATCCACATAATGATCAGAAGGCAATCGATCCAAGTAAAAATGATTTTCCACTCAATTCATATCATTGTGATTTCCCTCGTAAATTATCACTTGAACGAATGGATCCAAGTTGTGCTGTTGGATTCTATTGTCGAACTCACCAAGAATTTAACGATCTGATGAACACTTTAAAAGAAATTGTCATTCCAAGAGATCATAATTACACTTCTTATCCAATGTTCAACATATCACCAGGATCTGCATCTGATCAAAGATTTGACTACGATAGTTCAATGGAACAAACAGTTCGAATCAAACATCGATATTTAGATGCCTTCGGCGAAGTAACATCAGAATTTGATGCCGACGAATTTGTCATGATCTGATTAACATCGAATTGAGAAGCGCAAAAAAAACCAAAGAAAAAGAATTCGAATATATATATTTATTAATATAATATTATATTTATCTCTTTCCTTACTTGACGATCTCAAATAATCTTAATTATAATAATCATCACCCGTATTAATTACTCATGGTCAAGGAGAGATAAACAAAATGGAATCTAAAAATATAATTTAATTGATTATGGCTCTAAGTTAATTACTCTTATTACATATACATATGATTATGCAAAAAAAAATATGATCTGTACAAATTTAAGCAAATCAATCAACTGAATATCCGTTTGATTGTCACAAAATTGTAAATACAAATTTGATGCTAAAAAGTTACTGATTATGCTGACTGAATAAATTTTTGCTTCTATGCTCAACTTTTTCCTCGGTCAAGTAATCAAATTAAAATGAATATCATTTGCATCAGTTTTCAATGATTCACAATCAAATAAATTGATACTTTTTGAATGTCAATTAATACGCTATCACAAGTGTAAGGTTACTACTCGTTGACTTCCGAGTAACAATTAGGGTGTAAATTGTCAACTATTAAGTTCCTAGTGAAATTAACTTGATATGTTTTCCTCTCCCAACTTCAAAATTCATTACAATTGTTTAAAAATGAGATAAATTTACTTTCTGGAAACTTAACTGGACGATGGTCAGTTACATGATAACTGGGATGCAATTAATAGTTACATTTGAAACGATTCTGCTACAATATTGTTTGTTGGATATTAGATTACAGGATCAATTTGAATGAGCAAGTTTTCGATTTCGTTAAATTGAATTTCTGTTTAAATCGTTGAGTTTAAATCGTAACGATAAGTTGGTGAAAATTCCAAGTTTAAAATTGGCGGTAAAATGTTTTGTTCGATTGAAAAGCTCCGCCTTCTTTAAACACCTTTTTGGATTCAATTTAAGTTCACTTTCTGTTGTTGTTGTTATGCTTTAGATTGTAACTTGTGCTTATATTTTGTTCACAATTCGTAATATTTTGATTAAATATAATCTCTCTGCGCCAATTAGGTCAAAATGGCATCTAAATCATTTGCTTCCGAAAGAAGATTAAGACCAATTTATGGTTAGTTTACTTGTAATTTAACTAATTACTTGTAGAATCATGTTCTTTCCACTGATCACATTTTTTTCTCTATCTCTATCTCTCTCTCTCTCTTTCTTTCTCTTTTTCTTTTGATTCTATTAGATTGTTTAGACAATGGAAATGCTAAAAAGGCTCTTCAAGAAGCTGAAAAACTATTGAAAAAGCAAAAAGAATTACTCTGTGCCAAAGTTTTGAAAGGATTGGCACTTATTCGCCTTGGTCAACCTGATGCGGCCATGGAGCTTTTGCAAGAATTTCAAGAAGAAGTGCCAACTGATGATTGTACCCTTCAAGCTATGGCTATTTGCTATAGAGAATTGAATCGCGGTGAGAAAACAGTTTATATTAACTACTGTGTTTAATTCATATTCTAATTGGGGTAACTTTTTTCTCTCTTTTCTTTGATAGCTGATCTCATTGCTCAAACATACGAAAATGCTTGGAAAAAGGAGCCTAATAACGAAGATATCATGCTCTTATTATTCGCGGCATATGTTCGTATCGGAGATTTCAAGAAACAACAACAAGTGGCTTTAAATCTCTATAAATTGAGACCGAAAAATTTCTACTACTTTTTGGCCATAATGAGTGTCTATATGCAGGTAAAGTTTCAAACAAATCCTTGTTGGAAGTTGTCGTTCTTATTATCATGATTACATTTTTATTCATCGTTCCAGGCTATAACTCATGAGGATCCTGCCCTTGCAAAGAAAATGTTATTTCCGTTAGCCCAAAAAATGTGTCAAAAATTCATAGATGAGGACAAAATCGAATCAGAACAAGAAGTTGAATTATACTTGATGATTTTGGAGAAACAGGAAAAATACGAAGACATTTTAGTCGTTACTGATGGCCCTCTTGCAAGATTATTGCCTAATTATTTAGACTTTTTGAGAAGACGAAAAGCATATCTTTATATACAAACATGCCGATATCAGGAGGCCTTTGAAACTTTCCGATCCATGATAGAGAATAATGTTGATCAACTTGAATATTATCAACAATTAATTGATGTGGCTTTCAAACTTGACCAATCAACAGTTAATCATCATAAATTTACAAATGATCAAATGGCCAAAAATGAAGAAAGTCCGATAATTTGTAAAGTGATTGAAACTATTTCCAAGTATTTATTCAGCAAAACAGATTCTAGCTTTAAAATGATCAAGCAAACAGGCTCAAAATCGTCTCCTAGTACTGTTAAAGCACACAAATTTCGAGCTCCGTTTATCGCTAGAATTGAACTTTACGAAACTCTCAAAGCAAAAAGTGATTCTCACCCATCTTACACTCGCCTTCTATCAATCATCTCGGAAGATCCAGTTACACTTTACACACAATATTTTTCTCTTTTTGGTCACAAAAATGCCTCGTTTTTCGACTTTTCTTATCTTTTTACAAAATTCAAGAAACCAAAGGCTGAAATTCGCTCTGTAAGTATTTTCTAAATTCTATTCTAAATCTATTTACTATATAGTATTTTAATATCCTGTTTATCTTATCCACAGATTATCGAGGCAATCGATAAGATGAATGGCCCATTGATTGAAAAAAAGCCAAACACTCTTGATGAAATGTATCGTTTATTGTGTTTAATTAAGTTAAACTATTATTCTGGTAATTATGGTTTACTGGATGATATTGGTAAACAAAATATCATATCAAAGTTAATTGATTTACATGATGATTGTATCCATTTTGGAGCTGATCTATTGCCAAGTGATTTTCAGCCAGCTGATCCTTTTATACTGGTTATTTCATATCTTTTAATGAACCAATCGGTAGTTCAAGATAACTCAAAGCTACTTAATCTATTAATTATTTTGGAAAGATCTCTACAAAAAAGTCCATCCAATTATAACAGTAAAGTAGCTTTGATTAAACTTTACAATGCTATCGGTGCTTGTGGCTGTGCTAATCATTGGTTTGAATCAATGGACATCAAACATTTACAAATTGATACTCTTGGTTACCTAATTTCTGACTCATTACTTTTAAATAGTCATTATTCTGTTGCCTGTTCCAAGATATCTCATGCTTCAAGGTTTTATTGTTCTAATTACAAAGATGTAAGTGTTAATTTGTTTATTTATCCTTTCTACTTCCTCTTTCCTATTTCATTTCAATTTCCATTATTGAATTTTGAATAATGTTTTTCTTTGTTTTCTCTTTTTCTTTACACAGAACTATGATTATCTTGTATCATTTTATAAAATAGGAAGTTTCACCAAGATTGAAGAGATAATGAAACTGAAAGAGAAGTTGAATATCTCCATCAATTATTCATCCATAGAGCTTGACAAATTGCTTATGGCTCTTGTCCTGGTAACCAAAAGGTAAGATTTTATTTTTACTATTCTTTGGAAATTTGAAAATATTAATTGTCAACTTTGAGGAAATTTTTTCATTCAATTTCTACTTTCATGTGACTCGAAATTAATTTTGAACATTTTTTTTATCTACTTTTCTTATTAGTCCTGATGTTACAGCTCATGCAATCAATACAATCGACGTTGATCTGGATAAGATTGAGACTGATTTTGATAAGTTTATAGACAATAGGGATTTCACCATTTTCAGAGTTTTGGATAACGAAACTTGGGAAGAGACTCAAAAAAATGAGTCCCAATGGTTTGATGATCAAAAGAAATGGATTAAATTGCGACATTTGTTACTCAAAACGTTCATCATTGGACATTGTAATTTGTATAAAGAAGGAGACAAAGATAATACTACCAAATCACTTTCAACTAATTCAATTGGTGCTAAATTGGATGGCAATAGTTTCACTAATTTTACGGAAAATTTAGAAAAACTTGAACTTTATTATCATTCATTGAAAAATGAACCAACCCATTTAAACTCGGTAATTTATTATTTTTCCAAATCACATCATGTTAACAAACTTTAAAACTTATAATTAACTTTTATTTTTTATTCTTCACCATTTAGTTTCCCTTACAAGGTCCACAGCCTTCTAGGATCAACTATTATCTTCAACGAGATCACGTTGGTATATTATTAGCAATCTTTAATCAACTACGAACTGTTTATGAGTCAAGCTACGAAACAGGAGTATCTTGGAACGATTCTTGGTTACTCGATCTACAAACCATGATAAATGAAAGTATCGTTTCCTTGAAAGTGGCAAGAACTTTCCACGATATGGGTAAAGTTTTCATCGATCTTTCGTTCATCGTTGAAACGATTTGTTTTGCTGTTATTTTATTGGGATTCATCAATTTATCTCTAACAAAAGATGTTCAAGAATCAAAAAAGACTAAAAAGAAGCGAAATCCAGAAGTTTTAACTAAATTAACTCAACTAGTTGAAAGTTATAACAAAACTTTGGATGAATTAAGTGTGTGCATGAAATTTTTGCTCTCATCTTTGGATGAACTGGACATTGGTCATATTATCAATTCGCCTGTCGATTTGAACATGTTCAAAAGTGAAGGAAAATTTTTCCAACAACCTGAGGTAATTAATTAATTTCTTTTCATGTTTTTGATGCTTTTCTAATTGATTTTTTATCATCTTTCCATTTAACAGATTTACAGAACAACTTACGAGGAAATAACTGCGAAAATAGACCAAAGTTACCAGAAAACATCCAAACAACTCAACTCAACCGTTGCAATGAAATTAAAATATCTCAATCTTATTAAATTATGACCTTAATTTAGATACGAATTAACTTAAGATCCATAAAAAAAAATCGGTCGATAAAACAACTTATCCACACACACGTTGGTGAATCTTAAAGGAAACCAAACTTGATGAAAGAAGCTTATAAATCACCAATGGCTGATTTTCAGGAATACTTGTAGAAACAAAAATTAGTCACAATTAGTCAATTGTAATTTTTGAAACGAAGCAATTTCTAACTTTCAATTGATTTTGGAAAACAAACTGTATCTGTATCTATTGAAAGATCAAATACAAAATTATCAGATACAAAGTATCTTTTCTTTTCTCTTTTTTCAACTGATCTAATGTTCAACTTCAACATTAATTGTTCTCTCCCGAATTTTAATTGTAATCAAATTTGATAGCTCATTTTTCTAAATCTGTTATTTTGATTAAATTGTGACTAAAATCAATTGATCTTTTCCTTTTTCTTCTCCTCATTTAATTCACATTCTACAATCAAAGGTTTGTTTACATTCACTTTTTCTCACATGTTGATCACCTGTTTTTCTTTCAGTGTTTTCGTTTGAAAGTTGATTACATTTAATTTCTAATCATAACCTAAGACCATTTGATTAGGTTTAACTATTGATCTCTATAAGTGTGAATAGTTAATTTAACGATAATCATTTTATCTTTTTAGATTTAAATCTAGTAAATGTCTTCAACAAAATCCAAACAATATTGGCTCGTGCGATTACCCGATGATGTGGATGGTAAAGATTTGGACAAAATGAAAATAAAATTGAAATTTGGTTCATCAACTCATTCGGAAAATGAATCGATAAAAATAAAAACATCGACAAACGATCAAGAAACTTCAGGATTAATTGTCACAGAGAAAGAAGGAGACAAATTGATTGTAGCGAAACCTTTTGCTGGTGAAATAACATGTGAATGTAAATCAGTTTGGTCATAATATTCAAAGAAAATTAAAGAAAATTAAAGAAATTTATCTTCGTTACCACAAGGAACACAGTTAATGATTTGTAATTGTTAATGTATTCGATGATTTTATTAATGAAATGGAATTGAAAAACGACAATCAAATATTATGCAAATTATGTTTCAAACAATCGACCATCAATATTTCGGACAATCAGTAATTATTCTAAATCAATCGGTAATTGATGATTAACACATCAATCGATTTTATCAACACTGTGCCTTGAGCTGTTGGAATAATCAAACAAAGATATCAAAACTCAATATTTTAATAGTTTCAATTTATTATTCAGTTGATGAAAATAAAAAATTACTTTGATAAAACAGTGTTTCTTAAAGAGACAATCAGTAATTATTCTGAATGATTCAGACTGAACCAATCGGTAAATTGATGGATGCAATTGTGATCATCTTTTCGGAAGATTCAGTTTTAGAAATAATTTGCCAATCATCAGCATCGGAAAGATAGGAATAAATGGTTTTGGTTTGCTTGTTACAAATTAAAACTGAATTGTTATGATTAATCAGCTCGATATGATCAAGAGAATCGCTTCCGATGAAACTTTTCAGAAACGAATAGTCAAGACCTTTAAAAACATTTTTTCTCGGAAAATGTAAGATGAAAAATCGTTTCGCCAAAAGGTACAAAACTTTCTCACTTTTATCGATGACCAACAATGAGCGGGTTTCAGTCGGCTCTTGTAACTTACAAGAAGAAACTTTCCGGTAATCAAGAGACGGAAGAAAATAAATTGCAGAATCAGAATCATAATAAAGGAAGATAGCGTATCCATTATGTTGCTTAAAGGAAAGATCTTTTTTACCAACGCAAATCCCCTTTAAACTATCGTCCAGATGAATAGCATCCAAACTTGGTACACTTGAATTCGCAGGTCCATTCCTAGTGTCTGTCCTATCAGTACTATCGATGTGAAAATGATTGGATAAAGAGAAAGTATTAAGATTATATTATTGCTGAGAATCAGTAAATACTCACGGATTAGCAGGAATATCATGAATGATATATTTGTGAGCTTGACCATAATACGAATTGTCATCACCAAACATTTTAAGATATTTGAATTTTTTGTGTTCCAATCAACTCGAATACCTTTTCTTCCTGAATCATAGATTATATCGAAAATGTGATCAATCTCGATCAAAGAAGAAGAAATTGATTCATCTCGATCAAATTGATCGTATTTAACCCAAAGGTTTAACTTTGATAAACGTTGGATCTCAATTGTATTTTCATCCAATTCATAGATTGCGATCAATGATTTATAAGAATGTCGAGTACTTTTACAATCTGATCCACATAGTTTTGGGTGACAGGCATGAAAAGAAAGTGCATTCAACTGCAAAGCATAAATGTTGGATCCACAATTTTTGAGCTTTAGAGCGACATTTTCCATCTCACTTTCTTTCAAATGACAAAAATTGACGAGCTTAATGAGTTGAAGAAGATATTGATTTCGATCTTTTTCATTGAATTTAATCCATCGATCAATAGCTTCAACTACTTGATACTCATAAGAAACAACTAAATTCAGCTTCAATATGCGTTCTAATAGAGAAACAGAAAATTTAAGAAATGCTCTTGTGTGAGAAATTTGGAGGAAAAATTTTCAATGAACGAATTTCCCTTTCTTGAAGTGAGTAATTCTGAGGAATTATGTTTCTCATAAAAGTCCAAATATTCTTCAGTTAGTTTGAGTCTGAAATTTGATTGATAGAAATCATAATATTTCTGTTTAAGTTCATCCATTCCAAGGTAATCAGCGGTTTCCAACATCGCTAAAGCACTTTCCATGGAAATTGATAGACGGTTGTTGAGAATAAACTCTATAATATTATCGAATGAGTTTTCATCGAGATCAAGTTCTATTTCGATCAAATCCAAATTAGGATCTGAAAATAGTTTCACAAAATAAGGAATCGAGGATAACTTTTGTTTAGAAAGTTTATAAGATTTTTTTCGGTTCACAATTGTCACTTCCGTATCTAGCAATGTCCATTGTTCTTCATCCATCTTGAACCACTTTGGTTATCACTAAAAACTAAACTATTAATAACAATTTTCAGAAAAGATTTTTGCTTTTATACGAAAATTTGAAAAGGAAATGGTGACCACTAGGTTTTCTTTAAAAACTGAGGTCCAATCATTTCTTCACAATTTCTTGGGTTTGGCTTGAGTAAAGTGATCGGTCACTTCACTTCCGTTAAAGAATCGAGCAGTAAAGACAAAGCAAGAAAAGAAAAAAGTAAGAGAAACTTTTCCATAACGAATAATTGATTTTTATACATCTTGTATTCTAAGTGTCTCATTCACTGGTTTTTGGATTATTTTCTTTAAGTCTAATCTCTTGATAATTATCAAGAGTATTATCGGCAGCCAAACTTTGGCCTGCAAGGCAATTTGTATATCTGAAGACCAGTCATACACTTCAAATGAATTCGAGCCATTCTGCCCTTGAGATTTGATTTGATTAACACATCAATCGATTTTATCAACACTGTGCCTTGAGCTGTTGGATTAATCAAACAAAGATATCAAAACTCAATATTTTAATAGTTTCAATTTATTATTCAGTTGATGTAAATAAACAAATTATTTTGATAAGACAGTGTTTCTTAAAGAGGCAATCAGTAATTATTCTGAATCAATTGGTAAATTGATGGATGCAATTGTTATCATCTTTTCAGAAGATTCAATTTTAGACAATAATTTCCAATAGTCTGCGTCTTTCACATAAGAATAAATGGTTTTCGTTAGCTTGTTACAAATTAGAACTGAATTATTGTGACAAACCATCTCGATATGATCAAGAGAATCGCTTCCAATGAAACTTTTCAGGAACGAGTAATCAAGTTTTTTACTATTACTAGACTCTCTCAGTAAATGTAAACTGAAATCTTGTTTGGTCAAAAAGTACAAAACTTTTTCTGGATTCGATTTCCGTCCTAGTAGAGTAATATCTAAGCCGATATTTCCAGATTCAAAATTTGGGTGAAACATGAACGAGTTTCAGGTGGTCCTTGGTTACAAGAATACAGGTACCGATAATCGAGATACGGAAAATAATAATACGGTTTACTGCAAGGAATACGAGTATCCATACTATTATAGTTTGGGGGATATACACAGGGTCGGGCAGGTTTATTTAGCCGACTTTGAAATTGCATAAACCTGCTCGTACTTATATATTGACTATAATAATCAAGTCCACGAGGCTGTTCGTCGCGAATCGTGTCCCCATCGAAAATTCCTCCTAAGTGATCTTCAAGGAAAATAGATTCCACACGTTGCAAGTTCACTGAGGGAGCTTCATGCCTGAGTTCCATTCTCGAATTTTTGATAATCGAGCAATAACTGTTGGTTTAAAAAAAGGTTGAGAGTATTTATTAATAGATCAAATTGTTAAGCCTCAGTAAATACTCACGGACGAGTAGGAATATCATGAGTGATATATTTGTGTGCTTGATCATAATAAGAATTTTCATCACCAAACATTTTAAGATATTTGAATTTCTTTCCAATCAAATCTACTCGAATACCTTTTCTTCCAGAATCGAAGATAATATCGATGATATGATCAGCCTCAATTAAAGAAGAAGAAATTGTTTCATCTCGAGTGAACTGACCATATTTTATCCATAAGTTTGATTTGAATAAACGTCGAATTTCAATTTTATTTTCATCCAATTCATAGATTGCGATCAGTGATTTATAAGAATGTCGAGTACTTTTACAATCGAGTTGGCAGCATTCTGGATGGCAAGCATGGGAAGAATGTATTCTCGGAGAGGACTGAATATCGATACCAGAACTTTTGAGCTTTGCAGTAACATTTTCCATCTCTTTGTCTTTAAGATGACAAAAATTGACGAGCTCAATGAGCTTCGATAGATATTGTTTTCGATCTTCTTCATTGAATTTAATCCATCGATCAATAGCTTCAACTATTTGATATTCATAAGAAACAACTAACTTTAGTTTCAATATGCGTTCTAATAGAGAAACGGAAAATTTTAGAAATGCTCTTGTGTTGGAAATTGGAAGAAAATATTTTCCAATGAAAGAATTGAGCTTTTCTTCATCAAACATTCTGGGCAAATTATGTTTCTCATAAAAGACTAAATAGTCTTCCAATATTCCGATATTAAAATTTGATCGATAGAAATCATAATATTTCTGTTTAATTTCGTCCATTCCAAGATAATTAACAAGTTCCATCATTGATAGTGCACTTTCCATGGAAATTGATAGATGGCCGTTTAGAATAAAATCAACAATATTATCAAATGAGCTTTCATCAAGATCAAGTTCTATTTTGGTTGTGTCACAATTAGAATCGGAAAATAATTTCATGAAGTAAGGAATCGATGATAACTTTTGTTTTGGAATTTGATAAGATTTTTTTCGATTCACAATTGTCACATTAGTATCAAGAAATGTCCATTGTTCTTCCTCCATCTTGACCCACACTTTAATTAAAACTTGACAGAAAAGAATTGAGCAATAAAACCAAAACAGAAGAAAATGGTGATCACTAGATTTCCTTTAAATGCCCAAGTTCTAAGGATCTTCACATTGCTGTTGATCGATCCGAGTTAATAGATCGATCACTTCTGTGAAAGAATCGATCATTACGGACAAAGAAAAAAACAGAGATATGAGGAATGAATCAACTCTCTTAAAGTCTCTTTCGCTCTTTTCTTTCTAAAGTTGATTGATTGGGTGATGATCGATCAATACCCAATTCGATGATCGATTAAGACTAATTTATTATAATAATTCTGGTTTACTTGTTCTCGACCATTTTCTGGGTTATTGTTTCTGTTTTTTGGTTAATAAGAATGGAACTTTTTCCTCATGAGTTTCAATTCACATTGTTTAATGCAATCAGCAGGTTCATCGAATACTACAGATTTGTATTAATAGTAAAGATTTGGTTATTTAAAAAATGCCGTAATGAACATTTTATTGAGAATTATTAATATAAAACTATGTACATATAAATGAATCAATTGGTCCATAAAGAATCAAAGTGTATTCATATTCTTCGATTATCTCTCTTAATATTTCAATTTCATCTTTTTCACTTAATTCAATCTCTTTGATTGGAATCAATTTACTTCGTTTGACTATCGATGTTAAATATCGTAATTGTATCTTTTCCTCTTTTGTCGATTCTAAATTCTCTTCGTTTTCTTTGATCGTAGCTTTTAATTTCTCTATTTGTGAGTTGATCTCCATCTCGAAATCTTTTTTCATTCCAAGTCCAATCTCGTTAATTTGTTTGGTGAATTTTCCATCGGCACTAAAGCTAAAAGGAGTTCGTCTATTGGGTCGAAAATTGTCCAACAAAGTGCCAAGAGTTTCGACAACATAACAAAACTCATTAGCGGATTGATTAACTAGATAATTGCCAAGATACTTTTCTTGAGGATCGAGATTAAAATCAGTTCGCATAAGTTGTAAAGTCTTTAATGATCTTTTCATCATTTCCATGCCACTTTTCATGATCATCATTTGCCCACGATTAGTGACTTTACGATTGAATCCATTGATCATCTCGTCTAAATTATTCTCGATATACTTCATAACAGGATAGCGTTTGACGGGATGATTACGATTAAATATTTTCTGTAATTCCACAAATTTATATGGCTTTTTTGGTTTGTAACGGAAAAGTCGATATTCTAATGCATCTCGATCATTTGATATTTTGACCTTGGCCAAACATAAACGATCAGCCAAGTCAAAGGAAATCGATTTTAGTTCATTATCATCCAAATCTGACTCGAACAATGCTTTAAAGACATAAATCATATCAACGAAGTCATCACATACTTTTCGAGGTTTTCTGTCTTGAAATTTGTTCCAAGTTAATGAATTGAGATAATCAAGATATTTAACGAGATGTATCAAAACAATTAGAAGATGTTGATGAGAATTTACATTCAATTCATTGTAAATTTCATCGTCTCTTATGAATCCTTTAGGAACATCGACAGAGGGTTTCGGAAGTACCTTATCGGTGAGATAATAAGCATTGTTGACAATTCTCGATGAAGATTTTTGAGTACGATGAAAATTCGTTGTGATATTTTTCATTCCTAAAATGATCCAATCTGATTCCAATTCAGATTTAATCATTGACAATTTCTTCATTTGTTTGATGTAAACATTGAATCTCCTTAATGCTGCAAGTCTACAGACTTTACTCGTTTCATTAACTGTCTTTTTCTCAATCCAATCTTTTTTAATTTTCTCCATGTAACCGATAACATCATCAAAAGAATCAACTCCTTTCTCGTTAATTACGATGAATATTTCATCACTCTCGTTGATCCAATCGATTGTTTTTAAAGCAACAATCAATTCAAACGTTTCTTTGATTATTAATCGAGTTCCATTTACGATATCTCGTAATTTCTTTGCTTTTTGCTTTGGTTTATTCTCCATTTCTTCGGCAACCGATGACATTTCATCATTCAGAAGATTAAGTTTATCACAATAGATTTTGATCAGGGTTAATTGTCCTTCATTAATATCTTTTGATTGTTTGATAAATTGTAATTCACTTTTAGCAAGTTTAAGTAATGATTCCACTTGGTTTTGAGAATCAGGATTTGAATTGTTTTCCAAAGATTTCAACAGTTTGTCAATTATCGATGAGAAATCATAAGGAGATTTGTGACCAGAATCCAAAGCGTTCATTGAGATTGCACTTGGTTGCACCGATCGCTTAATGAAAGATATAATCATCTCTATGAATGTATAAAATTCAAAACCTAAAACACTTAATCTAAAGAATTTTGAATTGAGCATTAGATAGTTTGGACGTTGAAGCATAGATTCATGAAGATCTGATGCTTCTTCCGAATACTTTCGCAAAACAGATAATGAAGATAAAGTTTTGTCCACAATTGTAACTTTTCCTTTGATAACATCAATTTCCCTTGTAATAGAAGTTAAATCTCCATCAAAAGCCAAATGATCCAAAGATATTGTTAATTCGTTACTTTTATCCAACAGTTTATCACGATAAAATTCAATATTTTTGATTACAGTCTGAAGTAGTATAAGAAGATTTGGATAATCATTCACTTTTGAAAGTGATTCAGGTATTTGCAATAAACAATCCATTGGCTTCTAATCAAATTGAATCGATTATCAAGAAAAAAAAAAATGATAGAGATCAAAATCCAATAAGTTATTTCATCAATAACTCACCCAGGCTCAAATTACTCTTTAAGCGATCAATTTGGATTAGAAAAGCACAAGTACGAAAATGATGAAAATAATTGAAACAATAAACCAAAAAGTAAGGAGTATTTCTAGTCTTTGCAATTAACTAATCAATGATAAGTTATCATTGATAACTTTCCATTGAATTGAATCATTCAACTTGAATGAAGCTGATTATCAGCTGCTGATATTCAAAATGTAAACAAACAAAATGATAACTTTTTGAGATTGGAAGTTAACGCGGTAGATTTGAACTTTTAGTTAGATTAGATTTGAAATTTAATATTTAAAAAAAACAAGTAAGAAATTACTTAATTGGTCCATAAAGAATCAAAGTGTATTCATACTCTTCAATTATCTCTCTTAATATTTCAATTTCGTCTTTTTCACTCAATTCGATCTCTTTGATTGGAATCAATTTACTTCGTTTGACTATCGATGTTAAATATCGTAATTGTATCTTTTCCTCTTTTGTCGATTCTAAATTCTCTTCGTTTTCTTTGATCGAAGCTTTTAATTTCTCTATTTGTGAGTTAATCTCCATCTCGAAATCTTTTTTCATTCCAAGTCCAATCTCGTTAATTTGTTTGGTGAATTTTCCATCGGCACTAAAGCTAAAAGGAGTTCGTCTATTGGGTCGAAAATTGTCCAACAAAGTGCCAAGAGTTTCGACAACATAGCAAAACTCATTCGCAGATTGATTAACCAGATAATCACCAAGATACTGTCCCTCGTTCCAATAAGCTTCAGATCGCATAAGTTGTAAAGTTCTTAATGATCTTTTCATCATTTCCATGCCACTTTTCATGATCATCATTTGCCCACGATTAGTGACTTTACGATTGAATCCATTGATCATCTCGTCTAAATTATTCTCGATATAATTCATTACATGGTAGCGTTTATTGTGATGATTACGATTTAATATTTTTTGTAATTCAACAAATTTATGAGGTTTTCTTGGTTTGTAACGGAAAAGTCGATATTCTAATGCATCTCGATCATTTGATATTTTGATCTTAGCCAGACATAAACGATCAGCCAAGTCGGAAGATATTGATTGTAATTCTTTATCCTCCAAATCAGAATCTACTGCGGCTTTAATAACATCGATCATCTCAACGAAATCGTCACAAACTTTTCTGGGTTTTCTGTCTTGGAAGGTGCTCCAAGTTGAACCATTAAGATAATGAAGATATTTAATAAGATGAACTAAAACAATAAGAAGATGCTGATTAGGATTTGAGTTCAATTCTTCATAGATGATATCATCTCTGATGAATCCAATAGGAACATCAACTGATGGTGCAGGTAACAGTTTATAAGTTAAATAATAAGCGCTGTTTGAAATTTTTGATGACGATTTGCGGATTTGATAAAATTTCGATGTGATATTTTTGATTCCTAAAAGTATCCATTTTGACCCGAGTTCTGATTTCATTGATGATAATTTCTTCATTTGTTTAATGTAAATATTGTATCTTCTCAAAGTCGCAAGTCTACAAACTTTGTCTGTTTCATTGACCGTTTTATACTCAATCCAGTTCTTTTTACTCGCTTCCATGTAATCGATAACATCACCAAAAGAATCAACTCCTTTCTCGTTAATTGTTACAAATATTTCGTCACTTTCGTTAATCCATTCGACTGTTTTGAGAGCAACGATTAATTCAAAAGTTTCTTTGATAATTAATCGAGTTCCATTTACGATATCTCGTAATTTCTTTGCTTTTTGCTTTGGTTTATTTTCTGTTTCCTTGTCAACCGATGATAATTCAGCGTTCAGAAGATTAAGTTTATCATAATAGATTTTGATTAGGGTTAATTGTCCTTCATTCATATCTTTTGATTGTTTGATGAATTGTAATTCACTCTGGACGAGTTTAAGTAATGAGGACACTTGGGTTTGAGAATCAGGGTTAGAATTTTTTTCCAAAGATTTCAATAGTTTATCAATAATCGAGGAGAAATCGTGAGGAGATTTGTAACCAGAATCCAATAGATCCAATTGGGTTTCACAAAATTTTAGAAATCGCTCAATAAAAGATAACAATATGTTGATAAAGTCAGTAAAACTAATCGAAAAGACATGTAATCTAAAAAGTTCCGAATTAATCATCTGATAGTTCGGACATTGGACTAGCAGATCAAAAAGTCCAGAAGCTTCTTCGATATACTTTTGTAGCACATTCAACGAATTCAAAGCCTCATCAATTATTTCAATCTTTTTCATGGAAACATCAACCTTCCTTTGGACAACAATTAGATCCTTAGAATTGAGCTGATCCAATGATTTTTTAATTACTTCACTTTCCATCAGCAATTTATCACGATAACATTCAGCATCGTTGATAACTTGAAACAATCCAGGAAGATTTGAATAACTGGTCCAAGCAAAAAATGTCGTCGGTACCTTAAATGGATTATCCATTGGGCATTAATCAATTGATTAGTACAATCAATACACAAAGAAGTAGGTGAAATCCGTTGCGATTTAACGTGAATTAAAAGGTTATAAAACTGACCTGAAATAGAAAATAATTAATTACTCTTCCAACAATCACGGTTGAAATGAACCCAAATTTCAGGATAATATATTAATGGTTCAATCAATCAACTAATCCAATAATATTGATTCATTTAATTTCATCAGATTTAATGTTCAAATCAAAATACGTTTAAACATAATCAAAACAAAATATTAAATGAGATTGCAAACTAATGCGGTTAATTTGAATTGACGTAATTTTAGTTGAGAATTGAATTATTTTTATTAATATCATTTCGACAAGTTTTTAAAATATTATATTAATAAATATGAAAATGATAAAGATTAATGATAAGTTGGTAATTGATGTGTAAAAATTAGTCAAATACTTGCTAATTAAAGGTTGATAAATCTTCCAATTAGTTTCTAATCATTTCCATTGTTAATAAAAAGATGGGTACCGTTTATGACTTTTAATTGTTAACGAATTCGTTGATTTTATTAATGAATGATAAATTTTCACGTTGATTGGTAAAAGTCCATCAAATTTTCCTTGTTTTAAATTGTTGACCATCAATGTTTCGGACAATCAGTTATTATTCCGAATCAATCGGTAAATTGATGGATGCAATTGTGATCATCTTTTCATAAGATTCAATTTTAGAAATGATTTGCCAATCATCAGTAGCACCAATATAAGAATAAATGGTTTTGGTTTCCTTGTTACAGATAAGAATTGAATTGTTATGAGAAATCAGCTCGATATGATCAAGAGAATCGCTTCCGATGAAACTTTTCAGAAACGTATAATCAAGTGTTTTACTTTCAAATTGTCGATCAAAATAAAAACTAAAATCATGTTGTGTCAAAATGTACATCACAGGATTCGAGTGGCCATTGGGATGTAAACATGAACGAGTTTCAGTCAGTCCTTGGAACGTGCAAGAAGACAAGCGTCGATAATCAAGACGTGGGATAAATAGATAGGATTTATCGACCGCTTTAGCAGGAGCTTGGCGAGTATTCATCTCCTGTGACATCGGTCCAGTTTCACGATTAGAATGCCGAGAAGAATTACGAGAACAACGAGAAGGTTCCTTAACATCGAAAATTCCTCTTAAGTGATCACCCAGAGAAATAGATTCCACACGTTGCAAGTTCAATAAAGGAGGTTCGCATTTGATTCGTATTTTCGAATTTTTGATAATCGCAGAATTGCTATCGGAGGGAAAAAGATTCGTAAAATTTACATCACATTTATAATTTATCATTAAAGTGATTTAGAAATACTCACTTGGTGTTACAAATATCATGAGTGATATATTTGTGGACTTGACCATAATACGAATTGTCATCACCAAACATTTTAAGATATTTGAATTTCTTTGTGTTCCAATCAACTCGAATACCTTTTCTTCCTGAATCATAGATTATATCGACAATATGATCAGCCTCAATCAAAGAAGAAGAGATAGTCTCATCCTGAGTGAATATATCATATGTTGTCAAAAGGTTTGATTTGGATAAACATCGAATTTCAATTGTATCTTCATCCAATTCAAAGATTGCGATCAACGACTTGTTATAATGTGGGTTTTTTTCACGATCGGGTTGGCAGAATTCTGGATGGCAAGTATGGAAAGAATTCATTCGCAGCAAGCGCTGAATATCGATTACAGAATTTTTGAGCTTTGCGCTTACAATTTCCAGCTCACTGTTTTTTAGATGACAAAGATTAACGAATTTAATGAGGCGAGGTAGATGTTGTTTTCGATCTTTTTCATTGAATATAATCCATCGGTCAATAGCTTCAACTATTTGATACTCATAAGAAACAACTAATTTTAGTTTCAATATGCGTTCTAATAGAGAAACGGAAAATTTTAGAAACGCTCTTGTGTTGGAAATAGGAAGAAAATATTTTCCAATGAAAGAATTGAGCTTTTCTTCATCAAACATTCTGGGCAAATTATGTTCATCATAAAAGTTGTCAATATCTATCAATACTCTCAATATTCCGATATTGAAATGTGAGCGGAAAAAATCATGATATTTTTGTTGAATTTCATCCATTCCAAGATAATTAGCAAGTTCCATCATTTTTAATGCACTTTCCATGGAAAGAGATAGACGGTTATATTGAATAAAATCAACAATATTATCAAATGAGTTTCCATCGAGATCAAGTTCTATTTTGGTTGTGTCACAATTAGAATCGGAAAAAAGTTTCACAAAGTAAGGAATCGATGATAACTTTTGTTTTGGAATTTGATAAGATTTTTTTCGGTTCACAATTGTAACTTTCGTATCAAGAAATGTCCATTGTTCTTCCTCCATCTTGACCACCACTTTAAGTATCACTTATAAGAAGCTAACAAACAATTGACATGAAAAATTGCCTTTATAAGATCCTTACAAAACAAAAAGAAAATGGTTACCACTAGGTTTCCTTTTCAAACCGAAGCTCACAAAGTCAAATCTTATATTTGGCCGATCCGAATAAATTGATCGGTCACTTCTGTGTAAGAATCGATCATCAAGACAAGAAAAAACAAAGAGAAAAGAGGAATTAACTTTCTTTCGCTCTTATGAAACATATTGGTAACGAAAAATTGAGTATAAAAATAGTCCGAATTACGATTTGAGTTCAATTCGTCGTAAATGATATACAATTTGATCTATTGTAGTTTCTTTCAAATTTCTTCACAAAGTTTAGTGTTCAGCTGAACTTATCTAATCTTGGTTATTCATTCTTGACCATTGGTGGCTTATTGATTTCTGTCTCTTAGTTTAATAAGACAGGAATGAATTTTTGAGGAGATTAAGAGATTAAGCAATTAAACATCAAAACTTTAAATTTTAATAAATCCAATATGCAACCAATTTGTATCTTTGGCTGTGTTATACAGTTGATGTGTCAAAAATGTTGAAAAATTGGCCTGATTAACAGAAATGTACCAAAAATTGGCGATTATAAATAGTTGATTATTATTATTCCGAATCAATCGGTAAATTGATGGATGCAAATGCAATCATCTTTCCGGGGATTCAATTTTCAAAAATATTTTCCAATGATCAGTATCACCGTTATAAGAACAAATGGTTTTGGTTTCCTTGTTACAAACTAGAACTGAATTGTTATGAGAAATCATCTCGATATGATCAAGAGAGTCGCTTCCGATGAAACTTTTCAGGGACGAGTAATCAAGTTTTTTACCTTCACGTTGTTGACCACAACTAAAACTGAATCCATTTTTAGTTAAAAGGTACACATACTTTACATGATAATTGTGGGTATTGGTATAAAGTTTATCAAAACATGCAAGAGTTTCAGTCGGTCCTTTGAACGGGCAAGAGGAAAATTGCTTATAATCGAGATACGGAAGATAATACTGTTTGATGCCAGATTTTTCCGGAACTGGATAGGTGGAGGGTGCATAATAATGAGAAGCACCAGGAAGCTCATTACCGTAGCAAATTCCCTCAAAGTGATCATGCAGAGAAATAGATTCTAATCGCGTCGGGCTCAAGGAATGTCCATACGTGTGAGCCATTTTCGAATCTGTGATCACTCCACGAATCCTTAAGATGATAAAGTAAAGAAGATATTTAGATTATATTATTATAAAGAGTCAGTTTAACTTACAGATTGGGAGGCTTGATATCATGAGTGATATATTTTTGAATTTGATCATAATAAGAATTTTCTTCACCAAACATTTTCAAGTATTTGAATTTATTTGTGTTCCAATCAACTCGAATACCTTTTCTTCCAGAATCATAGATTATATCGAAAATGTGATGAGCCTCAATCAAAGAAGAAGAAATAGTTTCATCTCGAGTGAATTGACCATAAATTGTCCAATGTTTCGATTCTGTCATCCGTCGAATTTCAATTGTATCTTCATCCAATTCATAGATTGCGACCAACGATTTGTAATAATAATGTCGAGTACTTTCACAGTCTGATTGACACGATTTTGGATGACAGGCGTGGAAAGAATGTACATTCAACTGCAAAGTATAAATACAAAACCCAGCATTTTCTAGTATGCTAGCGACATTTTTCATTTGTTGTTTATGCAAATGGCAAAAATTGACAAATTTAATAAGTCGAGGCACATATTGATTTCTATCTTTTTCATTGAATTTAATCCATCGATCAATAGCTTCAACTATTTGATACTCATAAGAAACAACTAATTTCAGTTTCAATATGCGTTCTAATAGAGAAACGGAAAATTTTAGAAATGCTCTTGTGTTGGAAATTGGAAGAAAATATTTTCCAATGAAAGAATTGAGCTTTTCTTCATCAAACATTCTGGGCAAATTACGTTTCTCATAAAAGACTAAATAGTCTTCCAATACTTCGATGTTGAAATTTGATAGAAAGAAATCATAATACTTAAGTTTAATTTCCTCCATTCCAAGGTAATCAGCGGTTTCCATCATTGATAACGCATTTTCCAGGGAAAATGATAGATGATCTTTGTGAATAAAATCAACAATATTATCGAATGAGCTTTCATCGAGATCAAGTTCTATTTTGATCAAATCAAAATTAGGATCTGAAAATAGTTTCACAAAGTAAGGAATCGATGATAACTTTTGTTTAAATATTTCATAAGATTTTGTTCGGTTCACAATTGTCACTTTTGTATCTAACAATGTCCATTGTTGCTCGGCCATCTTGAAACACTTTAATTTTGTCTTATAAGAAACTAACAAACTACAGAAAAGACTTTTTCTTTTATACTCAAACGGAGAAAAGAAAATGGTGGCCACTAGGTTTCCTCTTCAAACGCAAAATATGATTGGGTTTGTGAAAGGTCGATTCGAGTAAATTGATCGTTAACTCCCGTGAAAGAATCGATCATCACAGACAAAGAAAACAAAAGAAAAAAGAAAAAAGTAGAGCAGATTATTCATCTTCCTCAAGTTTTCCTGTTTTCTCTCCATCTTTGTTTAAAATAGATTAAGATCGATTTAAAGTCGTTATGGAGCATCTCTATTGGCTACTTAAGGTGATTGAGAGAGATCGTTTATCATATGCTTAGGTCCTGGAGATGTTCTTAGGCCCTTCAACCAAAGCATCGCAACTTGAGATTTGTCAACTCACAATAGTGACAAATAGATGAGTCACGATTTGCAGAATTGATGATTTCTGAGAATGAAATCTACTCTATTATCGAATGAGCCCGAAATGTTCAATTCGCAGTATTTTCTCAATGATTATTAACAATTAAAGAAGATTCTGATAGCATATTTTAACAGGATTATACAACCAAACTTAAAAAGTTTCTGACTGAATACAGAAAATCACATATGAAAATTATTGCTGTTGAGATTATTCAACGTTTATTTCAATTGAAATCTTAGGAAAGTTGACAATTAAGAACCGTTTGATTGGCCAAATCAAATGACGATGACAGTTTTGATTAGGTAACAATCAATGATCACATGAAATGATTAACTAATATCCCAATCCAATCCGTGAGTTAAGATATTCATCAGTGAGCAAAACTTTAATTAATGAATCACCTAAATCGTGTTTTGATATTTTAGGTCCAACTCCTGATTCCTTGACCAATTTGTAGTTACCTTTACCATCACCATCTAGTGATCAAATTGATAACCATTTTAAATCACAAGCCAGAGTTAATTAATCAATTAATTACTTACTGTCAATATGAGGTGGACACAATATAATCCAATCTAATTCTGATTCTTTAATCACTTTTTCCATTCTCAAATGATCTTGGTGAATATTCATCACTGGTGGTGGGATTTTTTCAGGCTCCCAGAAGAGGAAAGCTAATCAAAGTTGAAGAAAAAACATCAAATAACAATAATTTAGAGTTAATTGTAACAATTAAACTACTAATTGTTGTTTCATTTTACCTGAGATACAAACAGAGATCCGTTTGACTCCAAACTTTTTCATTGAAGCGACAATGTTTCGAGCTCCATCGGACATAACGGTTGTTGGTCCAAGGTCAGTTCGAGTTCCTAAGACAATGATCACAGCATCTTGACCTTCAACGGCCTTATCGACATCTTCACCATTGGTCACATCACCGATAACAGTTGAATTAACCTTAAGGTCACTTGGTAGTTTACTTGAGTCTCGGACAAAAGCGGTAACTTCAAAACCTAAAAGGAGAAACAAATTCATACACAATTAAGACACAATTAACTTGACAGTTGAATTGAATCAAACCTTGTTCAATTGCTTTGGATACTGTTGCTAATCCAGTGTTTCCGGTAGCACCAAAAATAACCAACTTTTTAATTGTTGACATGTTTCAGTTGTTTGAAAGTTAATTGTTACTCTACTTGTTGTCTCGTCTAAAGTATTCACTTTAATGGGAGTTAATTAAGCTACAAATCATTCATTTAAACAGTTTTATGACAATCAAAGGAGTGTCTTAGTTTTATCAATGAATTAATTATTATGTAATCAGAATAATTCAAAGAATGAACCAGAATTAATACTATTAATTGTTATTTACTTTTACTGATTGATTATTTTTTAACCTTGACTATGATTAATCCCATAAACGGTTTCCATTAATTAATTATAATCAATGGTAATTATTTGATCAACCAGATGATTTCCAATTAGTTAAATGATCAGGATGTTGATACACCCAATGTTTAATCATCAATTTCATCAAACTTAATCAACAAAATCTAAACCATTTTCATTGTGAATTAAATTGTAGTAAAGAGTTAATCAAACGTCAGTTGATTAAACCCAACCTGCACTTGATATGATCGTTAATTGCTCTTAATCTTGATAAAAAAACTTTATTTTTGTATCTTAATTATATCCTTGATTGTTATAGTCATAATTGCACCTTCAGTTAATAATAATTACCGTTGGTTCAAATAATTGCTAATAACTAATAGTAATAATTAGTATTCAATTAGAATTGCGATTATTTTAATTGCTAAATTCAAATTCTACACAATCAAATTGATTCTTAAACTTGATCCATTTCACATGGAAATCAATAAATTGTGAAAATATAAAATAATACAAAGTCAAGAAACAATGGTTAATAATACTATCAAGTTGACGAACAATTAATTTCGTAATTTAGCTCTTACAAGTAATGCAAAATAAGCTAATAAACGGAAAATGATAATGACCACAATCAACATCCAGTAATCAAAATGTAGATTTTTCTTATCAAATCCAACGGAAGCAATTACTTGAGGTCCATTAACGAGGCAACCCTGACCGGGAACGGTTCCATTCGAGGGTAAAGTTGTACTATTAAGAATATTATTGACACTTGATGTCTCGTAATCACAATCAATGGAGGTCACATCTTCCCATTGGTTTATTAGTAGAATCTCATTTGAATAATAAATCCATGAGAAATACTTGATCCATCTTAACCAGGCAGGAATAGTTCTGAAATTGAGGAAACGGGAAACGGAAAAATTTGATTAGATTGCGAATTCACTGTTTATCCAATAACTTACGCGGCATTTAAAAAAGTACCACCGAGTAAAATTAATGGTGCTTGTAACGGAGACGACAATTCAAGGGCCATAGTGGTTCCACTCGAAATCGCTGAAATAAAATACCCGAATCCCGAAGCTGCATTGACAATCAGAATACTGACCAAGTTTCCGATCATGAAAGCATAGAGATTGTCATACAATCCAACTGCATAGTAACTTATTGACCAAGTTAGAACAGGAAGAAGTATGAAATACGGTTGGTCAGCTAATGTCCGAGCCAAAAAGTAGATGCTAACCCGATACAGGCCTGCACCGTGTTCTCGCAGAAATATTGGTGTTTCTTGACAGAAGGCCTGGATGAAAACAAAGACAGAACAGACAATCAATCAATGAATAATTGCGAGTTAAATGATAACTAATTGTTTCTTACATTAATCACAACAAATACACTTGAAAATTTGCATTGACGATTAGCAAAAAAAGGGCACCATTGATATTCATTATGCCTTCTTGGTTGTAATCTTGTCTCCAATAAACTAAACTGACCAAACCAACGGAAAACTAAGAGGAAAAAATCATTACATTTGCAATTAATTAATGGAAAATGTTACTTATTAATATTAATAACTAAAAATCCTCACCAATGTGTTGAAAATTCGTGCAACGGTCATCATTGGATCTCGAAGGTCAACTAACACAGATCTCCATAATAATAATCGAAATTGTGTCCAGATCCCTTGTTTATAAACTCGTGAATTTAGAGGTACTGAATTGTCCATTAACTGACTGTTATTGATTAATTGTTCATCGGATTTAATTTTTGACTCCATTTTTTGGAACTGACCAGTTTTCTTGTAAGCATCACAGATCATCTTGAACAATATTAATAATGAATTGAAATTAGTAAATTGGTATTGATTGTTTAGAGTAAATTAACTTACATTAATTTTAGATCGACACTGTTGCTCGTTACCAGGATCTATGGACAGTTTTTGAATGAAAAAATCGGGTGGATTATAATTAGATGGACAGACTAGACCATTTGATGAGAAAAAATCAATCGCTTGACCAGAGGTACCAAAAAATGCAAGTCGACCATCAGCAATAAGCATAATTTTATCAAACAATTTAAATATTTCGGACGAAGGCTGATGAATGGTACAAATGATAGTTCGTTGCTCGGACGCCAATGACTTTAGAACTGAAATTACACTCAGAGCCATGAATGAATCGATTCCCGAAGTTGGTTCATCACAGAAGAGTATCGGTGGATCCATGATAATCTGATGCCAAGAAAAAGCAAATTGATCACTCACACAACTAATTAGAAATTAATTATTAGTTAATTCACCTCTGTAGCAATAGAGAGCCGCTTCCTCTCTCCCCCTGATAACCGTTGACCAGTTTTCTCACAAGCAATCCTGGAGTCGGCAACTTTTGAGAGACCCAACTGATAATAGAAACAGAAACAAATCAAATAATAGACTATTGATATTGTACATGGAGTCAATATTGACCACCTACTCTTTCAAGAAGCTGATCAATCTTGGAATTGATCTGACTACTGGTCAGTTTGACTGGACTTCGCATTTTCAATTGAAATTTTAAATGTTCCTTAACAGTGAGATAACCAAAAAATAGATCATCTTGTTGAACATAAGATGAATACTTGGATAGTTTCTGAATGGTAGTTGGCTCGTTGTTCAACAAAACTTGACCATCGACAATAACGTTCTTAAATTTTGACCAGTCAATACATTGAGTAAAGTTGTTTTACCTAAACAATTAAAGAAACAATTTGTTAATAATGGAACAAAAAACCAACCAGATCAACTAATAAATATACTGAATTACCTGCTCCTGATGGGCCAAGAATAGCCAATAAATTACCCGGTTCAACATAACCAGAAACTATTGAACAATTAAGGTAAAAAAAATTAATACATTGAAATAAAAATCATGAAGGTGACAAGTGATTCTGTCATGATAATTTCAGCAAAGTATCCACTCATGAGAGATAATCATTTTCAGATTAACTTGATTTACATTTGATGAGAGAAACAAAAAAAGTATCAAAAATAAAAAGTAATTATGTCAATCAAAGTAGCAAAGGTTAGTTAACTATTAACAATGAAGGATATGAAGGACATCAAGATAATACAACTAATTGTCAAGTGACTGAACAATTAAATCTATCTAATCTCAAAAAATTGTATCAATTGTGTTAAAAGTGATCAATATGAGTAGATTTACACCTACAACTCACCATTTCGGATAATATGAACTGATTCCTTTGGATTACCCAGAAAATTGCTTAATCTGGACGAGGCTTTGGAATGGACATTAAGATTATCCCAACCAATTGAAATCGGCTTGAAATCAACATAAGGATTCATATGATTATCCCGAGGTAGAGTTGAATTATTGTTCATTCCTGTAGAAAAAGTTGAAAGTTATTTAGTTGATCAATTGGATTAGTTTTAATTGAATTGAATACACAAACTCATTCTCATCAATGTAATTGAATCAAGATATTAACACTAAGTCCGATGTTAGCGACTATCAAATTGAACACTTTGAACAGTTTAACAAACCAGAACAATGAATAAATTGTTAATGAATTGTTGATTGATTGCAGAAAATTTTCAAGTTACCATTGATTGTTGGTTGAATCTCATCAGTAACGGTAAAAATTGGATTATCAAAGGTATTATATGAACCATTGTGGGTTGAACTTAATGAAATATTTTTATCAGTTTCTGATTTCATTTTAAATTGAACACAATCAAGTCTAATTGTTGACTGTTGAATGTTTTGTCTTTGATATTATTATTATTGCGACAATGTTAACACGTTAATTTAAATTAAATCAGCGAAATGATCAACAGATTGATACACTTTTAAGAATCAGGGTTAAATAAATTAAGAAAGGAAATGAAATTTACTTAATTAAAAAGTTGAAACACTTTCTACACTTTCTGCCCTCGTGATCTCATTAATTTGACTAAGTTATTTAATCGAGGATTTGAATCAGTTAATTGAGATAATTTAACCATAGAAACACAAGGTTATGATCCGGTTCAGAGGAACTTAAATCACTTGATTTATAAATTGTTGGATTATGATGTGACAAATCACTTAGCTTTTTCCAAACAACAATGAAACATCGAGTGAGGTAAATAGTTGATCAATTGAAAGTACAATCAAGGTAACGATCTTATCAATTATTTATAAATAGTATCACTTTCAATTGAAAGGGAAATTATGACAAATAATCTCAGGTAAGGATAACATAAGATAATCCAATTTTAATCTTTGATGGTAATCAGAATAAAATTAACTCCTTAACTAGAGATAATCAACCAACGAGTCAATCGAAAATTAATTTAGTAGATTTCGTTTGTTCTCTTTCAAGATTTATTTCCAGAATCCAATTAATCCAAATGGGTTTGGCATTCTTGTGGCTTACGATAAATTAAACAATTGAATTTATCAATCGATTCTCCAGTAGATTAACATGAATCACCGAAGCCAATTTATACGGGAAGGAGCTAAGAAACTGACCCAATCAAGTTGACCGACTCTTCTTATTTCTTATTGATAATATTTAATGGAGAAAGTGTTTCAATGACAATTAGAATATTTTTTCTTATTTAAGTCATTTTCCATTTTAGTAGCGATTGAATTTCAATTCAAATTCAGCTGATCCAAAGATAAACATGTAATGTCTTCACTTACCAGCAATTAATCAGAATTAGATTCAATTTGTTTCATTAAATCTTGATAAAGATCAACATTATTGTAGTTTAATCATTTATACCGGAAAATTGTGTTGATATTTTGGTTTGATTATCCATCACAGTTTAATTATCACAATTTGAAAAATTAACTAACCACATAATTAATATAATCGGATAAAAAGTGGACTTTGCCAAATGTTGTTGCTGATTAATTTAATTAATTGAATTTCTCACCAAATCAATGATGTTACTATTAATTAACTGTCAACAGACAATTTGTATTGCAAGATATCATCAAATCAATCAGATTATGAAAACATAAACATTTCGACGAAATGATTTCGTCATCTATTAAATGGAAGCGGTTCATTTGAAAACAGAAAATCAAAAATAATTTGAAATCGGCTGAGATTCCGAATACTTGGTTTAGGATTAGAGCCCATTTCTTTATAAACGATATTATCTCTTATGAATCTAATCGGAACATCAATCGATGGAGCAGATAACAGTTCATGAGTTAAATACAGTGTTTCCCCCATTGAAGAAACCAAACTTTCATACTCATTTCCAATACTGATGCAAATGTATATCATTCAAATAAAAACTTACAATTTGGCTTATTAAAAATTGGAGAAACAAATAAATAACTACACAATAATGATGATATTAGATTGTTTATTATAATCAATTTTTGAGTTAATCAATAATGGATAAAAAACAATTGGAAGTAACCTTGTTTATTTAGATTGTGAAATGGAAACAAAAATGAAAGTTAAAAAGGGGACAATGGGTAAGTTGATTAGTGGTTCCATCACTGAACAGTTATTGTAATCTAGGACGATATTTATCGTTACCTTCAGCTTTTTTTCAAATCCACGTTTAAGATACTTTTTTACTTGGTCCAAGGTTCGATTTTCTGTGTCGCGACCGGGAATGGCATTTACCCTTCTGGTCAAGTCCTCGAGATCGATTGTTATGTCGTCGTGGTTCATTATCTCCACATCCATAGACACTCACTGGTGTTCATTCAAATTTGTTCTATACATCTTTACGTAAGTAACACAAACAATAAAATTTCGTCTATGGAAGTTTAACCGATACTCAATTGTCATATTTCAAGGTCATAAAGGTTATTCATGAAAGAACGCACTTTTATGTCGTTTGAAGAACTTTTTGAAAACCAGAAATTTTTTAAAGCCTGGCCGTGAAGTCAAAAAAATAATATCACAAAGCAACCTTGTTATCGCGCTAAGACAAAATCATTTACTTTAGGTAACTTTTTACAGAAAGCAAATTGAATCATGCCTTGTAAGTGAAGAAATGATAAAAGATCACAGGTAGGCTTGAAAAAATCTCTAGTTCTCAAAAAGTTCTTCAAACGACCTTCAGGTGCGCTCTTACATGAGTAACCTTTATGACCTTGACCTTGAAATATTAAAATTGAGTTTAGGTTAAACTTCCATAGACGAAATGTGGACCATGTCGGTCAAGTTGTTTTTGATTAATTGTGAAAAGAAAACCAACAAAATAGCTGAATTGTTTGGATTTTATATGACGATTTGATTAATATTTATTTCAACTTCTCAAAGCCACAGTTCAGCACGTTCTACTATCGTTCATTGTTTTCTAATTCTCTCTATTTTCCTTTCTCACAATCGTAAATAATTAAATCAACTAACAACAATAAAGGACCATTATTCCTACCAATGTATTGGCAGCTTAGAATTGAAAAACATCTAGAGCCCACATGATAAGTAGTGAAATGAAATGAATTACTAAGAATCCGTACAATGAAATTGATTTCAAACAATTGATTGAGTCTTTTTTATTGCTATTAGAACTTTTTGTTACTTCACTAATTCTAATTTAATTAAATAAATTCTTAATTTTCAAATTCGCGCTTCGAGATGTCATGGGTTCGGATCAAAGAGTAGAGAGATGATTGAGTCATCCAATTATTATTAATAATCAGTCATTGATTTGAACTTCAAAGTTAAAGTGAAAACCTCGTGGACGCCATTTTCTTTTGTCTGTTTTGTCTATACGAACTTACTTCTTTATTAATTTCTTTATCGAAAGGTTATTAATTTTTTATGCTTAGTGAACTATAAAATACGTGAAGATGGAAGATCAGTGGATAACATTAGATGAAGATACTAATGTGACAATTGTGAACCGAAAAAAATCTTACGAAATTTCTAAACAAAAGCTATCATCCATTCCTTATTTTGTGAAATTATTTTCCCATTCTAATTGTGATACAACCAAAATAGAACTTGACCTTGATGAAAGTTCATTTGATAATATTATCGAGTTTATTCTGGATAATCATCTATCGATTTCCATTGAAAGTGCTTTATCTATGGTAGAAACTGCTGATTATCTCGGAATGGACGAAATTAAACAGAAATATTATGATTTCTACAAATCAAATTTCAACATCAAATCATTGGAAGAGTTCTTGGATTTTTATGAGAAACGTAAATCTCCTGAAATGTTTACTGTTGAGAAGCTCAATTCTTTCATCGGAAAGTATTTTCTTCCAATTTCTCATACAATTGCATTTCGAAAATTTTCTGTTTCTCTATTAGAACGCATATTAAAACTAAAATTGATTGTTTCTTATGAGTATCAAATAGTTGAAGCTATTGACCGATGGATCAAATTCGACGAAAAAGAAAGAAATCAATGTCTACCTCGCCTCATTAAACTCGTTAATCTTTGTCATCTAAAAGACAGTGAGATGGCAATTGTAACCGCAAAGCTCAAAAATTCTGAGCTCGCTGTTGATACTTCACATTCTCCACATGCTTGTCTACCAAAATTCTGCCAATCTGATTGTAAAATTGATCGACACTATTACAAGTCGTTGATCTCAGTTTTTGAATTAGATGAAGATAAAATTAATATTCGACGCTTGTGTTTAAGTTCGCACCTCTGGACTAAATATGGTCAATTCACTCGAGATGAGACAATGTCCACTTCTCTGATTGAGGCTGATCATATCGTCGATATAATCTATGATTCCGGAAGAAAAGGTATTCGAGTAGATTTGATTTCAAAGAAATTCAAATATCTCAAAATGTTTGGTGGTGACGATTCTTATTATGGTCAAGTTTACAGATATATCACCCATGATACTCGTCCTAAAAAGTGAGTATATTTATTGATTCTTAGTGATTACATTATCATACTAATTATTCATTCTCCATCTTTCTCACAATCTTAGTACTTGTGTAAAGATCAAAAATTCGAGTGAATCGCGTTATGCACGTTTCATTGTACAACGTTTGGAAGCCATTTCTCTAGGTGATCACTTGGAAGGAATTTGCTATGGACATGGAGATCACATTGATTCTATCGGTTTTGGCGATGAAAGCTGTAGTGATGAATCTATTTTTTCTGACGATTCTGATTGTTGCGAAAAATCTTATTATTATCTCCAGTCTTTGGATTATCGAAAACTATCTTGTTGTGAATTCCAAGCAGCGGTTCAAACTCGTTCATGTCTATTATTGAAGCAGAATAACGATTCAGAATTGCAAAAAGTTTTGTACATTTTGACAAAACGTGATTTCCGTCGACAGTTTTTACTAGAACATAAGAGTAACATAAAATTACTTGACCATTTGTTCCTGAAAGAATTCATCGAAGCGATTCTCTTGATCATATTGAGCTGATTTCTCATGAAAATTCACTTCTTATTTGTAACAAGGAAACGAAAATGATCTATTCCTATGTGAAAGACACAGACTATTGGAAATTGATGTCTAAAATTGAATCTCCTGAAAAGATGATTACGATTGCATCGATCTATTTGCCTTTGATCGAGAACAATAACTAATTGTCGCTCAATTTAAAACATTAATGTTCAATCACTTGAAACAATTAAGTTTGATTGACTTTTCTTAATGTATGTGATAATTTTCACTTTCATATTTTATTGTTGCTTCTTAATTCAATTCCATTAAAACCATCCAACTCATTAACACGTAAAAATCATAAATGAAGTTCATCTTTATTATCAATAGTGAATACGATTAGCTTTGATTGGTAAATATTAATAATATGAAGATTCATCAACACAATTTCTATTAATTCACAAATTGAGAAATTGAACAGACTAAGGAGACAATTAAGCCAAAATCAAATGCATCATCAGGATAACAATTGATCTTCTCAATTTTCAGATTCGCGCTTCTATTTGTAGATTGCGAAATGTATTGCGCTTATAGAGAAAACCTAGTGGACATAATTTTCTTTTCTCTGTCTTTGCTATAAAAAGCTTAGTTCTTTTGTTAAAAGGGTTATTTAATATTTAATTTCTTTCAAGTGAATATCAAACTGCCTCAAGATGGAAGATCAAATGACATCATTGAATGAAAATATGAAAGTTACAATTGTGAACCGAAAAAAATCTTATGAGATTTCTAAACAAAAGTTATCATCGATTCCTTACTTTGTGAAATTATTCTCCAATTCTAATTGTGCCGTGATAGAACTTGATCTTGATGAAAGTTCATTCGATAATATTATCGAGTTTATTCTGGATGGTCATCTATCGATTTCTATTGAAAGTGCCTTTTTAATGATGGAAATTACTGATTACCTTGGAATGGACGAAATTAAACAGAAATATTATGATTTCTACAAATCGAATTTTAACATAAAACTTTTGAATGAGTTCTTGGATTTTTATGAGAAACGTAAATCCCCTGAAATGTTTGCTGACGAAAAGCTCAATTCCTTTATTGCGAAATTTTTCCTTCCAATTACTCGCACACGAGCATTTCTGAAATTTCCTGTCGCTTTATTGGAACGAATTTTGAAGTTGAATTTGGTTGTTTCTTCCGAGCATCAAATATACGAAGCCATTAAGCGATGGATCTTTTTTAATAAAAAGGCCCGGAAACAATATCTACCTCAACTCATGAAATTCATCAATTTTAGTCGTTTGAACGATGAAGAGATTAAAATTGTCGCCTCGACGCTTAAAGCTTCTGGATTCACTCCCGATACTCCACCATCGAAGAAGCAACCTCCCCGTGCCTGTCTACCAGAATTCTGCCAATTTGATTGTATGATTAATCGACAATATAACAAGTCATTGGTCGCAATTTATGAACTGGGCAAAGATAAAATTAATATTCGGCGTTTATCAAAATCAAACCTCTGGACTAAATATGGTCAATTCACTCGAGATGAAACAATGTCCACTTCTCTGATCGAAGCTAATCACATTGTCGATATTATCTATGCTTGTGGTCATAAAGGTATTCGAGTTGATTTGATCGGAAAGAAATTCAAATATCTTGAAATGTTTGGTGATGACGATTCTTATTATGGTCAAGTTTACAAATATTTCGCTCATGATATTAAAACTGATAAGTGAGTATATTAGTTCTTATTGAAAACATAATATGTAAAACTAAATACTCTTATTTTCACATCCTCAGTACTTATATAAAAATCAGAGACTCGCAAAGTGGATCTATTAATAATATTTGTGCTAATGTTAACATGAAACGTTTGGAAGCCATTTTTCTTGGTGAGCACTTGGAAGCAATTTGTGATGGAACAATTAAATTTGTTGAATCTGCTAGAACTAATTGTCGATGCTCTAAGCAAGTTGATTGGTCCGATTGGGACAGCAAATCTTGTGGTCATAATGAATCTTGCCGTAATAATGAATCTGATATGCTAGTGAATAAGCCTTATTATTGCCCGTCTCTTGATTATCGAAAATCGTCTTCTTGTGAATCCCAAGGACCAGTTCAAACTCGGTCCTGTTTGTTATCGAAACCAGATAAGTATTCAGGTTCGCAAAAGATCTTGTGCTTTTTGACTAAACGTGATTTCCGTCGGCAGCATGTGGATGGACATAGAGTTGGCATGGATGCATCAATAGTACTTGACTTCTCGTTCCTAAAAGATTTCATCGAGAGCGATTCTCTTGATCATATTGAGCTGATTTCTCATGAAAATTCACTTCTTATTTGTAACAAGGAAACGAAAATGATCTATTCTTATATCGATGATACAGACTATTGGCAATTAATGTCTAAAATTGAATCTCCTGAAAAGATGATCGCAATTGCATCCATTTGTTTACCAATTGATTTTGACCAATAACTAATTACCAATCAATTTAAAATATTGATGTTTAATCAATTGAAACAAAATTAAGTTTGGTCTACTTTTTTTAATGTACGTGATAATTTTCACTTTCATATTTCATTATTGCTTAAATTCAATTCAATAAAACCATCTAACTCATTAACACGTACAAATCATAAATGAATTACTTGTAAAACAGAAATGATTAGTTCTGATCAATAAATAATTAGAAATTTCCCCGATCTCATGCAAACAAATTAATTGTTTGATCAGTTTTCAATCAAACGGATCTTCATTTGCTTATTGTTGCTCATTTAATGGATGACGAAATGTCTTTGTTTGGTTTCTAATTCGATTAGTAATTAGCTTTTTTTGATTTGGTGATGAATTGGTCATCAATACTTTCACATTAGGCTTTCAACAAATTCGTAATCGACTTTTAATTTGTTAGTCATATCACAATACGAGTTTTATTAGATCATTAATAATATTAATTTAATATCTTTGGACCTAATGATTAAGTCGGTATCGTCCAAATTTACCAATTTCTAAGCTCTTAATCAACTTGAAGCAAAGTTTAATCCACTAGCAAAAACAAAAGATTTACTAAACCGATAGAATCAATCAAATGTCTTGAGTTTGAAAAGGAAACCAAGTAGACGCCATTTTATTTTTTCAATAAAAAGCTTAATTCTTTTGTAAAACCGTTAGTTTTTTATAATTAAATATGGACCCAATTAAATGAAGATACTGAGGCTAAGAGATGTTGCTAATGAAACTCGACTGCTTGTTAAGGTCCAAATGAGCAAATCATCGTCGATTTTAAGACAATTGAATCAACGAAAGAAATTATTTAATCAAGGATTTGAATCAGTTAATTGAGATAATTTAACCATAGAAACACAAGGTTATGATCCGGTTCAGAGGAACTTAAATCACTTGATTTATAAATTGTTGGATTATGATGTGACAAATCTTCTTTAAGAGTTAGAAAAAGTGCTCATCGGCTCACTAATAGGAATATGCCAACGGTCAATGTTCCTCATGGATTCATTCAGGATGATCTTATTTATGAGGCATTGAATTCGATTTCTCATCAATATCCCTTAATTACTTTAACTCATCTCATTGGGATCTTCATTATCTTAGTTCATTAACAGGGAACAAATTTGAAACTAGAAAACCTCGAAAAGTATGAGATGACTTTGCAACGGCAATCCAAAGTTTAATCGAGTCAGATCTGGGTGATAATGAATTACATTCGATAACCTTTGATTTGGCTGATTGTTTGTTTGGCCGAGATGAAAATCGCAAACGATTGAGATGCGTTAGAATATCGACTTTCCCGTTACAAGCCAAAAACCTCATAGATTTCCAGAATTGCAAAAAGTACTGCAAATTGCAATACTTTAGAGCATTGGAATATACCGACAAAAGATGATGAAAAGTTAATAGACAACATTGAGACTTTTTCGATTCGAAGCCTATTGGACAGGAGGAGAAGATTTTCTAATGGGCTATATCGTTGACCAAGCTTCGAATGAGATTTGTTATGCTATCGAAACTCTTGGTAAATTGTAGACAATTTTCTACACAACAAACGAGCTCCTTTTATCTTTAATGTCTGTTTTTTAATTTTGAACGAAAAAATCGGGTGGATTGTAATTAGATGGACAGACTAGATGAGTTATTTGATGAGAAAAAATCAATCGCTTGACCAGAGGTATCAAAAAATGCAAGTCGACCATCAGCAATAAGCATAATTTTATCAAACAATTTAAATATTTCGGACGAAGGCTGATGAATGGTACAAATGATAGTTCGTTGGTCGGACGCCAATGACTTTAGAACTGAAATTACACTCAAAGCCATGAATGAATCGATTCCCGAAGTTGGTTCATCACAGAAGAGTATCGGTGGATCCATGATAATCTGATGCCAAGAAAAAGCAATTGATCACTCACAAAACTAATTAGACTTTGATTAGTGTCATCGACAATGCCATTCCTTAAATTTTTACCAGTCAATACATTGAGTAAAGTTGTTGCACCTAAACAATTAAAAAAGCAATTTGTTAATAATGGAACAAAAAAAAAGCAACCAGATCAACTAAATATACTGAATTACCTGCTCCTGATGGACCAAGAATAGCCAATAAATTACCCGGTTCAACATAACCAGAAACTATTGAACAATTAAGGTAAAAAATTAATACATTGTTTCCAAAATCTAATTAATCGCAATTCTTCATTAGATTGACACAAATCATCAGAAATCCACTTTTGTATGGGAAGGAGCAAAGAAACTGGATAAGTTGGTCGCGTCTTCTTATTTATAAAAGTTAATGAAGAAAGTGTTTCATTGACAATTAGAAGTTTTTTTCTTAGTTTAATTATCACAATTTGAAAAATTAACTAACCACATAATTAATATAATCGGATAAAAAGTGGACTTTGCCAGATGTTGTTGATGATTAATTGAATTTCTCGCCAAATCAATGATGTTACTATTAATTAACTGTCAACAGAAATTTGAAATCGGCTGAGATTCCGAATACTTGGTTTAGGACTAGAGCTCATTTCTTTATAAATGATATTATCTCTTATGAATCTAATCGGAACATCAATCGATGGAGCAGATAACAGTTCATGAGTTAAATAATGAGCGATGTTTGGATTTTAGGTGACGATTCGCTGGCTTGATTATAATTCTTACTGATATTTTGATTCCTAAAAGTATCTATTCATAGCCAAATTCTGATTTTATTGCTAATAATCTCTGCATATATTTAATACAAATAATGTATCTTCTCAATGTCGAAGCTCAAATGTCCTGTTTAATTTTCTCAATTGAAAATTCGCGCTTCCATCTGGTAGATGGCGAAAGTAGTGGACATCATTTTTTTCTTTCTTATCTAATAAAAGCAGCTTAATTCTCTGCAGAAAAACTTCAAGACCTGAAGTTCAAGTTGAAGCTCAACAGTTACTTTTCTTTTTTAACGAGTGAACATCAAACCTTCTCCGCTTCAAGATGAAAGATCAATTGATATCATTAGACGAAAATATGAAAGTTACGATTGTGAACCGGAAAAAATCTTATGAGATTTCTAAACAAAAGTTATCATCGATTCCTTACTTTGTGAAACTATTTTCCAATTCTAATTGTGACACAACCAAAATAGAACTTGATCTTGATGAAAGTTCATTCGATAATATTATCGAGTTTATTCTTGATGGTCATTTATCCATTTCCATTGAAAGTGCCTTTTTAATGATGGAAACTGCTGATTACCTCGGAATGGGCGAAATCAAACAGAAATCATTTGATTTCTATCAATCGAATTTCAACATCAAACTATTGGAAAAGTTTTTAGATTTTTATGAGAATCATAAATGTATTGAAAAGATTAATGAAGAGAAGCTTAATTCCTTTATTAGAAAGTATTTCTTTCCAATCTCTCATACAAAAGCATTTCTAGAATTTCCAGTTACTCTACTGGAACGCTTATTAAAAATGGATCTGGTTGTTTCTTCTGAGTTTCAATTGTTCGAAGCTATTGATCGATGGGTTGAATTTGATAAAAAGCTTCGAAAACAATATTTTCCCCGACTCACCCAATTCATCAATTTTCGTAAGATGAAAAAGGCTGAGATCTACGGTGTCGGGTGGTTGCTACGAAGGCAGGGATTGACTTCTGATATTCCACTGTATAGTGAAAAGTATCCTCCACGTGCTTGTCTACCAGAATTCTGCCAATTTGATTGTATAATTAATCGACATTATAATAAGTCATTGATCTCAATCTATGAACTTGATGAAGATAAAATTAATATCAGACGTTTATCAAGCTCAAATCTCTGGACTAAATATGGTCAATTCACTCGAGATGAGACAATGTCCACTTCTCTGATTGAGGCTGATCATATCGTCGATATAATTTATGATTCTGGAAGAAAAGGTATTCGAGTTGATTTGATTGGAAAGAAATTCAAATATCTTGAAATGTTTGGTGGTGACAATTCGTATTATGGTCAGGCTTACAACTATTTCGCTCATGACATTCAGGTTGATAAGTAAGTATATATTGATTCTTAACGATAATATGATCGTAATACTTTCTATCTTTTCATATTCTTAGTACTTATGTTAAGATCCAAAAGTCTCAAAAGTCTGATAAGGAATCGAGTTGCAAAAAATTAAACATGCCGTTTAGAAGCCATTTCGCTGGGTGATCACTGGGAGGGAATTTGCTATGGAAATGAAGATCCCGATGATTCTGTTGGGTTTAATGGAGGTCATATGTCTGATGAATCTGATGACTTGATGACTCTGATGATAATGGCGGATTGAATAAATTTCATGACCAGTATTATTATTGCTCGTCTCTTGATTATCGAAAAATGGTTTCATGTGTATCGAAAGGACTGACCCGAACTCGTTCATGTTTGTTACCCAATCCATATCGTTATAATGGTTCTTTTAAACACTTGTACTTTTTGACAAAAAGCGATTTCAGTTTTTATTATGTACGAGGAATGTATCATTCGCATAAACGTGACTTCTCGTTCCTGAAAGATTTCATCGGAAGCGATTCTCTTGATCATATTGAGCTGATTTCTCATGAAAATTCACTTCTTATTTGTAACAAGGAAACGAAAATGATCTATGCTTATATTGATAGTGATGGAGCTGATTATTGGCAATTTATGTCTGAAATTGAATCTCCTGAAAAGATGATTACAATTGCATCGATTTGTCTGCCGTTTGATTGTGAACAATAACTAACTGTCACCCAATTTAATACATTGATGTTTAATCACTTGAAACAAGTTATTTTGCTTTTCTGAATTAAACCGATAATCTCGCCTTAAGTTTTCAATTGTCGCTCGAATATTTTAAATTAAAAAAATTATCAAATTGATTTGCGATTTCAAGTGAACCTCATCTTTTTGTCCACAACCTTTAGCTGTAAATTATTGTTTTGTCTTATTTTGAAAGAGTCGAAGGAGTTTTAATTAATGATGCGATTTTGATAGAAATAAATTATCAGTTAATTGGCTTCTATCATTAATTAAGTGATGAATTTGTCATCAGTATTTTTACATGAAGCTTTCAACAAATTCCTAACCGACTTCCAAGTTTTACGCGATAATATCAATAATTAATGTCTTGATATATTCAACCAGAAATCAATCTTTGATTAAATCAAAAATTCATTTCTCAGCTTGATCGCAATCAAATGTCTCGAATTTGAAAAAGAAACAAAGTAAACAACATTTTCTGTCTGTTAAAAGCTCAACTCTTTGTGAAATTTTAGCTCATTAAAAGGGATAATTAAAGATAAACATAACATAGACACAATTAAATGAAACAACGAGATTTTGTTAATTGGATTTAACTAACGAACTAATAATTGTTACTTCTAAAACAATTGATTGAGTAAACAAAGTAAAGAAAATTAGTAATTATCAACAAGAGAGAAACCGATTGTTTAGATTATGTTACAAAAGTAAAAAAGATTGAATCTAAAACTGATTGGTACTAACTTTTTAAATTATTATTGAAATGTGATGAGTTTTAATGTTAAATCGATAATCAACAATTAACAAATTAACAATTAATAGCGGGAAAACTTTCTTACGAAAGTTTTTTAAGGTTGTTATAGACCTGTGGTTTGTTGAAATGGGAATCGTTTTTTAATAAAAAAATTCAAAACTAAATTTCTTCTTTCTCACTACTTTTTCTCTTTCTTTCTCTCTCTCGTCCCATTCTTTCTCATCTCTTCCTTTTTCTTTCCTATCTTTTCTTCTTTCTTTATTCTCTTCTTTCTTTCTTTCTCGTCTCTTTTCTTCTCTTTCTTTTTTCATCTCTTCTTCTTTTTCTTTCTCCTCTCTTCTTTCTTCTTTCTCTTTCTTTTCATCTCTTTCTCTTCTTTCTTCTTTTCTTCTTTTCTTTCTCTTTTTTCTTCTTTCTTTTCATCTTTTCATCTCTTTCTTTCTCTTTCTTTCTCTTCTCTTTCGTTCTCTTTCTTTTGAAATACGCGCTGTAAAAGCTTAACTGCGCATGCGTACAAAATCTTTGATTCAGAATTTCATGAACGGCTATTCAGATTTTGTTCGTACTATTTTCGCTACTGTAGTACTTTCCGCTCTATTTTTGGTACCTCAACATCTCATAGAATCCTTTTATCTTGAGCTCAATTTACCCAAAATTTGAGCTTATCTTATTCAAGTTTGTAGATTAATACATCTCTTCACAAATAGTTCGTAAACATTGTAAGAAGAGAAAATAATTTGTTTACAAAATTAATTGGAATCAATTGATGGCAAGCATCTTAACTGTATCTTTTCCTCTTTTGTCGATTCTAAATACTTTTCTTAATTAGGAGTAACTAGGAGAACCTTAATTCATTTCTTAATCGATTATTGAAAAAATAATCGATAATTATTTGCCACTAACTAATCGATTAATTAATCGAAGTAATCGCCCATCTCTAAATTAGAGACTCTAATTGTTTAGAAAGTTTCTAGTGTTGATAACGATAATATTGCCCATCACCATTTAAACATTCATTTAACTGTTAGTTTGTTACGAGTGAACATTAACCTGTTTCAAGATGGAAGATCAATTGATATCATTAGATGAAAATATGAAAGTTACAATTGTGAACCGAAAAAAATCTTATGAGATTTCTAAACAAAAGTTATCATCGATTCCTTACTTTGTGAAACTATTTTCCAATTCTAATTGTGATACAACCAAAATAGAACTTGATCTTGATGAAAGTTCATTTGATAATATTATCGAGTTTATTCTGGATGGTCAACTATCGATTTCCATTGAAAGTGCCTCATCTATGGTAGAAACTTGTGACTATCTCGGAATGGACGAAATTAAGCGAAAATATTATGATTGCTTTGAATCGAATTTCAGAATCAAACATTTGGAAGAGTTTTTAGACTTTTATGAAAATCATAAATGTCTTGGAAAGATTAATGAAGTTAAATTGAAATCTTTCATTGGGAAATATTTCGTTCCAATTTCCAATACGAGAGCTTTTCAGAAATTTCCAGTTACTCTATTGGAACGCTTGTTGAAAATGAATTTGGGTGTTTCTTCGGAGCTTCAAATTTTCGGTGGCATTTTTCGTTGGTTCAGTTTTGATAAAAAGGCTCGAAAACAATATCTACCTCAACTCATGAAATTTGTAAATTTTTGTCGTATGAATGATGCTGAGATTACAACTTGCGGAATCATGTTTAAAGATTCTGGATACAATTCTAATCTTCGACAAGGAAAGAAGCCTCGTGCTTATCTACCAGAATTCTGCCAATTTGATTGTATAATTAATCGACATTATAATAAGTCATTGATCTCAATCTATGAACTTGATGAAGATAAAATTAATATCCGACGTTTATCAAGCTCAAATCTCTGGACTAAATATGGTCAATTCACTCGAGATGAGACAATGTCCACTTCTCTGATTGAGGCTGATCATATCGTCGATATAATTTATGATTCTGGAAGAAAAGGTATTCGAGTTGATTTGATTGGAAAGAAATTCAAATATCTTGAAATGTTTGGTGGTGACAATTCGTATTATGGTCAAGCTTACAAATATTTCGTTCATGATATCCGTTGGGTTTAGTAAGTATATACAGGCTGCCAAGGTTCAAAGTGAACACTTTTGAAATTTTATTGTGAGACAACCAGAGATGTTAAATTGATCAAATGAAGTTTTTATGATTAATTGGACTATCTAGAAGATAAAATAATTTTTCCATGATAATCAAAAAAGTCATATCTGAGTAAGGTCAATTTTCCGAAAGTCTTCGAAAAAAAACTTTTTAAAGGTCGTTTTTTTTCTTTACCTCATAACTCGGCCATTTTGGATTTTTTTTTGTTGAAAAAAATACCATTGATAGCTCACACTATTCGCTAGCGATGATCTAAATTTCAGAAAAGTGAGAGCTACAGATCTTCAACAAAATTCATTTAGCTGAAGTCAAAAAATCGAAAATTGAGAAAAATTGAGGGAGATGGGACTCTCAATGTTAAACCGCCCATAGACTTAACATGGGCTTAAAAAGTTTTTTTTTTCATCTTTTTTTTAAATATTGATATCTCCTAAGCGTTTCATTATTTTGACCTGAAAATTTGGGGACCGCTTGTTAATAGTATAAACATGATTGTCTGAAAATTTCATACATTTAGTATTTATACTTTGCTCACAGTAAAAATTCAAAAATGTTCACTTTGAACCTTGGCAGCCCTGTATTGATTCTTAACGATAATATTATCTAAATACTTTCTATCTTTTCCCATTAGCACTTATAATAAGATCAAAAAAACGGAAACACATCATCGCAACTCTGGCAGTAATGTTTTCAACTTCAAACGATTGGAAGTTATTTCTCTGGGTGATCACTTGACGGGAATTTGCTATGGAAATGAAGATCCCGATGATTCTGTTGGGTTTAATGGATGTCTTGGGTCTGATGACTCTGATGATGGTGGCGGATTGAATAAATCACATGATCAGTATTATTATAGTTCATCTCTTGATTATCGAAAATTGTCTTCATGTACTCTAAAAGGACCATTTCGACTTCGTTCACTTATACTTTCGAGACTTGGTCCCTATTGGGACAAGGTTTGGTACTTTTTAACGAAACGTGAGTTTTGTAAACACATTCATAGCTACTTGCATGTACTTGACTTCTCGTTTCTGAAAGATTTCATCGGAAGCGATTCTCTGGACCACATTGAGCTGATTTCTCATGACAATACAATGCTAATTTGTAACAAGGAAACGAAAATGATTTATTCTTACAACGATAAAATTGACCATTGGCAATTGCTGTCAAAAATTGAATCTCCCGAAAAGATGATTACAATTGCATCGATTTGTCTGCCGTTTGATTGTGAACAATAACTAATTGTCACCCAATTTAATACATTGATGTTTAATCACTTGAAACAATTAATTTTGATTGACTTTTCTGAATGAAAGCGATAATTTCACCTTAAGATTTCAATTGTCACTTGAATATTTTTTGTGTTTAATCACTTAAAACTAAAACTAAGGTAGTGCAACTGAAAATTGACACATAATTTTAATTGTTGATTGTTCATCAACCAGAGAGTTTTAATTATTGAAATCAACACCAAAGATAGAAAAATTTTTGAGGATTCTAATGACACTAAAAAAATATAAATTAAAAAAAGACTTAAAATTATTAGCATTTAAATCAATTTATCAAACTTAAATTGTCAAATTCATATTTAAAATCTGGTTTTTGCTAAATTTAAATACAAAAGTTTTTTCTTTGAAAATTTTACAAATTTTTTAATACGAAATTAAAGTCCATTTTCTAATCTACTATATGGTATGAAAAAATATTGGTTAACTTGATTAGTTCTCTAATTATTTAATTTAAAGAAACAATTAGATAATGATAAATCCGTCGATAATGTTTCTGTTAAGTGCTTAACATTGTTTTACCCATAGAGGGAGCTATAAAAGTTAATTTATTTTCAACAATTAGTTAAAAAATATTTGATTAATTTTTTGTTAATTGTTGTATTTTCTATAATTTGATGTCATTAGAATTCTCAAAATCTGATCTACTATTGGTGTCAATTTCAATAATTAAAACTCTCCGGTTGACAAATAATCAACAATTTAATTTATGTGTCAATTTTCAGTTGCACTACCTTATTTGTCAAATAGTTTTGATTAAGCTTTTCTTAATGTAAGTGATAATCTCTCCATAAGTTTTTAATTATCGGTTTAATATTTCCAATTAAATAAAATGATTGAATTCATTAGCAATTAAAAATGGATCATTTGACCACAACCAAATGATTAAAGAATAATTTGCATATTCATCAATCTTTGACAATTATTTTTCTGATTTGTTCCTACCAAAGAGTTGAAGGAGTTTTTTAATTACAATAATTCAACAGAGTTCAATTATTGTTTCAGGTAGATTCGACTATATCATTGATTTGGTGATGAATTGGTCGCCAATATTTTTATATGAAGCTTTCAACAAATACCAAACCGACTTTCAATTTATTAGTCCTATTACAATACGAGTTTTATTAGATAATATCGAGTCGATATTATCGCTAAACAATATTTTTGGACATGTTAATTAAATCAAACATACAAAAAATAAAAATAAATCTCTTGTCCACAATCAAAATGATTAAAAAATATTTTGCATATTCATCAATCTTTGGCGATTATTTTTCGATTTATTCCTACCTAAGAGTCTAAGTAGTTTTCAATTAGAAATTATTAAGAATTATTTTAATTAAGAATGGTTCTTCTAAGAATACTAATTAGTTCTTAATGCCTTAAGCTATTAAGAATAGAAATAATTTATTGTATCAGATTAATAAGATATTATCCTTGATTTGGTGATGAATTTCTCATCAATATTTTTACATGAAGCTTTCAACAAATTCGTAACTTACTTTCAATGTATAAGTTATAACACAATACGAAATAATATCAATAAATTACTGACAATAATTAATATCTTCAAATCTTTAAATCAATTATCAATCAATCTTTGATTGTCGATTAAATCAAACATACATTTCTAACCTTAATCGCAATCAAATGTCTCAAATTTGAAAAAGAAACAAAGTAAACAATATTTTATTTGTCTATTAAAAGCTCAACTCTTTGTGAAATTTTAGATCATTGAAAGGGATAATTAAAGATAAACATAACATAGACACAATTACATGAAACAAGGAGATGATGTTAATTGGATTTAACTAACGAACTAATAATTGTTACTTCTAAAACAATTGATTGAGTAAACAAAGTAAAGAAAATTAGTAATTATCAACAAGAGAGAAACCGATTGTTTAGATTATGTTACAAAAGTAAAAAAGATTAAATCTAAAACTGATTGGTACTAACTTTTTAAATTATCATTGAAATGTGATGAGTTTTTTTGTTAAATCGATAATCAACAATTTACAAATTAACAATTAATTATTATTACATCTTTTCACAGATAATTCTTAAACATTGTAAAAAAAGAAAATAATTTGTTTACAAAATTAATCGGAATCAATTTCCTTTAACAATTGATGTTAAGTATCTTAATTGTATCTTTTTCTCTTGTGTCGATTCTAAATTCTCTTCGTTTTCTCTGATCGAAGCTTTTAATTTATGAACCAATTTCCATTCGCAATTTTTCTCCAACTATCCGAAAACTACTGTTAATTTTCTTCGAACTCATTTCTATGAATACCGACTCGATATTCTTTTTTTATATCGATCATAAATCGACAAAATATCGATATCTATCGATACCGATAGTATCACCATTTAAAACATTCATTTAACTTAATTTAAGATACTTAAATGATTTTACAGTACAGTCATACCTCTCTTAAGTTATAACTCTCTTAAGTTACAAAACAGAGCCATCTCTTGTCGAAAGAGGAGCAACTCGTAACTGTTAGTTTGTTACGAGTGAACATTAACCTGTTTCAAGATGGAAGATCAATTGATATCATTGGATGAAAATATGAAAGTTACAATTGTGAACCGAAAAAAATCTTATGAGATTTCTAAACAAAAGTTATCATCGATTCCTTACTTTGTGAAACTATTTTCCGATTCTAATTGTGACACAACCAAAATTGAACTTGATCTTGATGAAAGTTCATTTGATAATATTATCGAGTTTATTCTGGATGGCCAACTATCGATTTCCATTGAAAGTGCCTCATCTATGGTAGAAACTTGTGACTATCTCGGAATGGACGAAATTAAGCGAAAATATTATGATTGCTTTGAATCGAATTTCAGAATCAAACATTTGGAAGAGTTTTTAGACTTTTATGAAAATCATAAATGTCTTGGAAAGATTAATGAAGTTAAATTGAAATCTTTCATTGGGAAATATTTCGTTCCAATTTCCAATACGAGAGCTTTTCAGAAATTTCCAGTTACTCTATTGGAACGCTTGTTGAAAATGCATTTGGGTGTTTCGTCGGAACTGCAAATATTTGCAGCTATTGTTCGTTGGTGCAAATTTGATAAAAAGGCTCGAAAAAAATATCTACCTCAACTCATGAAATTTGTAAATTTTCGTCGAATGAAAGATGCTGAGATTACAACTTGCGTGTCAATGTTTAAAAATGTTGGAATCTTCTAATCTTCGATACGGAAAGAGGCCTCGTGCTTATCTACCAGAATTCTGCCAATCTGATTGTATAATTAATCGACAATATAATAAGTCATTGATCTCAATCTATGAACTTGATGAAGATAAAATTAATATTCGACGTTTATCAAGCTCAAATCTCTGGACTAAATATGGTCAATTCACTCGAGATGAGACAATGTCCACTTCTCTGATTGAGGCTGAGCATATCGTCGATATAATTTATGATTCTGGAAGAAAAGGTATTCGAGTTGATTTGATTTCAAAAAAATTCAAATATCTTGAAATGTTTGGTGGTGACAATTCTTATTATGGCCAAGTTTACAAATATTTCGTCAGTGATATTCGTGTGGTTTAGTAAGTATATATTGATTCTTAACGATAATATTATCTAAATACTTTCTATCTTTTCCCATTAGCACTTATAAAAAGATCAAAAAATCGGAATCATATCGCAAGTATGACAGTAATGCTTTCAATATAAAACGTTTGGAAGCCATTTCTCTGGATGATCACTTGGTGGGAATTTGCTATGGAAATTCAAACCCCGATGATTCGTACGGGTCTAGTGAGAGTCATGGATCTGATGAATCCGATGATGGTGGCGGATTGAATGAATCTCATGATCAGTATTTTTATTGTTCTTCTGTTGATTATCGAAAATTGTCCTCGTGTGATCTAAAAGGACCAGTTCAAACTCGTTCACTTTTACTTTCAAGACTTGCTACGAATCCATATTCTGAAAAGGTCTTGTTCTTTTTGACGAAACGAAAATTCTGTATAAAGGAGCACAAAGTTTCGGATGGCGCAGATGTACTTGACTTCTCGTTTCTGAAAGATTTCATCGGAAGCGATTCTCTTGATCACATTGAGCTGATTTCTCATGACAATAATATGCTAATTGTCAACAAGGAAACGAAAATGATTTATTCTTATATCGATGATGTTGATATTGATTACGATGACGCTGATTATTGGCAATTTATGTCCAAAATTGAATCTCCCGAAAAGATGATCGCAATTGCATCCGTCTTTTTGCCCTTTGATTGTGAACAATAACTTATTGTCTCTCAATGCAAAACATTGATGTTTAATCACTTGAAACAATTAATTTTGATTGACTTTTCTGAATGTAAGCGATAATCTCACCTCAAGATTTCAATTGTCATTTGAATATTTTCAATTAAATAAAATGAACGAATTCATTACTATTAATAATTAAAAATGAATCTCTTGTCCACAATCAAAATGATTAAAAAATATTTTGCATATTCATCAATCTTTGGCGATTATTTTGCGATTTATTCCTACCTAAGAGTCTAAGTAGTTTTCAATTAGAAATTATTAAGAATTATTTTAATTAAGAATGGTTCTTCTAAGAATACTAATTAGTTCTTAATGCCTTAAGCTATTTAGAATAGAAATAATTTATTGTATCAGATTAATAAGATATTATCCTTGATTTGGTGATGAATTTCTCATCAATATTTTTACATGAAGCTTTCAACAAATTCGTAACTAACTTTCAATGTATAAGTTATAATCACAATACGAGATAATATCAATAACTAATATCTTCGATTAAATCAAACATACATTTCTAACCTTAATCGCAATCAAATGTCTCAAATTTGAAAAGAAACAAAGTAAACAACATTTTCTGTCTGTTAAAAGCTCAACTCTTTGTAAAACTTTAGCTCATTAAGAAGGATAATTAAAGATAAACATAACATAGACACAATTAAATGAAACAACGAGATTTTGTTAATTGGATTTAAATCATTGTTACTTCTTAAACAATTGATTGAGTAAACAAAGTAAAGAAAATTAGTAATTATCAACAAGAGAGAAACCGATTGTTTAGATTATGTTACAAAAGTAAAAAAGATTAAATCTAAAACTGATTGGTAGTAACATTTAAATTATTATTGAAATGTGATGAGTTTTAATGTTTAATCAACAATGAAGTTAATTGAATTAACAAATCAACAATTGATTAATTCATCTCTTCACAAATAATTTGTTAACTTTGTAAAAAGAGAAAATAATTTGCTTACAAATTTAATTACAATCAATTTACTTTCACTCTAAAGTGAATAAGTAGCAACAGTTAATTAAAGTCTAGATGATCAATTTACATGTAGATTGAAACGCGAGTAATTTTAAATACAATGAATAATGACTATTAAATAGTCAATCCGATTGACATTAGAAATTAAAAATCAACACTTAATCTGATTCAATGTTTAGCCAGAATAAAATGTATTAATTGTTTTCTATCGGAAACTGAAAAGAAATGATAACATGAGATTGACTAATTGTTGAGTAAATCAAAGCTAATGAATAACCACAGCAAAAGAAAAATAAATTTTGTAGTCCATTAAATGGAACAAAGATCAACTTCATTTGATTAGCAACTATTGAAGAATTTATTTATTTTATTGTAATCAGAAAGTAAAGATTATCAAGTTTAATAGAAAAAGTCGAATTTGTTTCAAGATTGACAATCGTTAGTTATTATTCCGATCCGATCGGAAAATAGACGAATGCAATTGCGATCATCTTTTCTGAAGATTCAATTTTAGTCATAAATTGCCAATGATCAGTTTCCTCCATATAAGAATAAATCATTTTCGTTTCCTTGTTGCAAATAAGAATCGAGTTGTTATGAGAAATCAGCTCGATGTGATCAAGAGAATCGCTTCCTATGAAATCTTTCAGAAACGAATAGTCAAGTACTATTGATTCATCTTTGCCACCTTCGTGTCGCACCATAAGCTGTCGCTGGATTTCAATCATAGGTCCTTTACTTCGAGGCTCTCGCAATGAATATCGACTGAAATCTTGTTGGGTCAAATTGTACAAGACTTTTTGAGATTTTGAATCGCTACCTAGATTCGAGGACAAACATGAACGGGCTTGAGTTGGTCCTTCAATTCACAAGAAGACAGTTTTCGATAATCAAGAGACGGAAAATAATATTGCGGGGACGATGATCTATGGACACCGAAAACATGACAATCACTCGAATATCCATCCAGATAGCAAGTTACCGCCAACTTGTCACTCAGAGAAAGTGATTCTACACGCTTTATGTTGAAACGTTTATTACTAGATTCTGTAAGCGCATTCGAGATCTTAAAATGAGTGCTAGGGTATGAAAAAGAAAGAGAATAGTTAGATTATGTTAACACTAAGAATCAGTAAATATACTCACGAATCAGTACAAATATCATGAGCGAAATATTTGTAAACTTGACCATAATAAGAATCGTCACCACCAAACATTTTCAAGTTTCTGAATTTCTTTGTGTTCCAATCAATTCGAATACCTTTTCTTCCTGAATCATAGATTATATCGACGATATGATCAGCCTCAATCAGAGAAGTGGACATTGTCTCATCGCGAGTGAATTGGTAACTTTTTGTCCAATTATTTGATCTTGACAATCGACGGATCTCAATGTTATCTTCACCAAGTTCATAGATTGAGACCAAAGACTTGTAGGAATGTCGATTACTTTTACAATCAGATTGGCAGAATTCGGGTTGACAAGCATGGGGAGAATGTTCTTTCAACTGTTGAGTGTGGAAATGGAATCCAAAATTTGCTAGTATGCCAGTGAAGTTTTTCATTTCCTTAAAAACGACGTCTGTTATTTCTCTTTCTTTCAAATGACAAAAATTGACGAACTTCATAAGATGAGGAAGATGTTGTTTTCGATCTTGTTCATCAAATTTGATCCAACGATCAATAGCTTCAACTATTTGATACTCGTAAGAAACAACCAAATTAGAGATGGGCGATATTATCGGTATCGATAAATATCATCGATATTTTTATGACGATTATCATCGATAAATTGAAAATTATATCGATGATAAATGTGCTTTCAATGCGAGTAAATTTCATACATTTCTCATTGAAACTTGAATGTTTTTCACCATAAAATGCCGGCAGTAATTTGGGATTATTTTAGCAATGTGAACAGTACATCCGTGATGTAAGCAGTGTAACAAAATAGTGAAAACCTCTGGTAACACTACCAACATGAGGAGCCATTTTCAGAGAAAACACCCAGTCATCTATGAGTCAATTTTTCAAGTGAACCAAAGGATAAACAACCAAAGATAGATGATCAAATTAGTGAAATTAATTCATTTAAAGGTAAGATTTTCGATTAGTATTTTTATATGCTGTAAGTGTATTGATATTTTTTCTTTTGAAATATTTAGATGGTGAAAGAAGCTCGTCATTCACAAGCTCTTTAATATGGTTCATTGTTAGAAACTTCCAGCCTTTTAAAGTGGTGGAATCGCCTGAATTTATCTCAATGATCAAATGCTTATCCCCTCATGCTCGTGTTCCATCAAGAAAAGCAATCACTAACATGATCTCCGATATGTTCCAAAGGAAAAAGGATCTCGTCAAGCTTCATCTCACCACTATAAATTATGTATCTTTTACTTGTGATATTTGGACGGACACTTTTAATTCTCGTTCTTATCTTGGACTCACCTGTCATTACATTGATGACTATCACCCTCAGAGCATATGTTTAGCAGTTAAGCATATGAACGAAAGTCACTCAGCTGATCATATTGCAGCTATTATAAGAGAAGTTATGGCAGATTACGAAATCTCAGGTGATAAAGTGGTAACTATTGTTACGGATGGTGCTGCTAATATGGTCAACGCTGCTAATCAGATCTCTAAGTCAATATGGTGTGTTGCCCATCGTCTTAATCTTTTGGTCAATGATGCAATAAGAGGTAACAAAGATGTTGACAATCTTATTGCATCAGTGAGATCAATTGTTACGTTCTCAAAGCAAAGCAATAATTTCGCTGATGCAATCGAAAAGGAGCAGCTCAGAGATAATCCTCGTTCACTCAAATTGATCCAAGATGTACCAACTCGTTGGAATAGTGCTTATCTCATGTTAGATCGATTTCTCGCAATCAGGAATTACGTAAAGATGGCATTGGTCAAGGTGCATAAAGAAGACATGGATATTAGCTATGAAGCAGTTGATCTTCTTAATGACATAAGAGATTTACTCAAACCATTTTATCAAATGACCAATGATGTATCTGGTGAAAATTATGTCACCATTTCAAGGATTATTCCTGTTGTGAACAATTTAAGTTACGTATTGAGTATGGTTAAAGTTACGTCACTTACTGGATTGGACCTGAAGAAACAACTAGAGAACGGAATTGAAAAACGTTTTGGTTCGATTGAAAGGGTTCAACTTTTAGCCTTTGCTACTATACTTGACCCTCGTTTCAAGAAAGTTGACTTTGCTGCACCTTCAGCTTGTTCCTCAGCTATTGTTTCAATCAACAACCTTCTAAGTGATGTTCCTCTTACCCAATCAATAGAAACTGAAGGTGATAGTGATCCTCTTTGGGTCTTACATGCCAAGCGATGTCAACAGTTGGTTGATAACCATGGAGCTTTGGCAAGTGGATTCAAACATTATTTATCAAGTCCAACATTAGAATTGAATGGAGATCCATTGGATTTTTGGAGAAAGAACAAAGAAAGTAATCACGCTTTACATAACTTGGCCCTCAAGCATTTAAGCCCACCAGCAACATCCGTTCCTTGTGAACGACTTTTTTCCAAATCAGGAACAATTATCAACGAGAAAAAAAGTAGGTTGAAACCTAAAAATGTTGAAATGCTTTGTTTTTTATACTCTTTACCTAATTGTTTCAAAGACTAAAATTTAATAATAAATATCGATTTATCGATATTATCGATACTTAAAATTAAAATATCGTTATCGTCGATGATATTTTTTTCAGATATCGCCCATCACTAAACCAAATTCATTTTTAAAATTCGTTCAATTAGAGCAACAGGAAATTTCAGAAATGCTCTTGTGTTGGAAATTGGAACGAAATATTTCCCAATGAAAGATTTCACCTTATTTTCAGTAAAATTCGCAGGGTATTCACGATTCTCATAAAAATCCAAAAACTCTCCCAATAGTTTAATGTTGAAATTGGACACGAAACAAGCATAATATTTCTGTTTAATATCGTCCATTCCGAGATAATCAGCAATTTCCATCATTGAGAACGCATTTTCCATAGATATTGATAGATGATTGTTGACGATAAAATCAACAATATTATCAAATGAATTTTCATCAAGATCAAGTTCTATTTTGGTTGTGTCACAATCAGAATCGGCAAATAGTTTCACAAAGTAAGGAATCGACGATAACTTTTGTTTAGAAATTTCGTAAGATTTTTTTCTATTCACAATCGTAACATTAGTATTTTCTAAAAGGATAAATTGATCTTCCATCTTGAGGCAGTTGAATAATCACTCTTGAATGAAACTAATAAGAATAGAAACTATTGGTTAAATGAATCTTTATCAGAAAGAATTAAGCTTTAAATAATCTCTCCGAGAGAGAGAGATGTCGTTTTACTTTCGAATAACGTTTCTATTATTCGTTACCCTGAAATTTGCTTCAGGTCTCATGCGTTACACATGAGTCTTGTTTCCATAGATTCACCAGTTCTTTTATTTTGTTGATGACGTTTTCTTTGTTATTTGTATTCTGCATATTCCAATTGAATCTATTGGTTAAGTTTATCCAATCAGGACATTCTTTTAGTAAATGATATATCCTGTTTCCGGTTACATTACAATTGCATTTAGCTTTTTTATGCGTCATGTTGATGCTTTTAATTTGTGTGATTATATCAAATGGTATCATTTTGAATTTCTTTCGAGTATTTGGAAAAAATAAATGAAAATGTTTTGGTCCATATTTGTTGTATATTTGTTGTTCCAAATTTTCCATGCAGAAATCAATTGCATCAGGTATTTCTTTTTTTGTTATTTGCCTTGTAATATTTGTTATTCCAATTTGCTCTTGACATGATGATAATTGTTTGATTATGAATCTTAATTCATTTTTGTAAGCTCTTGTTTTTGGATTCATTAGTTCTCTTGCAACTTCAATGGTTTCAAAAATAAAAAATTGATTAAATCTTCTTATAATGATGACAAAATTCATTTCTTTTGTGAGATTTAGCATATTATCAATTTTTATGTGTTGATGATTGTTTTTATATTTTATACATGTTATTGTTTCATCTTTATACGTTATTTGTAATAAGTCAATTTTTTGTTTTTTCCTTGGCATGATTATTGTTCTTGGTTTAATTATTTCCAAAATTGGATAATCAGTGATATTACAATTGTTTTCAGTTAGGCTAATTATCAATCTTTTGATATATCTGTTACTGGGATTTTTCATTCCAAGAAAAATATTAAACCATCCGTTAATTCTCGTTCCAAGATGATGAGAATTGATTTTCCTTCCTAGAATTATTAATTGTTCCAATTTAATTAAATAATTGTTCCTTTTATACCAAGGTATTACTCCCAATTTTTCCATTTCATGTCCTGTTAGTCCTTCAAAGATAATTTGACGATTTTTTCTTCCAAGTCTTTTAATTATTTCTCTTTGTTTACCATCAATTCTCTTAACAATTTTTCCTTCAATATTTTTAAGTTGAGTTACATCATGAATGAAAATTCCTATTATTTGTTCATTTCTTTGTTTTATTAGATGAGTTTTTTTTAGATTTATTTCTGCGTTTATTTTTTTAAATTCTTTTATTATGATGTTAATAGGTGGTTCATCATCAAAGAATATAAATAAATCATCCGCATATGATAATACAGTGAATTCATTAGCGTTTAGTTTTTTTAACGTATTATTTATTCCAATAACGAAAAGAAGAGGTCCACATGATGTTCCTTGAAGAACTCCTTCCTCTATTGGTTCAATTGTAATCTTGCCTTCTTTCACATATCTTATTTTCCTATTTGATAGAAATGATCGAAAAATATTTGTTTCTCTGTTTCCAATTTGTTGTTCCAAGGTTGAAAGTACGTAGCTTCTGGAAATTTTGTCAAACGCTTTGGTAAGATCACTTTTAATCATAAACTTATATTCATCTTTTAGTTCCCTTATTTTTATGATTAAATCATATCTTGTTTTTCCAATGTATGCATATTGATATTCTTTATCAACTAATTTATCAATCTGTTTCCATAATCTTTTTTTCAAGATTGAATCAATTATTTTACTCATGTAATTTTGAGTATGGACTATTCTTGTACCTCCATCAAATTTGGGTATTTCAGTAGCTCCACTAATCTTTATTAGATTTGGTACTTGATTGTTGTTGAAAATTTCTTTTATTATATTAATAACCATTTCTTTATTGAGTTGAAAGAAATTCTTCCATGATTTATTTGTAAAATCGTCAGCATTACCTGAGGATCCTTTTAACTTTATTTTCTCTATTTGGTTGATTTCTTCTTGCGTGATGTAACCTTGACTTTTTTCCATATATTCCAATTCATCTTCATCAATTTTTCTATGAACAAAAATTTTCTCATTCTGTATCAATCTTTGATTCTTGTTTATTAGCGTATTATATTTTTCCCAAATTGTTTCCGAATCATCTTTTCCTGTTATATAATTGTTTCTTTGTTTGATTGACTTAGTATTTAGTTTTTTGTATTTGAATGGTGAATTGAAAATTTTGATTATGTTTTTCTCCATTTGATTATTAAGTTTTAATTTCTTAAATTTATATTTGTATATTCTCGGTGGGTTTTTATTTTTCGTCATGGTTAATATTTGTACAAATAGTATGTTGTGATCTGAGAATTTCTCCATTCTGTTAATTTGTTGAATTATTATTCTTTTAAAATTGGTTAAGATTACATCAATTGTTCTGTTCGTACCATTTGTTGAGTGTCTTGTTGGTTCATCAATTTTGAGACAATTTGTGTATTTATATTTGTTTAATTTTTCGTATAATTCAGCATTTGCTTTATTATCCGGTTCATTTTTTCTGCTCCAAATTTTATTTTCTATGTTCATATCTCCTGCTATGATTACATTTCGATCAGCTAATTGTTCAATTAGATTCGTCATGAATTCATACCATGGATCTCCATCATTTCTGTTGTGATAAATTCCAATCAAGTAAATTGTTAATTTATTAATTTTCAACTCCATGCTGATAGTGTTTTTATAATTAAAGGTTGAACATATTATTTTTATCTTTTTTCCTATTACAATAGTGGTGTTTTCATTCATAATTATTTTGTGATTAAAAAATAAATTGTTGTTAATATGTTTAAATGGTTCATTAATTATCGTTATTAAGTAATCATTATTCAGTGTGTTTTCAATTAGCTTAATAGTAGCTTCATGATTTTTGCATACATTCCATTGAATAATTTCAATTTTCATTATATATTGATTATCGATGAGGCCGTTTGATTTGAAATAGTGATGATGTTGTTCGTGATGTTATCAGGATTGGTCTGCGTATCCATGAATATTTGTATGATTGATGGTATTCTCATGTGTTGATGATTGTCAAGAAAATTATTAATTCTCGAATTAATCTGTTGAATTGTAAGATTATTATATATACATGGTAAAGTGACAGTTACTCCATTATGAAAAGTAACTTTTGCCCCGAAGGTGTTAATTGTTTCAATTGTCTCTTGATCAATTAATTTTGCTGGTGTTATAATATAATTTATTTCTCCTCTGATAGTGTTGATAGTTTTGATTTCATTTTCAAAAAATTCTGCTATTGCTTGATCAAATTGATTGAAATTAAACTTAACATTGACTATTTTTCTATTCAACCAATTTTGATTGTTCAGTAATTCTCCAAAGGAGAATTTATTAATATAAATATTACGATTATTCATGTTCTCCTGTAAATGATAGGAAATTTATTTCTGATATTAGTTCAGATTTACTGATTTGTTCAATTTGTGTTTCATTTAATTTTTTATAAGTGTTTAATTTAAATCTGTTTGTATTTTGTGGTGTCGATTTGATTATTATGAATGATTCAATATTAGTATTGATTAATAATGAAATTAGTTTATGTACTTTGATTTCTTCTGTGATTAAGAAATATTCATAAGTTTTCTTGATTTCAATATGATATGAATTGTCTATTAATTTGTCAAGTGTATTAGTGATATTCCTCTCATCATATAATATTCCTCTTAAATAAGCAGATTCACTAATTCTATCCATATCTTCTGGCGGATCTTCATCTACTATTATCATGTAAGGAAATAAATCTCTAACATATGATGATAGATAAAATTCTAAATGTCTATGGTTTGCTATGATTTCTACTCCTTTATTGATATCAATACAAATGTATGAGTATTTACCTTTGTATGTAGATTTTGTTGAATCACAAATCATGTTATAAATTGAATTAGTAGATTGATACAATTTTCCTCAACCCAAATTTGAAAGACTGAAATTTGAAAATCAATTGAAAAATTATTAATATTTCCTATCAACCAATTTTTAATTTTTGTTTTTTCCTCTTCACTATTGTATTTGTATTCTTTAGCAAAGTAATCAACGTCTCCTAAAAGTATAATTTCACATTCATAATATTTCATATATCTAACTAATTGATGATTGTTAAAAATATCATTCGATTGAATTTTGATTGTCAGATTATATTCAGTTTCTTCAAATTCTATTCGATTAATTCTTAGAAAATTTTTAAAATTTGTTTGTCTCTCGTTTCTAAAATTTAATTCAAGACTAAAATTTTCATTGTTATTTTTTGAAATTTTTATAAAATCTTCGTTAATCATATTTTTTTGAACATTTTAAATTGAAAAAAATCAGTAATCTTACCAATATTTCCTTTAATTGTTCAACTTCCGTAGAAAAGAGTTCACAATTAGAAAATTAGTTGTTTAAATGAATAACTTGTTTGTTTCACTTTATTTCAATTCACATTTGAACTTGTAAGCTTAATTGTTACAATGTTATTGAAAAATTTTTTGAGCTTGATTGCTCTTTTATACTTTCAATTTAGTTTGATTACAATATAACTTTGTTATTGTAATTATTAGAAATTTAAGATCTTGGTAGATGATTAGTGTTTATGTAAACAATTGGATAGTTATAGTCAAAGTAATTAGTTAACTTTTGAATGTATTCTTTGAGCATCAAACATTTGTTTGAATAAGCCTCATGAAGCGTTTGATTACAATGTGGACAAATGGGTGTAATATCTTTGCAATTTAAATGAATATCTCTGCTTGAGCAACTTGGACAAATTTTGTTCTTGCAGTTTTCCCATTGATGTTTAGTTCCAATTTCATAGCAGTGATAGCAGTTTTGGATACCAATTTCATCTCTTATCTTAATATCACCGTGATAATTAATCATTCCATCTAATGATTCTATGTATTTTCGATTTTCTTTATCCAATTGAACAGTAATTCTTTTGCTATAAGGATAGAGGTCATCTCTAATGGATTCAACTATTATGGTTGATGATGGAAAATTATTGCAATTTTTAATTTCCATTGTTATCATTTCTTTTGATTTGTTTACGATTCTTTCTTCATTAATTTCAAAAGATATTCTCGGGTTCTCTTTTTTGATAGTTTTAACTTTTTTAATTCCTTTGATTAAAGGTAATGAATCAAGAAAAATTTTCCTTTCTTTTTTCAATATCATCATGTGTATTTCATTACCTTTGATATCATAGTTGATAATTGAATCACCAATTGTTAAATGTCTTTTGATGAAATTAATAATTTCTTTTGGATTTCCTTCACATTTACTTTTGATTATAATTGTTTTGGGTAACACATTTAATGATATTTTGAGTTGATACATTGTAATTAACACCGAAGAAAAATAATTAATATTTTTGTTTATTTGTAATTTGATACCTTTTTTAATTAGAAAGAAAATGTAAATAGAAATTCTATTGTTACCATGGCAATACAATATGGTTATATAATGATTTGATCTGTGGCGGTACAATTTAAATAAACAAATTATCAAAAATGTAATCAATATAATCAAAATTGTTTGGTTCATTAATAATTAATCTGTTTTGTTTTCTTTTCTTCAATTGTTTATCTTTCATTTTTTCATTAACCTTTATAAATATTATATCATTGAAGCGATAATGTTTTTCTTTATCCATTAGAAATATGATCTTTTCTTTTCCTAATTTTTCTCTGACCATTGGACTTATTTCTATTATTGTTATTATTCCTTTGTTCATTTGTAGACTCCAATGCTTTTGATTAGCGATTTGTCCATTACCTCATTGTTTTTATTAAGCATCAATTCCAATGATTCTTTGTTTGTTATTCCAATATCCTTGAATTTAACCATTATCAGGGATTAATCTTTGTTGTGATTTTTTCAATGTTTTTCATAAGCATCAACGTTTTGATGATTGTTGTTTTTTCTTCCTTTGGAACTTCACATTTAATATATTTAAAGAAAATTTTTCTTATTTTGATTTTTGCACTAAATGTAAAATTATCTTTAATTGTTTGATATAATTCTTTTGAATTAATATCATCTTTACATACAATTATAATTGTCTCCATTTTAACACAATAACAATTTAGATGTTGAGGATTGTGAGAATTTTATTTGAAGAAAAAGGAGAGAAGATGATTTTGATATCAATATGGTTACCATGGTTTGGTTAATGGAGGGATTTTCAAAATTGTCTTCTTTTTTCCATGAAGATTGTTTTGTAGTGATAATCAACATTTTTCAATGTTTTCATTAATTTTTGAGTGAAAATTTTACATTGAAAAAACCAAGCACTATGACCTATCTTATAACAACATGGACATCGATAATTATGAAAATCACCTTCAAATTCACACTGTGTGTGTTGACCTGAGCATAGCATACAAATTGGGTCATTTGGACAATTAGCTTTTGTGTGAGTATAATTTGAACATTTAGTACAGAATTTTATGTTGAAAATGTCAATTATTTCAATCATTTGTCCATCCATTAGAATGATACCATTCCTGTCTTCAATTTTGTCTCTGATTTCCTTAGTGATTTCCATGGTAATTGATATTCTTCCTGAAAGATCTTCCATTTTAATTATTTTAATGTCACCATTGAAACCGTTTTCAACCATTAATCTATTTGTTAAATCAATTGGTGGTTTCTGTTGTATAATAAATTTGATTCGAGGTCTTTTCTGATAATCCATATTGAATTGACACATTGATTGTAAATTAACCTTAGCTTTTTCAGCATCTTCCTTGTTTTTAATGGTTAACATGAAACCTTCTCTAACATTTTTAAGGCTAAAATCAATAATTTGATTTTCTTTTAATTTTTCACGTATTTGTTGTAATTTAATTGTTGCGTGTAGATTAGGATCACGTTTAATCACTAAATTATAAGTTGGTTGATACTGAATTGAGATTCTAATTCTAAAAAGATCACAATTTATAATTGATAACATTTTAATCTTTAATTTTGATTATAGTAATGGTAGAGCGTTACATGTGATTACAATTCTCTTTTTCTTGTATTAGCGCTATTTTCAAATTTTAGCGTTTTTATTTATTGTGAGATTTATTAAGAATGACATTTATGTAATAATGATTGATTTTTTCCAAATCATTTTTTAAGGCGTTTTGAAAAACTTCACAACCTTTATATTTAGCGCTATGGCCCATTTTTCGACATCTTGGACATTCCCATTTGTTTATATCATTTGCGACTGGACAATGTGTAATATGATGTTGGTTACACATGAAGCATGTTTTCAGGTTATTACAATTTCTCATGGTATGACCATATTGAGAACAATGATTACAAATCAATATATTGAATTGATCAGTAATTAAACATGTTTTATATCCAATATTAATCTTTCCTCCATTTTTCTCAATTTCGTTTCTTATTCGAGAACTTACCGATAATAATATTTCGTTATTGTTTTTTTCTTCGAATGTGTGTTTAATTTGAATTCCATCTTCACTCATCCATTTGTTCCTTTTGATTATTCTCTTTAGCCAGTCATTCCAAGTTTCATCTTTGTTTTTATTCACATTTTCAATTGCAATTACTGGATTTTTAAGTTCAGGTATTTCAACTTTTACTTCAAAACCATCAATTTTAAAGTTTTCATCAAGAGTTTCTTTTAAAGTGATGCGTGAATCGTATTCATCAACGTAAACTTTGATACATTTGTTACCAGTTAAAGTGTCCATTATAGTTGGTATTTCCGTTATTTCGTCTATTGCTTCAATGAACTTCTCTTTCAGAACGAACGGATTAAGATGAGTTGATTCATTAACTGCAGTGATAATTAAAACAGGTAGTATTTGAATATGTTCAACATTCATCCAATTGTTTTCACTTTTTTGTTGATTGTAACGAATATGAACTTCTTGATTTTTTTCCTTTCTGGTTCTTGGTGTGTCCATTTTTATTCGTTTAACTGGATGTTCTTGTTCATATGATTCACTTTCTTCATCATTGAGAAAATCAATAATTTCTTTAAGTTGTTTTTTCGTATCAATGTCAATTGATTCATCCATTAGACCTTTGATTATGACAACCTTAAAGTTGGTTTCAATGGCTATTACTGACCAGGGGCTTCCCCACTAGTTGGGGAGCTCGGCTGATTCACACTTTTGCGTATTACCCGACTATTTTAGCCGACGTACTCAATCGGCTGTATATAGTTTAAACTACGGGAGAGAGTCTCTCGATGGAGAGTTAATGTTTTTATGGAGAAGAAAAAGAAAGTGATGTCCTCTAGGTTTTCTCAACTACTCTTTGCTCAAAATTAACTACATTTCGTCATCCAGCAAATGGAAGCGCGAACTTGAAATAAAGAAAATTAATATATTCATGAGATTCGACTAATTAAAGTTAAGGTTCTAATCCAGATCAGAGGAACTGATGATGGAAATGAACATGAAGTATTAATGTTTATGTCAAAATCAGACGTTTGATGACATTAGAACCGAAATTACACTCAGAGCCATGAATGAATCAATTCCCAAAGTTGGTTCATCACAGAAAAGTATCGGTGGATCCATGATAATCTGATGCCAAGAAAAAGCAAATTAACCACTCACAAAACTAATTAGACTTTTACTTTGACATTAAATTTTGACCAGTCAATACATCGAGTAAAGTTGTTGCACCTAAAGAAATAATTAAAGAAACAATTTGTTAATAATGGAACAAATAATCAACCAGATCCGCTAATAAATATACTGAATTACCTGCTCCTGATGGACCAAGAATAGCCAATAAATTACCCAATTCAACATAACCAGAAACTATTGAACAATTAAGGTGCAAAAATTGATACATTGATTTGTTTCCAAAATCTAATTAATCGCAATTCTTCGTTAGATTGGCAAATCATCAGAAATCCATGTGAATATCTATATGAATTTAATCGGAACATCAATCGATGGAGCAGGTAAAAGTTCGTAAGTTAAATAATGAGCGATGTTTGGATTTTAGGTGACGATTTCAGTTTTTATTACGTACGAGGAATGTACCATTCGCATAAATGTGACTTCTCGTTCCTGAAAGAATTCATCGGAAGCGATTCTCTTGATCATATTGAGCTGATTTCTCATGAAAATTCACTTCTTATTTGTAACAAGGAAACGAAAATGATCTATTCTTATATTGATTATGATGGAGCTGATTATTGGCAATTTATGTCTAAAATTGAATCTCCCGAAAAGATGATTACAATTGCATCGATTTGTCTGCCGTTTGATTGTGCACAATAACTAATTGTCACTCAATTTAAAACATTGATGTTTAATCACTTGGAACAAGTTATTTTGCTTAAGCTTTTCTGAATGCAAGTGATAATCTCACCTTAAATTTATAATTGTCGCTTGAATATTTTAAATAAAAAATTAATTGGAATCAATTGATGGCAAGTATCTTAATTGTATCTTTTCCTCTTTTGTCGATTTTAAATTCTCTTCGTTTTCTCTGATCGAAGCTTTTAATTTATTAATCAATTATTAGTTGAGATTTTCCATTTGAAATTTTTCTCCAAATTCATTTCTATAAATAGTATTAATATTTATTAAATACTATCGGTTGAAGAAGGAATAAGGAAACAGAAAATAAATCAAAGCAATAAATACGAGATATTGTAAATGGAACTCGATTGATTATATCAAAGAAACTTTTGAGTTGATTGTTTCTCTAAAAACAATCGACAAAATTAGTGATGAGCGATATTAAGATTCGACAGCGACAGAGAAAAAGACAGTAATTAATGTAAAAGAAAGAGCCAAAGGAAAGAGAAAGAGAAATATTTATCGATATTCTTTCTTCATATCGATAATAAATCGACACAAGAATATCGATACCTATCGATATCGATAATATCACCCATCATAACAATTTAAAAACTCATAATGATTCATTTAACTGTTCGGTTTTAACGAGTGAACATCAAAACCTCAGCGAAACGCTAAGGTAATATAGTGTTTACTCACTTAAAATTTAACATAAAACCGCTTCAAGATGGAAGATCAATTGATATCATTAGATGAAAATATGAAATTAACGATTGTGAATAGAGAAAAGTCTTACGAAATTTCTAAACAAAAGTTATCGTCGATTCCTTACTTTGTGAAATTATTTGCCGATTCTGATTGTGACACAACCAAAATAGAACTTGATCTTGATGAAAGTTCATTCGATAATATTATCGAGTTTATTCTAGATGGTCAACTATCGATTTCCATTGAAAGTGCCTCATCTATGGTAGAAACTTGTGACTATCTCGGAATGGACGAAATTAAGCGAAAATATTATGATTGCTTTGAATCGAATTTCAGAATCAAACATTTGGAAGAGTTTTTAGACTTTTTGAGAATCATAAATGTCTTGGAAAGATTAATGAAACTAAATTGAAATCTTTCATTGGGAAATATTTCGTTCCAATTTCCAATACGAGAGCTTTTCAGAAATTTCCAGTTACTCTATTGGAACGCTTGTTGAAAATGCATTTGGGTGTTTCGTCGGAGTTGCAAATATTTGCAGCTATTGTTCGTTGGTGCAAATTTGATAAAAAGGCTCGAAAAAAATATCTACCTCAACTCATGAAATTTGTAAATTTTCGTCGAATGAAAGATCCTGAGATTACAACTTGCGTGTCAATGTTTGAAGATGTTGGAATCTCTTCTAATTTTCGACATGGAAAGAAGCCTCGTGCTTATCTACCAGAATTCTGTCGATTTGATTGTATAATTAAACGACAGTATAATAAGTCATTGATCTCAATCTATGAACTTGATGAAGATAAAATTAATATTCGACGTTTATCAAGATCAAATCTCTGGATTAAATATGGTCAATTCACTCGAGATGAGACAATGTCCACTTCTCTGATTGAGGCTGATCATATCGTCGATATAATTTATGATTCCGGAAGAAAAGGTATTCGAATTGATTTGATTGGAAAGAAATTCAAATATCTTAAAATGTTTGGTGGTGACAATTCTTATTATGGTCAAGCTTACAAATATTTCGTCAGTGATATTTGTGTGATTTAGTAAGTATATATTGATTCTTAACGATAACAATATCTAATTACCTTTTATCTATTATTCCTATCTATTCTTCTATTAGCACTTATACAAAGATCAAAGAACCGAAAACACATCATCGCAAGTATGACAGTAATGATTTTAATTTAAAACGTTTGGAAGCCATTTCTCTGGATGATCAATTGGTGGGAATTTGCTTTGGAAATGCAGATCCCGATGATTCTGACGGGTTTAGTAGAAGTCATGGGTTTGATGAATCTGATGATGGTGGCGAGTTGAATGAATCTCATGATCAGTATTTTTATAGCTCATCTCTTGATTATCGACAATTGCTTTCATATGAGATAAAAGGACCTGTCCAAACTCGGTCCTGTTTTTTATCGAAATCAAATAAATATTCAGGTACTCAAAAGGTCTTTTACTTTTTGACTAAACGTAAATTCTGTAAAAAGGTGCTAAGATTTAAAGATGTACTTGACTATTCGTTCCTGAAAGAGTTCATCGGAAGCGATTCTCTTGATCACATTGAGCTGATTTCTCATGAAAATACTGTGCTAATTTGTAACAAGGAAACGAAAATGATTTATTCTTATAACGATGATATTGATACTGATATTGATTACGATAACACTGATTATTGGCAATTTATGTCTAAAATTGAATCTCCCGAAAAGATGATTACAATTGCATCGATTTGTCTGCCGTTTGATTGTGAACAATAACTAATTGTCACCCAATTTAATGTTCAATCATTTGTAGCAAATCAATTTGATTGAGCTTTTCTCAATGTACTCGATAATCTTACTTGTTTTAGTCTCGCTTTAATATTGTCAATTGAATAAAATGAGTGAATTCACTAGCAATTAAAATGGATCTCTTGTCCTTAATCAAAGTGGTTGAAAAATAATTTGCATATTCATCAATCTTTGACAGTTATTTTGCTGATTTATTCCCTCCAAAGCGTCGAAGGAGTTTTTTAATTAGAAATAATTAAGAATCGATTTAATTAAGAATATATAAGAATTAAGCTATTAAGAATAGACATAAATTATTGTATTAGATCAATTAGATTTTATCATTGGTTGGTTACCATTTATTATTAGTGATGAATTGGAGTAAGAATTAAGCTATTAAGAGTAGAAATAAATTTTAGCGTCAGATTAATTAGATTTTATCCTTGATTTGGTGATGAATTGCTCATCAATATTTTTACATGAAGCTTTCAACAAATTCGTAACTGACTTTCAATCTATAAGTTATATCACAATACGAGTTTACGAGATAATATCAATAATTAATATCTTCAAATCTTTAAATCAATTATCAATCTTTGATTGTCGATTAAATCAAACATACTTTCTAACCTTAATCGCAATCAAATGTCTTTAATTGGAGAAAGAAACAAAGTAAACAACATTTTCTGTCTGTTAAAAGCTCAACTCTTTGTAAAACTTTAGCTCATTAAGAAGGATAATTAAAGATAAACAAAACATAGACACAATTAAATGAAACAATGAGATGGTGGTAATTGGATTTAACTAACGAACTAATAATTGTTACTTTTAAAACAATTGATTGAGTAAACAAAGTGAAGAACATTAGTAATTATCAACAAGAGAGAAGCCGATTGTTTAGATTATGTTACAAAAGTAAAAAGATTGAATCTAAAACTGATTGGTACTAACTTTTTAAATTATCATTGAAATGCGATGATTTTCAGTGCTAAATCAACATTATTGATTAACTACTTATTATTACATTTTTTCACAGATAATTCGTAAACACTGTAAAAAGAGAAAATAATTTGCTTACAAATTCAATTGCAATCAATTTACTTTCACTCTAAAGTAAATAAGTAGCAACAGTTAATCAAAGTCTAGATGATCAATTTACATGTAGATTGAAACGCGAGTAATTTTAAATACAATGAATAATGACTATTCAATAGTCAATCCGATTGACATTAGAAATAAAGAATCAACACTGAATCTAATTTAATGCTTAGCCAAAATAAAATGTACCAATCGTTTACTATGCGAAACAGAAAAGAAATGATAACATGAGATAGACTAATTGTTGAGTAAATCAAAGCTAATGAATAACCACAGCAAAAGAAAAATAAATTTTGTAGTCCATTAAATGGAACAAAGATCAACTTCATTTGATTAGAAATTATTGAAGAATTTATTTATCAATTGTAATTAGAAAGCAAAAGTAAAGATTATCAAGTTCATTAGAAAAGTTGGACAAATTTGTTTCAAGATTGACAATCGTTGGTTATTATTCCGATCCGATCGGGAAATAGACGAATGCAATTGCGATCATCTTACCAGATGATTCAATTTTAGTCATAAATTGCCAATGATCAGTTTCCTCAATATAAGAATAAATCATTTTCGTTTCCTTGTTGACAATTAGCATATTATTATCATGAGAAATCAGCTCAATGTGATCAAGAGAATCGCTTCCGATGAAATCTTTCAAGAACGAATAGTCAAGTGCTATTGATACATCTGTGCCATTTCCGTGACCTACCACGAACGGTGAACGGATTTCAATCATAGGTCCTTTATTTCGAGGCTCTCCTCGCAATGAATATCGACTGAAATCTTGTTGCGTCAAATTGTACAAGACTTTTTGAGATTTTGAATCGCTACTTAGATTCGAGGACAAACATGAACGGGCTTGAGTTGGTCCTTCGAATTCACAAGAAGACAGTTTTCGATAATCAAGAGACGGAAAATAATATTGCGGGGACGATGATCTATTAACACCAACTCCATGACAATCACTTGAATATCCATCCAGATAGCAGATTCCCTCCAACTTGTCACTCAGAGAAAGTGATTCCACACGCTTTATGTTGAAACGTTTATTACTAGATGCTGTAAGCGCATTCGAGATCTTAAAATGAGTGCTAAGGGTATGAAAAAGATAGAGAATAGTTAGATTATGTTATCACTAAGAATCAGTAAATATACTCACGAATCAGTACAAATATCATGAGCGAAATATTTGTAAACTTGACCATAATAAGAATCGTCACCACCAAACATTTTCATGTATCTGAATTTCTTTGTGTTCCAATCAATTCGAATACCTTTTCTTCCTGAATCATAGATTATATCGACAATATGGCCAGCCTCAATCAGAGAAGTGGACATTGTCTCATCTCGAGTGAATTGGTAACTTTTTGTCCAATTATTTGATCTTGACAATCGACGGATCTCAATCTCATCTTCACCAAGTTCATAGATTGAGACCAAAGACTTGTAGGAATGTCGATTACTTTTACAATCAGATTGGCAGAATTCGGGTTGACAAGCATGGGGAGAATGTTCTTTCAACTGTTGAGTGTGGAAATGAAATCCAAAATTTGCTAGTATGCCAGTGAAGTTTTTCGTTTCCTTAAAAACAGCTCTTGTTATTTCTTTTTCTGTCAAATGACAAAAATTGACGAACTTCATGAGATGAGGAAGATGTTGTTTTCGATCTTGTTCATTGAATTTGACCCAACGATCAATAGCTTCAACTATTTGATACTCGTAAGAAACAACCAAATTCATTTTTAAAATTCGTTCAATTAGAGCAACAGGAAATTTCAGAAATGCTCTTGTGTTGGAAATTGGAACGAAATATTTCTCAATGAAAGATTTCACCTTATTTTCAGTAAAATTTTCAGGGTATTCACGATTCTTATAAAAATCCAAAAACTCTCCCAATAGTTTAATATTGAAATTAGACACGATACAATCATAATACTTCTGTTTGATATCGTCCATTTCGAGATAATCAGCAATTTCCATCATTGAGAAGGCATTTTCCATAGATATTGATAGATGATTGTTGACGATAAAATCAACAATATTATCAAATGAATTTTTATCAAGATCAAGTTCTATTTTGGTTGTGTCACAATCAGAATCGGCAAATAGTTTCACAAAGTAAGGAATCGATGATAACTTTTGTTTAGATATTTCATAAGATTTTTTTCGGTTCACAATTGTCACTTTCGGATCTAACAATGTCCATTGTTGCTCTGCCATCTTGAGACACTTTAATTATCGCTTATAAGAAACTAACAAACTACAGCAAAGACTTTTGCTTTTATACTCAAACGGAGAAAAGAAAATGGTGACCACTAGGTCTCCTCTTCAAACACAAAATATGATTGGGTTTGTGAAGGTCGATTCAGTAAATTGATCGTCAACTCCCGTGAAAGAATCGATCATCACAGACAAAACAAAAGAAAAAGAAAAAGTAAAGATTATTCATCTTCCTCAAGCTTTTCTTTTTTCTCTTTATCTTTGTTTAAAATAGATTAAGATCGATTAAAGTCGTTATGGACAATCTCTATTGGCTACTTAAGATAATTGAGAGAGTCATTTATCATATGCTTAGGTCCTGAAGATGTTCTTAGGCCCTTCAACCAAAGTATCGCAACTTGAGATTTGTCAACTCACAAAACTATTAATAATTAAACTTTGATCATGGTCATTGACAATGACATTCATTAAATTTTGACCAGTCAATACATCGAGTAAAGTTGTTGCACCTAAAGAAATAATTAAAGAAACAATTTGTTAATAATGGAACAAATAATCAACCAGATCCGCTAATAAATATACTGAATTACCTGCTCCTGATGGACCAAGAATAGCCAATAAATTACCCAATTCAACATAACCAGAAACTATTGAACAATTAAGGTAAGAAAATCAATAAATCGATTTGTTTCCAAAATCTAATTAATCGCAACTCTTCATGAGGATGGCACAAATCATCAGAAATCAATGTGAATATCTAGTGAAGACTCTTTTGACTCTAACTCTTGACTAATTTCCTTTAAAATAGTTCGTTCCATCATTGAAATTCACGTAAAGATCAAGGTAACCATTACCAAATTGAATCAGATAATAAAGGGTGTGTAGTAAGTTCCTTTTGAGATAAGAAAATAACAAGCAAATTAGATAAAATCCTTGCCTGCTATCTTATCTCAAAAGAACTTCTTATTCTATATAAGTTCTCATCTAGAATAATTAATATCGTTTAAAATCGATAGGTCTTACTCATACAATTATCGAAGATAGCAACCAATCCGGTAAAGATTTAGTTGAAAAACGAGTCAGTGAAGACTCACCTTGTCACATTTTGTCAGTGAAGACAAATGTATCACCTGAATTCAAGTCAGTGAAGACTAAGAATTTGAATCTTCTGGATTGATTGAACCCTCTCTTCTCCTTATCCTTTCAAAATTGTATGTTAGATTAATTTCCTTTTCTCATAAATTGTGTTTAAAATTCATTTGTTTCATATAACGAGTATGTAACCTTCTTTTGACTTTGAGCTTTACTCTGTAATCAGCTCATAAATCAGTTACTTCAAACAATTAATCTAGATTATTGTTGTGTTTTCTCTTGATCAATTAGCGATTAATTTTGCTCTCATCTCTCAATTACAATGATTTCTAGACCTGAACCTTTGGATTCTGGGTCCAATGAGTATCAGTTTAGTCAATCAAATCAATCAAATCAATCAAATCAATCAAATCAATCAAATCAATCAATCAATAATAATGAGTGTTAATCTTTCGAACCTATTAAAAAATCATGTGACTATTGAACCTTTTAAGGGTGACAATGAAGATGTTATTGACTGGTTACTACAATTCGAATTAGCATCTCGAACCTTGTCCTTAGCCTAGAATCAAATCAATCAAATTCAATCGAAAACTATTGTCTACTCTTTACCAATTACAATCAAAGTTTGATCAATTAGAGAATAAACTCAATGCTTTAACCGTAAGAACCAATAATACAAACATTAGCTGTAACTTTTGTGGTCATCGAGGTCATAGTGAAGAAAACTGTAGGTTCAAAATTCAGCTCTTCTGACTAATTGCTTTCAGTCAACAGTCAACTCACTCAGCCTTCGCAATCTAATCAACAGAATTTGACAGAGCACTCGACTATTAGTCAACCAAATTATGCAGCTCAGCCGACAGTTAATCAACAGTCTCTCAA